AAGACGACATCGACGCCATTCTCGTAATTTTTTACTCTCTTTCTTCATATTCTGATTGGGTTTTGTGTGTATTGGTTTAAGCTTAAGAATCAGTGTGTTGGGTTCTGCTCTGTTCATAGTTTTATTGACTATATATTGATTAAAAGATACGTCTTTTACTAGTATAGATTGCAACCAACAAAACAAAAAGGTCACATTTTTGTATATGTTGTTTACCAGTTGAGCATACAAAAGGAAGAGGCTAAGAAGAAAGAGGTCCATGTTGAGGAAAATGTGCCAGCACCATCTCCTAGGTCAAACTGCTCGGTTAGGCTCTCCTTACTCTGTTTTTATTTTTGAAAGATTGAAACTTTTTTGTCTAAATTTTTTTGAATTTTGCTGAATTCTTGCTGGTTGATGAAAATTTATGCAGCTCACTATAAATCCCTTGAAAGAGACTGAGTTGATACTCTATGGAGGTGAATTTTATAATGGCCAGAAGGTTAGCTTTCAAATTTTGGTTGCACAATGTTTTGTTGTTTATCTAATCTTGTAAATAACTTGTTTTACATGTGAATGCAGACATATGTTTACGGTGATCTCTACCGATATGATGTCGATAAGCAGGAGTGGAAGTTAATTTCAAGCCCCAATAGTCCACCTCCTCGCAGTTCTCATCAGGCAGTTGCTTGGAAGAATTATCTCTACATATTTGGTAGATAAATGACTCTGAATGATTCTTTTTGCATCTTCATTCCTTTCAGTTCATATGTGTAAGCTCTTTTTATATTGATTAGGTGGTGAGTTTACATCTCCAAATCAAGAGCGGTTCCACCACTACAAGGTGAGTAGTATACTTATGTGTTTTGCCAGGCTATTACTATTATTTTGTTTTCTCATCTTCTTACTTTGAGTATAATTTATAGGACTTTTGGATGCTGGACGTGAAAACTAACCAGTGGGAGCAGTTAAATTTGAAGGGATGTCCTACTCCACGTTCTGGTCATCGTATGGTAAGTCTTTGATGTATCCTGACCAATGTATATCGCTTACATGCTGGTGAAATAAGTAGATAGAACCCGACTTTTAATATACTATAACCCTTCTAGCTGAAACAAGAATATGCATACTTTGGCCATACGCTATCGGAATTAACAAGCACTGAGACTAGTATTAGATATTTAAGACTATAGAGATTGTTTCTTCGCATTTTGTCTTTTTAGTCTACACATCAAGGGTAGGAATCTGGGAAGGTTTTCTCTTATGTTCTTTTTAATTTTCAAATTTTTCTTCTGTGGAATAAATAGCCCTTTGTCTTCTCCTCTGTTGAGCTATCTGCTTAGTGGAATTTTGATTTCATTTTCAATCTTGTCTTGCCTCCCTTAGTAACCAGCCCGTTATGTTCTTATCTAGCTCTGCCACTTCTTACTTTTCTCCAGGTATTATACAAGCACAAGATTATAATATTTGGTGGCTTCTATGACACTCTACGTGAAGTAAGGTTGTAATTTACTCATTGGTTAAAAAAGTATATCAGAATCTTAATAACTTGGTAGTTTTTCCCTCCTTTTTGTTACCACTAGATGTTTAATTATTTTGGTTGCCTGATACCTTTTTACAATTAAGTAAGCAAATTTAATAAATGAGAATAGATGGTATAAACTCTTTTCTAGTAGCATTGAAATGACCAATTTTGATTGGACCTTTTGTTTGATGTAATTTAACACCTGTGTAAGTTAACCTCTGCCAATCACTTCTCGTTTTCAGGTATTACAATGATCTCTATGTGTTTGACTTGGACCAATACAAGGTGAAATACTTTCCCACTGGAGAAGTTTCAACCGATTTTGAAGCCTTTTCTGCCTTTAGTAATATATTTTGGTGTCTATTTGATAGTGGCAAGAAATAAAACCTAAGCCTGGTGCCATGTGGCCTACAGCTAGAAGCGGCTTTCAGTTTTTTGTTTATCAAGATGAGGTTAGTTTACAATGCAAATGTCTATATCATATCCTTCAAATCAAAAGTCTGCTTCTTTCCTGAATAAAGTTGAGAAAGGGACATCAATGGTCCCATTTTCTAGAGGTCCAAGCATAACCATATATTTATAGGAAAGCCTTTCATGCTGCAGATATTCTTATATGGTGGTTATTCAAAAGAAGTCTCATCTGAGAAGAGCTCTGAGAAAGGAATTGTTCATGCAGATTTGTGGTCTCTTGATCCCCGGACTTGGGAATGGAACAAAGTATGTAATTTTAGATGGCATCTCTTTTGGAGTTACTTCTTATGCTGTTTACATTTAAAAAAAATCGTATCACCAAGAGTGTTATATCCACAATTAGTTCATTTACGTTTTGCAATATCTATCTATTAGACTAGTAAGCAAATCAGTTGATTTAACTTATCTTTGTAATGTAATAATATTTTCTGTACTTAGGTGAAAAAAATTGGGATGCCTCCTAGCTCTCGTGCCGGATTTTCGGTTGTTGTCCACAAAAAGCGTGCTTTGCTGTTTGGGGGTGTTGTGGACATGGAAATGGAAGGTCAGTAAATGGTATCCTTGTATCACTTCTGTATATCAGAATCTCAAGTTTTATGCTCTGTAATTTATTTGGCAGGTGATGTAATGATGAGTTTATTCTTAAACGAACTCTATGGCTTCCAGTTAGATAATCGTCAATGGTAAGAATCTAATTGATGTTATAATGAGCACTGAAGCTATGAAGATTCTTTTCAAATGGACTTGTCGTTTGTAGATTTTACTCATTAAGGCTATAAGATTTCAAGCTATTTTGATATGCGTAGTTCTTAAATATATGTTAAAAGTTTATTAGTTTTTTTTTTTTTATCTTGTATTAACCACTGTCTGTTTCTGTGGAGTACAGGTACCCAATAGAGTTACGAAAAGAAAAATCTTCAAAAGACAAGGTATGAATACGTCTAGTATAGTATTTGCTCCCTTTTGTATTTACTTGTAACAGACAAACCAACTGATTTTTCTTTCTTTTTTTTTACAGGGGAAGAAGAATTTAGAGGCTAAACCTGTGTCATCTAATAATGATGATGAGATGGATTCAACAGAAGAAGACGAATCATCAGCCATGATTGAGCAAAGCGATGAAGTAGGCTCCTCGGATGGTATATCTCAGCGTATGGCAGCAGGTTTAACTGTTGATGGAAATTCATCTAATGCTGAGTCTGATAAAAGTAAGGGTCTACAGCGAGCAAAAGCTAGACTGGATCCACAAGTTTCGGTCTCAGAAGAGGTTTGTTTTGGCAAAATTCATTGACACTAAAACTTTCGTTTACGAGCTTTGGTGTCATCTTGTGAATCGTTGCAATTATTACCTTGCAGGTTGTAAAACCATGTGGACGTATTAATTCCTGTATGGTCGTTGGGAAGGATACCTTATACATATATGGTGGCATGATGGAGATAAAAGATAAAGAAGTTACTCTTGATGATTTGTATTCGCTTAATCTTAGCAAACTTGATGAGTGGAAGTGTATCATTCCGGTCTGTTTGACACCAAACTCCATTTTTCTGTCTTTTGATGTCAATTGATAAAATATTGTGTAGACAATAAGTATCTTGGTATGTCTTTAAAACAGGCGACTGAAACTGAATGGGTGGAAGTCTCAGAGGACGAAGAAGGCGATGACGACGAGGATGAAGATGACAGTGAAGATGAAGGAAACAGTGAAGAGTCTGATGATGAAGATGACGATGAAGAAGTAGAGGTATTATATAGTTTTACCTTTCTTCTTCTCTTAGTTACTTTATCACTCTGTCTTGTTGGCTTTGAATCTTGAGTGAGTCTACTCTATGGCTATATTTGACTTAATTTGGTTATGTTAACTCTAGGCAATGGAAGTTGATGGATCAGTGAAAGTGGGAGAAGTTGTTGCCATGATAAAAGGAGAAGGAAAATCCCTCCGAAGAAAAGAGAAACGAGCTCGAATAGAACAAATTAGAGCTAATCTAGGCCTCTCAGATTCACAGAGAACCCCAGTGGTATAATTGGCTTTGGCATTTCCTTGTTTTTTTTTTTCTGTTATCTGAGAAGGAGATTCTGTTTGAAGGTCAACTAATATGGTCATGTTGTTGTCTTTGAAGCCTGGAGAAACTTTGAAGGATTTCTATAAGCGCACAAATATGTACTGGCAAATGGCTGCATATGAGCATACCCAACATACTGGCAAGGTATAATCTCTGTTTTTCTCGAGCATATAATGATGACTCATATTGTAGCAACTTTGTTCTGTCCTTGGCATGAGTCATTTCCATAATATATAAATTATAATTCACATGTAATTCACATTGTAGGAGCTGCGGAAGGATGGTTTTGATCTCGCGGAATCTCGGTATCTGGAACTCAAACCCATTCTAGATGAGGTGAGAGTTTATCACATGACATCAGTCTCTCTCCTTTTCATCGTCTTTATATTGTGTAACAAACTGGCCTGAGCTATGCAGTGTGTGATAATAATGGTCGAATGGTATCATTTGCAGTTGGCTATACTTGAGGCAGAGCAAAAGGCTGAAGAAGCAGAAGGACCTGAGGCTAGTAGTAGCTCTAGAAAGGGAGGCATTGCAAAGAAGAAGAGATGAGGTTTTGCAGCATGAGCAGTATTTGTTATTTACAGTCAAGCATCAGTTTTGAATCTACTTAGCTTAATGAGGCTGTGTAAGTCTGTAATATTTGTGAAAATTTTGAGGAAAACTGCAAATTCCTACATGTACTATGGCGATCCGTTATGATACAGTTACTTCATAAACAAGCGATTTGTGTTGATTCTACATTAACTAAACTGTTTAGCCAAAACATATATACAAATTAAAAAGATTAGAATAGGCTTAAGCCTACTACATTCACAGTGCTACTTTTGAATACTAACAACAAAAATAAAGCTATTAACGTAGACCAATAAAACGACTTCGTTTTGATTTTGAAAAACAACGTCGTTTGGATTAGTTGAAGAACCAAACTAAAACAATTCACAAACAAAAGCTCAGAACTTTGTGATGATGATTTGAGAAATTAGGAAGAAGAGAAACGAAATTTTCGATTCAGACAAGGTTGAATCACGACATCTCACAATTCCATAGAATCGAGAAAACAAATGAGGTAAATTCTCTGAATTTGGATCGATCTTGAATAGAGGAAATTGAGTTATGCAAGTATGTAGATTAGGGTTTCGTTTATAGGGCTGGAGAGTTGTATGGAACAGAGTGTTTTTAGGGTTCAATATATATATATGCATGCTATGTGTTCGTTTAAATGCCTAAACGAGCTGTGTTTTTGTTTGACTATGTAGTTTCGATATTGATGGTGGAGTGACTGATAAATCATGTGAAGACGCTTCTCAAAAGATAGTTATTCATGATGATGGAACTGTTGAGTTTGATGAAGAGAATCTAGTTGAATGTAAAGTCACTGGATTTGGTGATGAAGAGGAGAATGACGATGTTTACCACCAAGATGATACACCTGTTAGTTCTGATATTGAAACAGAACAATATGAAAGGTGTAGTGGAGAGCTAAAACTAAAACAGGTGTTTGACACTTTGGAAGAGTTTAAAGATGCTATGGTGGATTACGTGTTGAATGGAGGATGGAATGTGAAATATTCGAGATGGGGAAAAGATAAATCTGAGCTCAAGTGTGCGATGAAAAGAGACTGCCCCTGGAGAATTTATTGTTCTTTCGAAGAACCGGTTGGGAAGTGGATGATAAAAGTGTATCACGACGAGCATCGTTGTGAAAGGAACGGGTATAGCAAGCTACTGACTCAAGCGGTAATTGCTAGGCTTTTTCTAAATGATATTAGGAGTAATCCTAAGTTCAAACCAAAAGTGATTCAAGAACATATCCAGCAACGTTGGAATTTGACTGTATCACGTGACCAATGTCGGAAGGCAAAAGCAGCAGCGTTGGAGATCATCCAAAAAGAAAATATTGAACAACGTTCAAGGCCACAACAAGACTATCAGTTTGAGAATATGGAGTAAGTATTTCTACCATTACTTTCACACTAAAATTCTCTAACAATATGGCTGCCTTTCTAGGATTCTCTTACAATAAAGAATCGATCTTGCTTTGCGTTTTCTTTGTTAGTTCGAACCCTGATTCTTCGGTGGAGTTTCATGAGGAGAGAAGTAAGAATCCTAAAAGAAAACTGGTTGTGGATGAGTCTTCAGAGAAGAAACACAAAGTTAGCAGAGAGGGAAGGATTGTTCGTTGTGGCAGATGTGGTATAATTGGACACAACACGAGGAAGTGTGGTAATGTAGGGGTGGAGTATATAAGACCGAAGAATAGGAACACATTGGAATTGGATGAAGGATCGGAGTCCATGGCTCTGGACAACATTGAAGGACCAAGTCAGTCTACATAGAATTTGGTTATTAAGTAGCTTTTGGATGTTTTATATGATGTGGACATCTTTTGCTTTGTCTCAGTTATTATTACTTTGCTTACTAAGTGGAAGTGGTGATATTACTTTAAGCCTTTCAAAGGAATAGGGTTTTAATTATTACGTGCATGCAATGCAACAGTCTATAGTGTGCATTCACTACAAGGCTTACAACTCGAAAGGGTGATTTTAGTTCACTACATAAGATAGCAATGTGTATGCATTTAGATTATTCATATAAGATCGCCATAGTACTTTTAGGAATTAGCCGTTTTCTCAACTTCACAATAAATTTTTAAAAAGCAAAAATGATACCACACAAAATGATCAAGTGATTATTCTCAATCTCACTAGTTTAACATAAAGGTTCGCAAATTTGGTTGTTAAGAAGCATAATTTCAAAGGTGCTTCACCATATAAGGACCTTCCAATTCATAACCCAACTTTCTGTAGTAATGCCGGGTTCCTACACCAGAAATTACACCGATTTTGTTAGATCTGTGTTCTCTTCTAGCAATCCTCTCTGCTTCTTCCATTAGAAGGGTACCGTAACCCTGCAAATTCGACACAAAACCGATGATTAGAATACAACTCCTTGATTAAGTGTCAAACTCAAGTTAAATCTCACGTACCTGATGTTGCAACTTATCAGCCTCTCGGCCATGAACGGGTACAGCCGTTCCATATACATGAAGCTCACGGACAACAGAACACTTTCCCATGAGTTCTGGACAAGTTACGTTCTTCCCACATTTTCGCAAACGTAACAACCCAACAAGAATGTCCTGCATCCGTAAAAGTTATAATGATGGGTAAATCTAAGAAAATATCAGAGTCTTGACATATTCTAATGCTGCTAATCAGGTTTAAGGCTTGAAAGGACAAAGCATTTCAAGTTTCTTATGAAATCTTGGCTGCATGCCAATGAAATTATGGATACAAAATTAATCACTTTCTCAATCTATATATGACACAAGAACTTCTTTCATATTTGATACAAACTACAAACTCACTGAACACACCACCACATAAGGCACATGCTTATTCCTCTAAGTTTATGAATTCGTAAAAGGCCATGAGAACTGATACAATCTGCGTCCTACCTAAACTTGACAATTTTCCACTTAAAAAAAAAAATGATTTAATGTATCTAATGAGTGACAGGGAGTATGATAAAAAAGTCATATCCATCTCATAACAAAAGTCACACAGATAGGGTAATAATTCCTTCACTAAAATCCTAGGCATTATACTGTGAGAGGTGAAGATGAGAGAATATGAAAGTTTGTACCTGGCGTGTATCTTCATAAGAAAGGAATGTCTCCCAACCTTCATTGGCAGTGTAATCACGACGCACAAGCTCTACTTGTTCTGGCTTAATTTTGTGATGGATGTCCTATACACAAACCATATAAGCAAATATTCGTTATGAAATTCAGTATTTATAATAACATAACACAAAAAGAAATAACATTTGGTGTCCTGACCTGAATTCCAGCTTCACGAGTACGAACATCACGGCATTTGAGGCCCAAGTCATCCATTCTGGCTAGAGCTAGTTCACGAAGATTTCCTTTTTCAACCCCTGATGTAACCAGAGGCATAGGAATATCACGTTGAACTCTATAGACACGTGTCCATGGAGGTACCATGGAGAGGATCCTTGCAACTATATCCACAAGCTGCTCAGGTGGATAGTTCCGGTACCTGCAGAAAAATTCAATAAGATTTAAGCTTTTCCATTGTGACATGCATGCACTCTTTGTTAAACACACAAGAACATCGTACCTCCCAGTTTTCCATAGTTCATAAAGACCAGTTCCACGGATCACAAGGGTGGGATATATTTTTAACCCATCTGCCCTAAAAGACGGGCTCTCGAAAAACTCCTTGAAACTTTCCATGTCTCTCTCAACTCCAACATTAGGAAGATCAGGCATCATATGTGCAACCACCTACATGCAAAAATAAAAACAGAATGAGGACACAAATATAGCAATATCACCAATAAAGAAAGGCTCATTGGTTTGAAGGAAATTGATGAACAGAAACATATGAGGTGAAAGCTGCCAGGAGAAATTTGATACTAGCATAATAAAATTATTCAAAGACTAATCTATAAGTAATACCTTGAAACCAGCATCTTTAGCCAAGCAGAAGCAGTCAGCCACCGCAGCAACAGTATGGCCTCTATTTGTGTCACGGGCAACATCTTCATATGTGCTCTGGACACCTATCTCTAGCCGGGTGCAACCATATGTCAGCATCTGTCGTAGATGAGGTCCAAGGCAGTAATCTGGTCTCCTGATGAATTTGTAAAACAGATTAGGGAATGTATTCCAAGATTTGAATATTCAGAAATTTGAGATCAGAGTCACTTTTCCGTTACATATAATCAATGGAAATATAAGAACTAATTCACAAAAGTATGGTATTAGATTTTTGATATAGTTCCACTCAGCTTGACTATTCCCGTTAAGTGCCACAAAAGAACAATGAAATCATTATATAGACACTATGGAAGCTTTAAGAGAAAATATATAAGAAGAAAAATCAAAATTCAAATTTAAATCCTTTAGATATTATACACGATCAATGCATTCACAGAGAAAGACACTTCAACCCAAAACTCACGTTTCAATTGTCATGCCAATGCATTTAGTTGCACTATGTTCTGAATAAGCAACTGCTTCTTCAACATTGGCAGAAGTATGTCCTGATAAAGCATCATGAAGATTACGTATGAAGAAATCCCGGTACTCAGCAGGCAGCGACATAAAGGTACCTCCCATCAAAATGAACTCAACCTGTCATTCAAATCAGGAGTAATTATCTGCGCTGAAGACTGGTAAAAAGGAAATATTACAAGGAAAATAAGAAAAACCCTTACCTTATCTACACTGTGACCCAACCGCTTTAGCTGATCTATCCTGCTCCTTGCCTGAACATACGGATTGTACCTATGACAATAAACAGGGTTCTATAAGAATCCCTTTAAACATGAAATCAAATCCTCATCACACAATCAGCAGAAGTAACTACATAAAATTAGTCATGGCCGTTTAGAATGTTGAAAATTTCAATTTAAGAATTCTGTATCAAATCTAGAACGTTCGCCGAATTAATAAAACATCTACAATCTTAGAACTGGAAACGAGACTATTATCCTAAGAAAAGCTCCCAAATCCAAGCTCTCACATGAGGCTAGGCTACCCACACAACATTTTCCCCAACACGTTGTCAGCAACTGAATCTAAGTTCAAACTCCACTAATTGGATCCCAAATACAAAGTCCACCAAAACTACATAAACCCTAAACCCTTTCCTAAATCAATCCAGCACAAACTCTAATACAAATATCGATTCCAATTCGATAACTAAGTAGAAGAAACTCTTTACCTAGCTCGAATAGCTCGCATGCTGGTGGGCTCGTATCCAGTATAAGACTGAGTACTATACTCGAAGTCAGAGTCAGGTCCACCGGGACAATACACGCATATATTACCCGTCGTGGCTATATGCGGACACCTATGGGGCTTCGACATGACCGCCACGACGGCGATTCCTGAAGCCGTTCGAACCGGTTTGGCACGGAGCTTCGGGAGAAGAGTCTCCCTCTCTGAATCCGGAAGCGCCGCAATCATCTCGACAAGCTTTGGCGCACGCGCTAAACCGTATTTCCGGCAAGCGGCGGTTTTAATGGAGTTTAGGTCAACATTCTCGTTGCGATGTGAACGCTCAATCATGGAGCTAACAATCTCCGATATGGCGCGAACTCGAGCTTCTTCCTCCGTCAATCCACGGCCCTGAAAGCCACCGCGACCTGGCCGTGGTTGCTTTTTCAACTCTCCGTTCATCACTACCGCCGTCGCCATCGTCACAAAACCTCAGTCAAAAATACGGGAAAATAGCGCAAGCGATTTACACAGGTTTTGTGTTAAAGTTACATATTTAAACGGCAACGTTTTTCAACTAATCAGCTTCTTTTATTTTATTGACGTTATAATTAATCTTTTTTTTTTTTTGGTTCAACGTTTTACTAATCTTCTTTTTTTTTTTTTTTGCTAAACAACGTATTAATCTTCATGTAAGAAGAAGAAGACATGTATGGTATGGAGCCAAGATCCATTAGAAGCGGAAGCAGTAGCCTTGACTTGGCGGCAATGATGTACATTGATAACTTGGGGTTTTGAGACAGTCATCTTTGAGAGTGACTCCATGAATCCGATGAAGACAGTATAAAACTACAAGAGTGGTCGGCTCACATGGAGTTCTAAGCACCATCTTGAATCCCTCTCACTATAACTTTCCTCATCCTTTGTTTTTGGCAGCCATAATGGCAATATCTGTGCCTGTGCAATATCTAAAATGGCATCTAGTTGCAGAGATAATGGTTCTCCGGATTGATTTAAAACAGATTGCGGAGTAGGATTGCCAAAACATATAAACCATTCAACTTTTGTGGATTGAATCTTGATTTACAAAGCTTACATCATAATTGCATTTCAAAAAATTACATATAAGTCTTATCCAACTTCTCCTATCATTCAAATTCTCACAGAAGTGAAAAAAAAAAACTCAGATCCTGTTCATGGGAGAGTCTAATTTATGAGAAATACTCCTACATTTTTCCTAACTTCCTGCGCGTAGCCTTCGTAGAGAAGTCCGTCTACGAGATCTTTCTTTGACATCTGTAAAACTCAGGTGTTATATTACCAACCCCATCAGCACATGTGTTTGATGCAAAAAAACTGCAGTGACAAGACGACATAACCACTTACCTCTTGTCACTCTTCCAGATGCAAGTAAAGCCTCTTCGGCCATTGATCTCCACAGTTGTGCGCACGAGTAATTAACACCCATTCCAACACTAAGTCCTCTTAACAAAACTACTGTGCGGAGTACAGAGAACAGTTCCTCTGGAAATGCCTACCACCAAAGAACACTTTCAAGTTAGTTTGGTATTTATTATTACCTGTAGAAGGATAGAACACACAACTCTTTTTTGCTTTGTCAACAACATCTATGGTGCTTTACTTACCTCAACAGCGATCTTTTTAATTGAAGAGTCATCTGCGAAAGGTTGCAAAACTGTCTGACCAGCTGGCATCTTTGTATCAAAAAGTGTTTGTGCTAACCGCAGAAGTTCTTGCTGCTCATTCTCACACTTGGCCACTGTATGTAAACCCATTTCCCTGAACATCCACAACCGCAATAACTCAATAAACTGTTGACAGTGTCTATTCTAATCTTAGACATAAAACGTTTGCTTATCACTTCCAATCATAATAATCTCCCATATCCTAGCATCAAAACAGTTCCCACATACCAAAGTAGCCAATTTCAAAATGTGAAAAAGAAACCCATATTTTGAGGCATGCATGAACCCACAATGTTCATAGCTTCAACAAAAAGAAATCATCACTCACAAAATAACTTTTGTGGTAACAAATGGTTTCACCTTGAATGCACTGGTTCTTATTGAAATGTCTTTCTAAAAAGATATTTGCTAATGAGAACAAGGTTTTGAGCCACCAAACTGATAATATGTTTGAACAAAACAAAAACCAAAGGCGAAAAGTTACTTCAGTAGTGCAGGATAAGTTTTAATTACCAAAAGCTCTGTGATACTCGTTTAGGATTGTTATCAGCCATGGCAATGACCAAATTCGCATAACCAAGTCTCAAGTTGTCAGGGAGCTCCTTCACTTGACCATAATCCAGCAGTGCAACCTGATGACGGGAAACAAGATTACAAATCAAGACTATATAGACATGTAAGTTCAGCCAAAAGAGAACACTAAGCAAACTGAGAAACTACCAAATAATAACTACAAGCAAAAATATGACTTGCCTCTTGACCTTTACAAATCAAGATATTTCCAGGATGTGGATCCGCATGAAAGAAACCACTTTTTAGTATCATTTGGCCATATGCACGGGATAAACTGTTAAGTATATTGCTGAGGCAAGAGGAGATATAAATTCCAGTGTAATATCAGTATACTTCCATTGGCAAGCCAATATAAGAACAACAAAAGAAAGAAGGAGTAGGACACACAGATTTCTAGAATATAATAGCTACTAAGACTTTGGGCCATAGAACTTAGGCACCATACTCTGTGAGATGATGTAGGAGCTTACTGCTTTGCTGCCTCTGCAATCTTACCATGAGGATTTATCCCTCTTTTAGCCATCTCATCACCGATGCTCAGGATCGGAATTCCATTAATGTATTCCATCACCAGAACCCTCCTGAGAGAATTATGATTGTTCATATGATCAGTACTTGCTAAACCTCCGAAGCAAAATGACAAAAAACAAAATCTTAGATTGAGATGTGAGTATACTATAAGTGCCAGAGGAGGATCCATTTAGAGAAAGCCTTAAACATTATCGAGATAACCAATCAGGTATATGATATGCGAAAGTAAGAACACTAACTTAGTCACCATATCTCGAAGAACTCTTGGTACCAAAACAGGAGACTTTTTGTTGTTCTCATAAAGAAAACATCGAATTCTTTCCATTGCATTGGCCTCCCTTTTGAAGTCAAATTCATAACCAATCTTGAAAAAGAAAACACATATTTTTTCAATGAATTGCAGAAAAAGAAGTCGTACAAGCTATCTAATAAGGAACTGGATATCTAAATACCTGTTTCTCCATTTCCTTTGTTATGGAATGCAAGTCAAATTTGATATCTGTTTTCTGCATGTATAAGGCGAATAGTTGCAAGTTTCTTATGTCTGTCATCATCAATCTTTCGATGCCAGGATGTTGAACCTATACATGTGGTATCAAATTAGAACCTTATTAAAAGAATTGGACGCTTATAGTAGTCCACTGATTATGCTCACCTTTACAACAACATTCATCTTGTTACCCTTCACTCTTGCTCTGTGAACCTAATAAAGAAAATAAATGTATACGTATCAAATGATATTTTATCGTTTAGCCAACTGACGGCAGGGTCATTGACTCCCACTAATAGTGTATGCCAAAACCCAGATTATCCAGCAATACAGTTCAGGAATAACAACAGGAGCCAAAAGAGAACGAGTTTTCCTAATATTAACCCAGAAGATCTGAATAATAAACAGTTAGATACAGTTACTTGTCAAGAATTAATAGATCTATGGCAAGAGAGAACAAGGTTCTAGCATAAATCATCAAACCACCATAAGGTGTTGAGACATAAACTAACACTCTTATTTAGACTTTTCAAACATCACTGATAAAATCTCAAAGGTTCTCAGCAATAAGAATAATAAAGTTCCACTCCCCTTGCGTCATACTTCAAACAATTTTTTATTGGTGTTTTCATTTTCATAATTGGTCCATCACCAATGACAGAGTCCCAAATATTCCCACTCAACAATGTTTACTTAATTATAATGTTCTCACCAAAAAGATGTGATACCTGAGCAATAGAAGCAGAACCAAGAGGCTTTTCATCAAACGTTTCAAAGATTTCACCAATGCTTTTACCTAACTCCTTCTCCAAAACAAGTTGAATCGCATCAAACGGTGTCGCAGGAGCTTGATCACACAAAGTGACAAGCTTTTTCACCCACGCAGCTGGTGCCATGTCAGGTTTTGCTAAAAGTTGAGCAATCTATGATTTTTACAAAAGCATCAAAACAAAACAAAAAGTGAACATTATAAAATGAACAGAAGACAACAACAATTAATGAATGCAACGAAGCCAAACACTTGAACATGTGAAGTACCTTAAGGAAGAAACCCCCAAGATCAGAGCACATGAAGTAAATCTTGTCAGCAGCTAGCTCATGCTGTCTTTCCCACATTTCCTCTTGCTTCTTTGCATCTTTCACTAAACTCACTCGAAGTTGAAACACCTGCTTAAAAATTCAAACTTTATAAAGAAAATTGTAGCTAATGAATAAAAAGATCAAAGAACACCGTAAAGGAGAAACCTTGTAGCCAGTGTAGATATTGGTAGCTCGAACCCAGAATTGAAAAGAGCGTTGCCATGGACGAAAGCTCTCCGAGATCTTCTCCTGAATCTCTTTGAAATCGAACCCATGCATTTTTCCAATTATTTTTCCCAAGGATTGTTTTCAATTCGAACACCAAAGCTTTTGAAAGAAACGATGAAGCAGAGATCGTGGCTGCGAAAGATAAACAATGCAAGCATCGGAGTTAAGCGAGATCTTCCCTCCGGGTTAACCCGATAAATCCACTAACCCAAGTACTAGAAACAAAAAGCCAAACGACGCCGTTTTGGCCAAAAACCTAAGGTTTAAGTGTTAACGAAATTCAAAGAGTGTCGTTAAGTTTTGTCGGGTCAGTGTTGAAAATCAGATCATCATCCTAACAACCGAACAGTAAACGCGGATTTATGGTTTAATCGAGTATACTAATAGCAATTAGCTATTAGTAAAAAAAACAACCTTGAAATGTTACATTCACCGATTTCAAATATATAATTCAAAGTAGAATTTATTTTTTCTTTCAAAGTTCAATTCTTCATACACAAAAAGAAAGATTCAAGAAACATAACTATAAAGAGAATGAATAATAAACATACAGTAATTGGATTGCCCTTCACACCCACGCTACGCATTCACAACCATATATATTGAAGATTGATATAGACCGAAGTCATTTCTCATTACTTTAACAAAAGCATGACTTTGAACATTGACTTGCAACTTGAAAGAGCTTTTTCGTCTCTCTTTGATAACGTACGTATACGTTTAGTGATATGAAATAAAAGTTCAAAAATACTGTAGGGTCTCATCAACTAAAAGAAAATTCAAATTCTTTAATGCTGAACAGGAAGTGGTCTGGGGCTCCGGGGCCATCAGCCTTGGCAAATAATAATTAATGTCCAATGCTCTCATCTCTTCTTAAAGCCTCAAAGTGAGATGGCATCACTTATCTCTCAAGAACCTTTTAGTATAGTCATGAGGTTGTTTCTTCTACTTGCTTTCAATACTCTCATCATCTTACTTAAAAACGTGGACATGGGTTTCGCTCATGAAGATATGCAAGCATTACTCGCGTTGAAGTCTCAAGTTTCTGAAAACAAACGACTAGTATTAGCCTCGTGGAATCACTCTGTTCAGGTATGCGAGTGGGCTCATGTTACATGTGGCCGCAAACACAAAAGAGTTACTCGTTTGGATCTTGGAGGGTTGCAACTTGGTGGGATCATCTTCCCCTCTATTGGTAATCTTTCTTTTCTCAGACTACTTAATCTTGGAGATAACTCTTTTACCGGTACTATCCCAAAAGAGTTGGGAATGTTGTTTAGGCTTCAAAAGTTGAACATGAGCTACAATACTCTTGAAGGAGTAGTCATTCCAAACCTGTCTAACTGCTCTAGATTGGTGACACTTGATTTAACCTCAAACCGTCTTATACATGGTTTACCTTCAGAGCTAGGATCGTTATCTAGCCTTAAGAACTTGCTTCTATCTAAAAACAATCTTTCAGGGACTTTTCCCACATCTTTTGGAAACCTGACTTCTCTCCGTCAGCTCTCTATTGCATATAATAATATGGAAGGAGGAGTTCCTGATAACTTCGGTAGATTGACCGATATGATATATCTCCAACTTTCGAAAAACAATCTCTCAGGTGTTTTCCCTCCAGAAATATACAACCTGTCCTCACTTAGTTTTTTATCCATTGTTGGCAATCGTTTCTCGGGTCATCTTAGGCCCGATTTTGGAGATATGCTTCCAAATCTTGAAGAGTTGTATTTGGGGATGAATTATTTTTCAGGACATCTTCCAAAAACATTGTCCAATATCTCTTCCCTTACACGTCTAGAGATCGCAGATAACCTTTTCACCGGATCTATCCCCATTAGTTTTGGAACATTACAACATATTCAAATGTTGGGGCTTAATAAGAATTCTTTTGGAAACAACATAGTTGGAGATGATCTGAACTTTCTTACTGCTTTGGTAAATTGCACTCAGCTGCAAATCTTGGATATTGGTTACAATAGGCTTGGAGGAGTACTGCCTATCTCTGTAGCCAATCTTTCTAACGAGTTGACGGTAATGGCCTTTGGAGGAAACCTCATCTCTGGAGGCATTCCTCATGACATTGGGAATCTCATAAACCTACAATCCCTTGGCCTGGAAAGAAATTTGTTGACAGGAGTGATACCTACCTCTCTTGGAAAGCTTTTGGGGTTGCATAATGTTTTATTGAATCAAAATAGAATGTCAGGAGAGATACCATCAAATCTTGGAAACATCACTCGGTTAGAAATTCTGAATTTGTTTAACAATAGTTTCCAAGGGAACATTCCTCCAAGTCTTGGAAAATGTCGGTTTCTTGTGGTTCTTTACCTTGGATCAAATAGGTTAAACGGGATTATACCTCAAGAAATCATGCTAATGGAGTCTCTTGTTTTCTTGTATATATCAAGAAACTTGTTGACTGGACCGTTCCCAAAAGATGTTGGAAGATTAAAATCCCTTGTTGAGCTGTCTGCTGGAAACAATAGATTTCATGGAAACATCCCGGAGACGTTAGGGAGCTGTCTCTCCATGGAAGCAATTTCCCTGCAAGGAAACAGATTCGATGGAGCCATTCCAGATTTCAGAAACTTGAGAGCTCTCAAAATCTTTAACTTATCCAACAACAATTTGTCCGGCAGTATACCTGAGTACCTAGCGAAGTTTTCCTCTTTGGAGTATTTAGATCTCTCTGTTAACAACTTTGAAGGCATAGTTCCAACAGAAGGAGTATTTCAGACTCCTGAAAATTTTTCAGTATCTGGTAATGGAAAACTTTGTGGAGGCATCGCTGAACTAAAGTTAAGGTCATGCCCTCTAAACGTGGTTTCAAGGGGGAGAAGACATTCATCAAATAGAAAGAGAATTGTTATCGGTGTCAGTGTTGGTGTAGCTTCTCTTTTGTTGTCACTGTTTACTCTGAGTCTACTATACATGCTTATGAAAAGAAAGAAGAAGAAAGAAGGTGCAAGAAACGATGATAACTTGCTGTCCAAGTCTCCATTCTATGAAAGGATAAGTTATGAGGAGCTTCGAAGAGCAACTAGCGAGTTCTCATCAAGCAATTTGATTGGTTCAGGAAACTTCAGCTCTGTTTTTAAAGGGTTGCTTGGTCCCGAGTCCAAAGTTGTTGCAGTTAAAGTTCTGAATCTCCAAAAGCATGGGGCAGCTAAGAGCTTTATAGCGGAATGTGAAGCTTTGAAAAGTATAAGGCATCGAAACCTAGTGAAACTAGTGACAGCTTGTGCAAGTATTGATTTCAAAGGAAATGAATTCAAAGCTCTTGTGTATGATTTTATGCCGAATGGAAACTTAGACACGTGGCTGAACCCGGAGGTCGAAGTTGGAAGCTCTGAAACTCATCCAAGACCGTTGACGCTAAGTGAAAGACTTAGTATTGCCATAGATGTGGCTTCAGTTTTGGATTATATCCATTCCCATTGTCATGACCCTGTAGCTCATTGTGATCTGAAACCAAGCAATGTTCTTCTGGACAATGATCTAACAGCCCATGTCAGTGACTTTGGTCTTGCTCGAATCCTCGACCAGGACTCCTTCATCAACGTGTTGAGCTCCACGGGTGTCAGAGGAACCATCGGCTATGCAGCACCAGGTAAATAAAGTAATGTAAGATATGGAAATTATTGTATCTCTGTTTTTTAATATTTATTTCGATATCATTGTTACAGAATATGGAATGGGAGGAAAACCATCGATACAAGGAGATTTGTACAGTTTCGGAGTTCTTGTGTTGGAGATGTTCACTAGGAAGCGTCCAACAGATCAAATGTTTGTCGGAGAAGTAACTCTCCGTAGCTATGTCGAGTCGGGGCTGCCCGAACATGTACTTGATCTAGCTGACATATCGATTCTCCAAGGTGAAGTTGACAACAAGAACATCAACATCGCTGAGTGTTTAAAGATGGTGTTTCATGTGGGAATAAGGTGTTGTGAAGAATCTCCCACAAATCGGATGACGATGGCTGAAGCTTTAGCTGTATTAGTCTCACTCAGAAACAGGTTCTTTAAAACCAAGAAGACAACACTCAGTGCAGGTCATTAGCTTTGGTTGGTCTAAAACACTTATAAATATGTGTGCTTATAAATAAAAATGTATTATATGGCGACGACGGTGACAGTTATGGGAGATTCGAGACGGCAGTGGCAGTGTTTGTGAAGTTAAGACACGGTGGCGGTGGTGTTTGTGGAGATTAGAGACGGTGTTCGTCAACGGTTTTCTAATTTTACATTATGAAGGTTGTCTTTTATATCAAGAGTTACTAATCTAGTGAATAACGAATAACGAATCGAATTGGATATTTATACGTACGGTACTTTAGCTTATACACTCAAAAGGTTCAAAATTTTGGAACAAATGGTTTTTGGGAAGAAGAAAGAAAAACGCGAAAGGGATTTATGCAAATACAAACACAAACAAATGTAATATTTTATTCGCAACCTCATGTTTCCCATCACTAGTTTATACAATAAAACTATAACACACAAAAAAACAAAAACAGATACAAACATTCGAAAACTATAACACAAATTAAAGTACAAGAAATTATCTGCGACAAGTATGTAGATTAAGAACTTCATATTGAACAAAAATATAAACAGAATTAACAAATATAAGACTAGTTTAAACGTAGTTTTAAGAGTAATTAATTAACTGTGGATGAGGCTGTTACAACTAAGATATGTTTGATATATATTTAAAGATGATAGGTGAAGGAGGAGCAGGCGATGCACGCGAGGAGGAAGATGGCCGAAGAAGCTCCATCGTTTTCGAGATTACTAGTACTTCTCTTGAATCTGCAACTTTTGTCTTTGTGGCAATTTGTGATTGATTGCGTCTTCTTCTTCTTCTGTTGATGATCATCTTCTTTACATCTCTTGATCATCTCTCTTTGTTTCATTGCTTCTTCTGCTCTGCACACCATTCTCTCTTTCTTTATTTTTTAGGGTGAAAGAGCTCAGAGAATTTAGTTTAGGACAACAAGAGTCACACTTCTTGTCTCCATATATATAGAGCCAAGTTTTTGTTTATGAGTTTTGAATTATTATGTGGACTAGTTTTTAAATGGCCTATTACAATAACTTTAGCTTAGAACTATGTACGTTCTATAACAACCAAACCCCTTTTAGCACGTGTAAATGATGAGTTTTCAATTGTTACGTAAACTTTTTTATTTGATAAACCTTATCAGCTAATTCGGTCAGATTCACTAGAAACACACCAAAGTATTTCAGAGTGTATTTCTTCTCGAAAGAACACCACCACATTGTTACGTAAAAATTTGCATTAAACTTTTAAATAATTGCAAAAATATGTATGGTGATCTTATTGTTAAAGGAGCCTATGGGTTTTAAAGATCCCACGGATATAGAGAGCACGAGACGTTTGTTTTAAAGCTTCCAAAATAGTTCGAAGAGCTAACTCTAGCTTAGAGTCTAGTAGACAGATAGACACCAAACCAATTTTTTTAAAGAGATTCAATGCATCTTTTGGGAGTTGGTTTTTGAACTATTGAGCTCGTGTTAATCCATCTATTTCTACTTTTAATCTACCTACATTAAATTCAAACACTTGATTAAATAAATAATAAAATAAAGTATGAGCTCGAAAAGGAAGTTATGTAGTTGGCTATGATAATGGACAATGGTGTTGCGACCGTTGTTCCAACAACAACACATTTGGTTCTCTAAATAGGAATCCAAAAAATTGGATTTATCTAAATCATTGGTGGAAGTGATTATATAGTAATAATATATTCGTAACATGGCTTAAACCTCCCACAAATACTTTAGAGCAATTTGTCAGAAACAACCAATGAAATTTTATGATAATATAATGAAACAAAGCCTTAAAACCAATGATTTAAACAGTGATGATCCTATAGAAGTTTCTGTTATTTGTTCATTTGGTATATACAAAAAAAATATTGAATTATTGAAAGAAAAAATGTTAAGTAGAAGAAAAGATTAAAATTTGGGGAGTGTATTAGTTTTTGGCAGGGAGCGAAGAATGGGCATGTGGTGGAGAAGACAAAGTCACATGTGACATGTGAGGAACGTTATGATGTTTGGTCTGAAACGGCGCTTCTCTCTCTATTATATGTGATTTATACATTGCACTTCTTCTTCTTCCCCTCATCAAACCCATTCCATAAGTCTTTTGTTTTGTATCTATGAATATGTAGAAAATATCATATGAATCTTCTAATGGATAATAAACTTGGAGACCGTATTATTAAATGCTCCATCACATTGTATGGTTGCCAAAAACAAAAACAAAACATGAATGTAACAAAAAACAAAATAAATTTGTAAATTGAAATATAAAATCAATTGGTTTCATAAAAGGAAAACCGATTTAATTGAAACCGAATATAATTAATTTTCACTTCCTTTGTTTTATTTTAGGTGATGTTTAAAATTTGGACGTACCAATTAAGAAACTACATAAATTATCTATTTTTAATATTCAAAATATGTTTTATTATGTAAGGAAAATATTCAACCAATAAGAAAATGTAATGGAGAATATAAATAGTTAACTAAAATTAAAAGTATTAAATTTTTGCATAAAATAGTGAGAACGTCACTTAAAACCATTTTTTTTTTTTTTTCACTTAAAACCATTTTTTTTTCCTAAACTAGCATTTATATTGAAACATATGTAACTACATATTTTTATAAATTATAACATTGACCAAAATTCATTAAACTAAACCGAATTACAACAAATGGTTTGAACTGGTTTTAGTTTCTGTAAAACTGATAAAACTAAAACCAGGAAAAAATCAAACCGAACTAAACCGTAAATTGAATTGCCGAAGAGACAAAGATAATGGTTGATCAAATGCTTAATCTCAGTCTCCCTTGAATGCAGTCACATTATCCTCTAAATACAGCATTGATTAACTCTTTCAGATTCTTGCATCCGATTATCTCAATGTCTTTTAGATTCAACGCCTTCAGTGACTCCTCCACTGATTTGGGAACCACACATTTGCTAAAACCTAGCTTTGCCACTGTACTTACCCTCTTCTCCATTCTTGGTACCTGTGCCATTATCATTCAGTTGTAAAATTCATCCATATTCTAAATAACAATTAGCTGATTCTTCCAAATGTTATTCTGCTTACCGTGCGGACCTCGCCCCCTAGACCAATCTCGCCGATGAATGCTACACCGTGAGGGATTGGAAACTCCAAGAAACTGGATTATGCAACAGAAGATTAGTGATTCATTTGCAGCTAAGTAACTAAATAGTGCAAAGACACTTTTTAAGAGCCCAAAGAAGTAAATAACATGTACCTGCTACAGATTGCTGCTGCTATTGCTAGATCGCCAGCAGTCTCAGAAAGAGCCATTCCATTTGCGACGTTCAGAAAAATTCCCTGAAGAACATATATTCATCATTATCTCAGTACTCCAATCACTAGGATACATAGATAGTTGAGACAGGAGTTTAACTTGCTTCCTGTCATTTATTATAGCGCCACTACGCTATTCAAGAGAACAAGATTCACATGACGAACAACATTGCAGATTGACACAATACAGTGAAATCTCTAAACTCACATTTTCCTGAATTCTAAGACCAGCTTGCTTCATAAGAACCTGTGATATGATAGGTTAGAATATAACAAAACGTTAACAGTTATTAAAAAGGAAAGTAGAAGAGAGGTATGTTCTAAACGTATATTGTTACTGGACAATAAGAAAAGGCAATGTTGGTAGTAGCACTCACTGCAATTATCATGTCAGCTCTGCTTGCTTGAACACCATTGACATGCCTTGATACTGTTGAGCCAGGCGAACACAATGCCTACATAATAACAAAACCCAATGTTTAATCTAGAACTACAATGCTTTGTTTCAAGGTCCACAAGAGCATATGAAGCAGCTAATGATGAGAGGTTAGCATTGTCGCCTATTCAGAACATACATACTACAGTAAGCCATGATTCTCATCATAATGACAACAGCAAAATGTAATAAGATTTTCCAAACGTAGTTTCACTTATCAAGCTAGAACTTAGTTTACATTTTTTTGGAATTCTGAAGCAGAATAATCTGGTTATCTACCTGAATTTCAATTAGGAAACTCCGAGATCCATCCATAACAACTGCTACAGCTAATCCAGCTAAAACATCTGAATCTGGGTTCTGTTGACTAAGATATATGCCACTCGGGTTAGAGACCACTTCAAGTCCGGAGTTTGACATTTCAAAAACTCCAAGCTGACAAAGGAGATAGCCATGACTTATTCAATAATTATCAACTCGAAATAAAAATAAGCGTACAGATAACAAGCAAATTCGAACCACGTAAAGAATAAAGGGAACACAATCCACAGAAATAAGATGCTTGAACTAGCAACTTCTCGGGGAAAAAAAAAAAAAGAGGCAATAAGGGCAAAATAACAATCATGATTTTCTAAACTGCAAAGGCATACTGTCAAGGATTTGTATACATACTTCATCAGTGGACCCAAACCGATTCTTCACAGATCGAAGCAAGCGGTACGTTGATGATTCTTCACCCTGAAATGTAACGAAAATATATGTCAACTAATCATCTTCTGTTATATTTCAATACAAATTAAGCCCATATACTTGTTATACTCTAGAAAAGAGGTTACAAGGCTAATAAAACAAACCCAAAGTATCTAGTTAGAACTACAGAGGGCCATTTATTGAAGGGGTATCATGATAACACATCTAAAGACAACAGAAAATAAAAAGCACCTCCAAGTACAAGACAACATCTACTATGTGCTCCAAAACACGAGGTCCTGCAATATCACCTGCTTTCGTAACATGTCCAACCTAAAACAAAAGTGACGTGAATAAAAGATCTGATCCAGATCAAACACCAGATATTAAAGGAAAGAATCGGACGGATGGTTCTTACTCACCAAGAAAACAGGAACATTAGATTTCTTAGCAAAACGCAACAGTGTTGATGTGCACTCTTTAACCTGCCAGCATCAGATATTTCCAAGAAAATAGCCTTTTCAGCAGACAAAAAAGAAACGGGAAAAGCATATACAAAGCAAAAGAGAATGCTGGATACCAGTACTCATCTAACACAGAAAAATTTCCCTTATACATAAATGAAAAATATGTTGGGAAGCAACAAAAAACAGCTATGGCACAACTTCTTGCTCATAGTGATTAGCAAATTGAGGAAAAATTTTAAACCTGTGAGAGACCACCAGCACTTCCAGTCACTTCTTTTAGGTAAACTGTTTGAATTGAGTCAATGATAAGAGCTCGGGGAGATAGCCGATGAGCTTTGTTAAGAATGTCCTGAAATAAATCAGAACAAATGATTTTCTTCAGGTAATTTACCATGTTCCTCATTTTAAAATCGTGACTAACAATTTTTATCTAGTTATGATACGCAAAGGCTTGAGAATTTCTTAAAACAAAGAGTTAGTGTCCAACACGTACAGATGAGGAGAATTAGCTTGGAGATTAACAGTTTGACACAAAATAGCTGTGCATTGCGTAGGTGTTTAGAGAAGTGCTAAAATATGACTTCTGTTTGATTAAGATAATACGAATATTAATTCATATCAAACAGTATACCTGAAGATCAGAGCTTGAAAACAGGTAGAGGTCTTCAGTTTGAATTCTCATCCTGTCAGCCCGACTTCCTATTTGCTCGACACTCTGCAGTTGGGCGAAAATCAGAAGATCTTATTAAGAGTGTGTAATCAAGTCAACAGAATAATGTACGTGGGATGAGATCCTTCAGAACAAACTAAAATTACCATATCTCTTCCATTATAGAGAAAATGCAAGAAGAAAAACAGCAAACAATTTTTTGCAGATAAAGTGTAGCTGTGCAAGATAAAGGCATAAAGCTGCCAGAACTCGAGCTACAATTACTTTGCTCAATCTTAAATATTAGCATGTAGCTCATTCAGACCATCTTAAGCAGCATAGTTGGAAAAAATCCGGTGTGAGGAAGACAAGGATAGACAGGCAGGAGATACTGAAAGACAAAAAAAAAAAAAAAAAAACATGACTAGTACTAACCTCTTCACCAGAGATATACAAAACTGGTGCTGGTTCGGCCATTTCACTCCCCTCAGCAATTATAGATGCAATCTTTCATTCGAAAAAACAAGGAGAGAATCTTTGGAGTTGTTATGTGCATTGCAAAACACTTGCACGAACCGTTGTTGCAGTACTAGAAATTGAAAGACAACTAATTCAAACACAATAAATCACATCTCCTAACCTGCAATAATAACGTACTCTTGCCAATACCAGGGTCACCACCAATCAAAATCAGGGAACCTACAAAACACCACCAGAGTGAGTCAACGGCGAAAGACAGAACGAATTCAAAATCATGAAGACAGCATAAAACCTGGGGCAAGGCCACCACCAAGCACCCTGGAAACTTCATTCCCAAAAAGTCCAGGCCTGAATATAAACATCGCAAGAAATGATATCGCCAACAACAATTCTGAACCATCACAAACCTATGTAAGCTAAACCATTTTAACAAGTGATTCTTCTAACAAGTGACTGTAGACAGTAACTTAAAAGCAACAAACTTAGCCATTTTTAAATAAGCATACTCGAACATACAGAGAAAATCGCCATTGCTGCTGAGTAATCCCACGAATAACATCAGTCAATCTATTCGGCTGCACCGTTGCTTGCTCAGGTAACCAAGACAAACTCGTACCCTCGTGAGGACCCAAGCCAGTAGCTTTACTACTACCACCACCACCACCACTAGTACTACTTAACTGAGAACCTTCAGAAAAACGTTTCATAGTCCCAACTTTGTGACAAGCACGACAACTCCCCCACCATTGCCCATCAGAATGACCACAGCTATCACAAACCCAAACAGTTTTCGATTTGCCTTTCTTCGATTTGTTCATAACTACTTCCCCTGGATCCCAACCCCGAGCTTTTGAACCGGCTTTTCTCGATTTCTCATCGGAAAATCCAATTGCGGTATCTTGGTCTTCTTTACTCGAACTCGCGTCCTGATTAGAAGAGAGAGAGTCGAAAACGGAGGAGACGGGAGGGGATGAGAAGCGACGGAGACGGAAACGGAAACGGACCGGAGATATAGGAATCGTGACCGGAATAGAAGATCGGAGGAGAAGAGAGTGGGCTCGAGTGTAGAAACATCTGAAGCATCTCATATCTGCGATCAACATCAACGAAACTAATTCTCTAAGTGCTGTGGGTTTATTAGGGTTTTGAGCTGAGAGAGAGAGAGAGAGTGAGAGGTTCGTAACCCCGCCAATTTCACAAACACGTTTTTGCCGCTTTACTCACAGTCACAGCACTTGACGGACGCAAAGTGCCACTGGTTTTAACTCAAGGCTTTGCTTGCTTTCTCGGCATTTTTATTTTTTCCCAAAAAATTCATCTTTTATATATTAATCAAACTACAGCTGCTTCCATCAATGGAGAAACCATTTTGGAGAGTCAAAGTACTTATTACAACAAACGTTAAAAGATAACAACTTTAAAGTAGAACTACCCTTACAAGTTACATGATACTGAAGTAAGACAATTCTCATATCTTGTGCAATAAGACCAACCATCCAATGAAGATCATTGCATGTAGACTTAAAAGCATACATCATAAGCTTATGTTATGAGTGAGTCTTACACACCATATCATCGTCTTCAAAAATTTTCAGCCAAAGGCCTATATGAATTTCTTCCACGACTTTTATCCTTCATCACGATAACCAGAACCATGACACCAAAAGGTGCATCAACGCCTCCACTACCTTATTCTACAAGGTGGAGATTATTGTTTAAGCAAACTGAGAAAACTTAACTCAAAAGGTAAAATTTCAAAGAAAAGAGTCTGATAATCTCTGAGATTGTTAACTTGTTACTAGACTTTCATGTAGGTTCATGATCAACCGAATAGAACCTCACTCTTGGATCCTTCCTACAATGACGAGTATTTCTTGCAGGCTCTACTTGAATCTGCTTTCCTTTCTTGCGTTTAGAGTTCTCTCCTATTTCAAATTTTCCTTTCGATTTCACTCCCTCATACACATTAAAGGCTGGTGGGGCTTGCATGGAGGATGAGCTTAAGGGCTGGAAACTTTGGAGAGGATTAGCAGCTAGAAACTCCTCCAAATTAGGCTTAGGGGTAGAAGGTTTCGGTGGCTGGGATATGGGAGAGTATGAAGATAACTCGGAACTTTGATATGAATGACTCTCTTCATGTAAGTTGTGAGTATTAGAGCATTCATACCCTCTATTTTTTTTTTTCAAAAACCATCATAAATATTTTGATTATTATTTATTTTTTTAAGAAATACCTTGAAATAGTTTTTTTTCATAAAAAAGATTAGCTATGGCACTGTCGGGAAGATACTCTCCACTAGGGACCAAAGTGCTAATATGGAAAACGTGGCAGTTTCGAGTTCGTGCTTTTTTAGCAAGAAGGTTGGCTCGGAAATTGGACATGCGGAAAAGAAAACGTACGGGGAACGTTGGAAACAACGCTTGAAGAGACTGAAAGAAAGCCAATTCTACTGCGAAAGTGGGGGAAAATATGTTTTACGGACAATTATAGCACATATTCCACAAATTTTTAAAAATAGCACTAATTAAAACAATTATAATATTTTAAATAATTTTCTAAAACTTTTTTTGTAATGCTTAGATTGACTGACTTTTTTTATATTTAAGGTATAGCTTTTATGAAATTTTGAATTATGGTGCTAGTCTTGGAAAATAAGAAAGTGTGTGCTAAGTTTGGAAGAAAAAACTTAGGTTAATGCTAATTTTGAGAATTAGCCTTTTTCGTTAATAGTATACATATTTTTTACATTCTATCAAAAAAAAAAAAAAATTGAAAATGGTACAATATTTTTTACTTTCTATCCAAAAGAAATTGAAAATGGTACAAGTAATACAAAACACGCGCCAGGGATTTATTTGTTAAGGAATGCTACGATTGAAATAGATAAATAAAATTTCACCTTTTTATTTTTTTCGATGCGAGAAAAAAATCAAGAACAAAGATCTCTAGCATATGCACAATATCCTACACCATTATTAGCCAGCACAATAGAGTTAAAATTGTCATATAAATTGGCCACCAAAATATTGAATGTTGGGTGCTAGAAACTTTAATGAAAGCGGCTTTTCTCGATTTCTCATCGGAAAATCCAATCGCGGTGTCTTGGTTTTCTCTGATTAGAAGAGAGAGCGTTGAAAACGGAGGAGACGGGAGGAGACGGGAGGAGATGAGAAGCGACGGAGACCAGAATAGGAATCTTGACCAGATATACATAAAGCTTTTTCTTTTCCTTTTTGGTGGAATCCTTTTACATAAGCTAGCGGGAAAATAGGAACTCCAATCCCAAAGAGAAAAGAAAAAAAGCAAAAAACAATTATATTTATATCAAATTAAATTATAAAATTAAACATACAAATGAGGGGTAAAGTGATACATAGTACATACGACTGTGTAAAACGTGTTTCCAGTTTCCACTAGTGGATCTCTTACTAAAAAAAAAACAGAAGAAATAAATTAAAAAAAAAAAAAAAAAACCATGAAGAGAGTGGTGACGAATTTTCTTTTTTATGTTTTCCCTCGAGTATAGTATGTTTTTTTTTGCCGGAAAAATAATATTTTTTTTTATATATACTCGTAAATTAATAATTATATTAGAAAAGCAAACTTTCCTTTGGGTTCACATAAAAGGGACATAAAAGCTAGGTAAGAAAATCTTCTATTTTCCGCAATGACCCATGTACACTTTGTGTTCTTACTACTAACATTTTAAAAATTTATTATAGTCTTTCCAGGTTAACGAATAGGCACACGATCATGTGCTAAGTTTAATCGAGAGAGATTAAAAGATTTAGTTACATTATATGTACATACATATACTCTATGTTTATATAAAAGAGCCATACCACATTTTATACAATTTATCAATATTATTTCCTTTCTCTATATATAATCGTATATACGTTTTAATCATCATTTTAATTAATTAACCATTCACAGTACGTAGCTTTTGGATTTGAAGTCTGTTCTTGTGGGGGAAGCCAAGATATATTATAATTAACGTCGACTTACAAAAACAGTATCTGACACAAACGAAGGGTGGTGTGAACTAATAAAGAGTTTAGATTTGAGAGTCAAAAGACTAAGAAGAAGGGGTGAAAAGCGTCAAACGAAGAGCAAAACACAAATGTCCAAATAAAGCAATTGATGCGTAAGTATTGTTGACTGTTGTGGCTACTCAACCAAACCAGGTAGAAGTTCTTCGGCTAATGCACCCAAGTCATTCCAAAATTCTTCGTCAAGATCATCCACAAAAGTGTTCTCGTCCACCATCTAAGAAGAAGAAGAACAAAAAAAAAAAAGAAAAGTCATCCTCAATGTTGCATGATGGAAATAGTTTTCCATCGATCAAAGAATCCAGAGCCAGAAGGTCCGGCATAGTTTTGATAGTATTTTCTTTTGCTTGTTTGTTTGTCCATACCTGAACATCTTGAGTAATGAGAACCGAGGAAGACTCTCCGACATGACTAGGAGAGATTTTTGGGTCTGTTAAAGCCCGAGATTCCTCTCCGACTTCACTGGTCGCCGGAGCTTTTTTCTTTTTCGTAAGTTTGCAAAGCACAAAAGCATCCTGCATGTACATAAAGTTTTATAGATCCATTAATGATTAAATTTATCTTCTTCTTTTTTCAATGGTTTTAATCATTATATCATAATCAGCTCACCAAATAAACAAACCCTAGCTATTGATGATTTTATGTATTGTGCGTACCTTTTTTGAGTGTCGAATACATGAACTATACTCGTGCATGACCCAGTCAGACTTAATTTTTGGCGTACGCGTTGATGAGGATTTGTCTCCGTTCAAATAGAAAACAAGATATTTCTTGTACCCAATGGTTTTATCATTAACGTTCTTTACAAAAGTGGTTCTTCCCGTTATTTTCCAGTTACCTGTCTTGCAGGACCTCTTTGTCAGCTGAAGTCTGCCGTTTAACTTATGCACAGGTGTAATGATGTGCCACTGACAATCCGATTTCTTTATCGCCATGTCTTTTAATTTTTTCATGCCATATAATTAGTACATAAACAACTGTTAACTCAACACGGAATTTTTAGTGTTTTCAAAAGAAATTGTTAGTATAAATTTGTTAAAAATAAAAAAAAACAGAACAAGTACGTAAGTTTAGTTTACCAGGTATATCTTCTGGCTCGTGTTTGCATAGATCAACTTCTTTTATATCTTCTGGCTCGTGTTTGCATAGATCAACTTCCTTTATATCTTTATCTTCCTCTTCAGTGATCTTCCTATTCAAGTAAGCGATAAGCTCATGATCGAATGGGTTAAAGGTGTGCTGATCAGACATGCTTATGCTGACAAGTTTTTAGGTAGTATAAATTATAAATGCATGAAGAAGAAGAAACTGATGTATAAAATGTTCCCACATTCTCACTTATATAAGGATAAAAATCAGCTTGACAAGTCCGTATAGGCATTTTTTTTCTTTTCAAATCACGTTGTCTTTTTTTTTTTTTAATATTTCTGAAATGATTTTCTTTTTTCTTTTGTAATCAGCTTAACAAGCCTGTAGCTATCTTATGAAATCAACTTAACAAGTCCGTAGCATTATTTTTTAATTACTTTTTATGTTTGTCTTTATTAATCTTACAGAAAGTAATAATCGTGCATGTTGTTGCCTTAAAGCTGAAATATACTTGACATGGAATGCCATCCCATATAGGCAACTGTTCACCCGTAATTTTATAAACTACTTGGCGAAGGTTTGGCTTGTCTTGCGTTGATTGAGGAGGCGTCCAAAGTTGAGTGGTTTAATTGAGCTACTGCCTCTTGAATCCCCATTACCACATTCTTGATATGTTGAGTGTACGTTATTATAGGATCACTGACCCCGACTCATTAAAGTTTTGGAAATAAACTTGAATTCATCAATTTTTTTACATATTTAAAGTGTATGTTAAAGTGTCGAATTGGAATATATAGTTATACGTACTCTTTATACACTTGATTCTATAATGAACGAAGTCGAGTGCTTTTAGAGTAAAGTTTTGACTCTTTTTGTGGCGTTCCTCTCTATAAATTGGGCATTTCATTGTCACCATGCACGAGTCGTACGTACTCAGTCTGGCGAACCTACGTGTAACAAATTAAGGAGGGTCATTATTTGACCTCCCTAAATTTAAAATTCTTGGTTAGTTATTTCATCGGATATATTTTTATACATGTGAAACTAGCTACTTCAATTTGGTTTAGTTACATATATTGTTATAGCTATCTGACATGGGCACAAAATACATCCATATATTGAGTGAGCCATGCATGCATGTATCCCATGGAAATTCAGTAGTTACCAGTTTCTTTTTTGGAACAATTCTTGAGTTCATCGTGAACCTATCTCATTCATACTATTCTAACTAACCAATCAAAACTAGCCATGCCAACTAACTAAATAAATTAAAATAATTCATATTATTTTAAAAAAAAACAATTAAGTTAAATTATTAAAATTTCACTCTCACGTGAGAGAAGAAGAAAAATATTAGATTTTCTAGTACCTTTTTTTTTCTCACGTGAGAGTGAGATTTTAATAATTTAACTTAATTTTTTTTATTCTTATCCACTATTGATAATCCATCAAAACTGTATAATTATAAATACTTAATAGACATACTTATTTAATTCAAGAATATAGTAATTTAAAAAATAAAAATAAGAAGAAAAGAGTAACCTACTACATTTAGCCAAACCCATTGATTAAAAATTGTAAGGAAACTAAAAAAAAAACTTTATAAATTCCTGAAATTTGGAAATGATATATATATATATATATATATATTGTTTTTGGACAACAAGACGAGATGTGGAAATGATTTAAGTAATACTAAAAGTGTAAACTTGTGTGGGAAAGAGACATAAAGATGGAGCGTTACTCTCTTCTTTATAAAAAATTATATAAAAAAATTAATATAGAATTTGGTGGATTTTAGAAAGATTTTGGTACTAAAAACTAAGCCTGTGACCCACAACAGGCACTCCAAATATAGATTTTGGTATTATTCTCTTTTTTTATATATATTTAAACAATTGCATAGTAACTCTACATATTAGACGATTAATTGCCAACGAAATTGCAAAGATAAATTTCTGTTTTATTTTGTTGTAGTTTTCGAAATACATCTCGTTTGGTTAAAAAAAATTATAATAACTTTCTTTAATTTGTATAGATTCTATTCTTATATATGTATCTCCAAATTAAAAGTACATCAATAATGCTGTAAGGATCGGACTTATAAATGTGACTTAACTAAAGTAAATATTCAATGACATCAAACCCCTGGCCCCTTATATAAAGTTATTATTCTTTTATTAAACTCTTTCTATATCCGCCAAATTCTAACATCAAAAGTCAAAAATCTCTAACATTTAAAGTAAAAGAAGATCCAATAATTATATAGCACACCTCGGCGCTCCCTTTATAAAGTTATTACTCATTTATTTATTTATTCAGGCATATTATATGATTAATTACCAACGAAATTGCAAAGAAAAAAAAAAAAGAATCTCTTTAATTTGTTATAGTTTTCAAAAATATTGTTTGGTAAAAAAGGTTTTAATAACTTTATTCAGTTTAAAAAGATTAATAAACTCTTTTTTGTATGATCTCCTAAAGTATATCACCAATGTTGTTAGGAGTTCGATAAATTAAATGTGACTAAACTAAATTGGATCACCAAATTAAAGAAGACATCTATGCATTTGTAGTCGTGTTCCATGTTCATACCATATATACATGCCTATATATATACCTATATATATATATATATATGAAAAATTGAATTTTCATAGCCGCATTGTAGTATTCTAATCATATATATAATATGGAAAACTCTACAGTACAAAACAAAAATCCTGTATCAGTTATATAATTTTCTTGTACATGTATATACATAGAAAAATAGTAGACATTCAGAAAACTTGTAAGTAGTTGCTAATTTAAGACCTATATATTAGACTGTGGTTTGATTAGCCGGTTTAGGTAAACCAGTGAGATTAGATTGAACCAGAACACTCTACGATATAAATAGTGTTTCACTCCAACAAACACCTTCCCGGTTTTAGCGCACCGTTAAATGCACTGTTAAATGCACTGTTAAATGTACCGTTAAATGCACCGTTAAATGCACCGTTAAATGCACCGTTAAATTGTGGAGAGAACGGGAAAGGGTCAACCCATAAATTAAGATTTCCGTTAATTGAGGATGGCTCGAGATTGTTTGAGTTTCCACTAAAAGATGAGATATCTTATAAACAGTATAATAATAATAAAAATAAAATAAAAACAAACAAAGAGACAAGAGGACAGTTTTTGTCTCACTCTCTCTCGCTGAAAACCAAATCTTAGCTTTTTCCTTTTTTTTTTTTTTTTTTTTTTTTTTAATATGGGTTATTGCCTTTTATGGGCAACAAAATAAGTCAGTGCCGTGGCCAGACTTACCATAGGTTTATAGCGATATTAAAATTGGGAGATTTATTTTTAAAATTTTAACAACATATATAAATAAATAAACGGAAAAATAATTAACTTAATAATATAAATTACTGAAAACAAATCAACATTTAAAAAAAAAAACTAAAGTACAGTCTTTCTTCCTTATGTTTCAATATTTTTTTTCACCAAATTCTCATAATTTAGGTTATTTTTATATGGATGTAATAGCTAGCATATGATTTTCACAAGCATCTCATCTTTATTTTCTTATGTCTTTTTTTGTGCTCCAGTTGGATACGATCTCAAAGCCATGTTTCTAAAAATTAAAAAAGAAAACCAATATATCAAATCATAATTCTAAATAAAGGTATTCTAAAAATGTTATGATTACAAGTGCAAAATCTTATTAAAATAAAGTCTGGATATCGAAAACGGATTGGTTAAATATTTTGGTTAAATCTAAGCGAATTAGTTAAATATTTTCATTAAACATTATAAACATACTTAATTGATAGAAAAAAGTGTTAGACATACCAAATCAGTTAATATTTTAGACAATGGTTTTAAATCATTATAAACATGACCAATATGTTTCTAACTATGAAGGCGCATGAAAATTAATATACCGGGCGTTCAATTTTTTTTTTGTTTGGATTAAGAAATTTCTTTATTTAAACATATAAACTTTTAAAAAGTTTCCAAATATTATAATGTTAAAATATTTAAAAAATTCCAAATATTTTAATATTGAAACCTTTAAAGTATTAAAATATATAATTTTGTAAAATATTTTAAATATTAGAAATAATTTTTGAAGAAGTAGATGTAATTTTACGACGGGTCAGAACATGATACACACCACTTAAGTTTTACTACTAAATACTTTGTAATACCAAATATTACATAAAGATGATTTTAAATTATATGCAAAATTGTTCATTTTATAGGTCTTAAAGAACATAGCTAAATAAAATTTTGACGTACATACAAAGTCTTATTTTCAAAAGATACTATTCAAATACTGATTAAATCGAATTATAATACGAATCAATTTTTACCAATAAACTATATTAAGTATCAAAATATGTAAGACACATGTAATTCACGGGTTATTTTGTTAAAATCACAATTATATGGTAGATCGAGTAATGAATCATATTTTTACGAATGCAATCTGTAACGGGTTGGTGTTTTAAACATATATTGTGATTATGTAATTTTTGTGAATGCAAATATTTTATCTAATTTTTACGTATATTCCTCCTTCTACTACAAGAATGGTCAAACTTAATTATTTATCGATAAATAATCTTTCTCGTTGTTAAATTTTTCTCTATTTTTTTTATTTTGTATCAAAACTCATTATGTTACCATTTACTCACTTTTTCCTACTATTTTATTCAAACTCATTACATAAAATATATGATTTATTGTAATCGACTGCACTGTAATGAAAAGAAATATGACATATTATAATCCGTTAAAATTGTATATATGTAAAATTTTCTTCCACGCTACAGCGCGGGTCTGACCCTAGTAAGAAAATCAACTTTCAACTTTCAAAATCAATGCAAAAGTATATGCAAAAGTAAAGATGCATGGTTTTGAATCCAATAACCACATATTTATGAGGATTTTAAATGACTTTTTACAAATTAATAACTAATAACACCAAACTTTTAAAAAATTTAATAAAGTCTTGATCGAATAACAACAGATATTAAATAACATCTAAAGTCATTAAAACACAAATATTATATACATCTTTCAAGCATAGTATATGTACTATTCAACTTTCAAGAACAATTATCCAAGTCTCTCCATACAACTATCTAATAATTAATTTAAAATATTTTTTTTAAGTAAATGCTAAAGATATATAATGTACATTTTACATTTAATAAAAAAATGACAAAGTTCGTTGTCATTTTGTATTCTTTATTAGTAGGATACATTAGATTTAGTGATTTACTCTACTTTTGAGCTAATTGATAACCAAAAAAATCTAACAGCTTTTATGAGATTATTACTTATATTGAGATCTGATCAATTTTACACATAATATAAGAGAAAACAACAACAAAATCTTATTTCAACAACAACAACAACAACAACAACAACAAAAATCTTATTTCTATGAGAGAAAACAAGATGTCATCATCACATTTAGCTATCTTTTGCATCATCCTCATTTCATTTTTTGCTCTTCATGAATGTACGTACGTACGCTAAGTATATATACATATAGTTTAATCATCCACATTTTTTTACAACTAATTTTTTGAACAAAATTGATTATTTTCCGTATAGGTGGAAACGTGAAGGAGAGAAATCTTGATGCAAGAAGCATGGATGATTTCTCACCGTGCTTTCGGAGACGTTGCTACTCTAGCTTGTTGTTGGTTTGTCATTGCTGCAGAGGTGCCCATCATTATTGTTCCCATAGCCTTAAACGTTGCGAGGCTGCGTGTCTCAAACTTAACCCGCCACCTTCCTCTTTCTCATTAAAAACATGAATCGTCTTACCATTCTACTAATTCGCTTTCCTTTTTTTTATCATAATAAAAGTTAATAACAATATGTGATTCTAGCAACTGTACTTTATATGACAAATCGTATTCAAATAAAAAAATGTTTATTGTAAAAAACAATTCAGCATTTTAATAAAAATCTATGCATATATTGCCGTTAAGACGCTTAAGTAGTCGGACGACTCAGACCAGAACATAGAAAGACCATAACGTCTTAAAGAAACTGTACAGAGAGACATTGTCTTTGACTCTTTTTGGTCAAAGGGCGTTTAAGAAAACAAAAGCCTACAGCTGCTTGTGGTCACGGAGACTTAGGTCAATGAGCGGCTACATAGCACAAGGCTTCCCGAACTGATTCTGTGCCTTAGCTTCCACGTTTCATTTAGAATATCGGAGACGTTAGGTCGTGTAAGATACTCTGTTACATCCATCTTTAGTCTCCTTATGGGATACACAGGCTTTGTGGATGAGTAACATGGGCTCCAGCTTCCTCTGCTACTTATGGTACCAATGCTCCTCCCTTGCCCACTCGATGCATCCTATCAGCAAATAATCATGTCAGAGAATATTAAAAAAAAGCAGAATCTTTCTACAAGTCATCTATCAAACAGGCACTTGGTGTGTACGGTTAGGGAAAAAATTATTATTACCTGAGCTGCATCCGACTCCCAGACGAGATTTTTTGTGTTTGGTGTGTGTGGCAACTTATTAAGGCATGCCAATGCTGCAGAAGTGTCGTCTGGAGTTTCCCATTGCAACCAAGGAAGCATAACACCGTCCATTTCAACAGGGACACTCTTCAGAACAGTGGCACTTTGAGAGCTTTGTGATTTTACCATCCCAAAACTTGAACTACTTTCGCTTCTCTCATCCTCCAGTGATGAAAAATCTGTGTCTTCTATGTTTGAAATGAATTCGTCGATGAATTGCTCTGCTTCATCTGTCAAACACATGGACGTCCTCCTGCTCCGGTCCTTGCTCCTCTGTAAAAGAAGAAGAGAGAGGATTTATATCTTTTTATGAAAAGAGCAAACCTGAAGAGGAAACATAGGCTGTTGTGAGGGTTAGTTGAAATCCTGACTTTTCGCGTCCGCAACGGCTTTTCCTCAGCTTCAGAACTATTTTCTGTGAGTAATTCTTTCAAGTTCATAGAGAGCTCTCTACCACGCTGCTCCTCCAGCATAATCTCAGCCAGTAAATCCCGTTTCCGATCCTCAGACTGCCAATTCAGAGGGTAAATGAAGGGGTCTTTATTTGATCACCAATCCCTTAATGGAATAAACTACCAAAACATATGCAAAGAAGTTGTACCTCTTGCAATTTTGTGGCATAACCTTTCTTAAATGTGGAAATAGTACGGTGATCATCATGGGATTTCTGCTGAGAACCATAGTCAGAGTTCCCCAAAGATTCTCTTTTCTTAGGTGTTGCCTGTATAAACACATTGTTCATTAGGATAGGAAAAGCATGTTTCCAAGGGAAGTAGGCACATCAATTAACAGTAGTAGGATATTGTCCAATGTCATCTTCTCTATGATAAATCATTCTAAATTCTTATTCACTCAGGTTTTCTCAGTTTAAAGCAACAACCAGAGAGATCAGCCATGGACTGGTTTCAAGCAGAGAGTGTACAATCATATGTAAGTAAGTTTATAATTGTTAGGTGAACACCCACAAACCTTATTTTGGGCATATACTGTTCGAATTATCCTCTCAGTTCCATGCTTGCTTGACCTGGAGTCCTTTCCTTCATCATCTGTGACTGCAGAAGAATGGCTCTGTACCATCCAAACAAATTTATCCCCGTCAGTGACGAAAAGCATATAATATGTTCAGAATATGAAATAAGACCAGATATATACATATATCATACACAAAAAAAGTTTAATTAAGCAGCAAAACGCTTTTTAACAAAGGTTGAATATCTTAATCTCAAAAGTTAAACCAAAGTATAATTAGACTCACAGAGTAGCCATCGTGGTATTTGACTGGATTTTGGCTAGAAGACCTCCTAAGACTTTGTCTATTATCTGAAGAAGCAGATTTAGACCCACTATTTTGACTCTTTCCACTCATGTAGCTCTTCACATCCCTTGAACTGCTTGAATATTGAGCTTGATCTACATCACTCTGCAAATGTAACAAACAAATCACTATCCATATCAACAAGCTAAATGCAGACAACAATGAAAATTGCTCATACGCTGCTCCTACTGATTCTAGACCAATCAAGCCACTCTTTGCAACTGTTTCTAGGACCCATAAAAATAAATCAATTGAAGATATCAAAATCAAAAAGGGTAAGAAATGAAAGAACCCCACCTTAAAACCAAGTCAAGCATGGTTCTGTTGCTACAAAGTTATCTCATAATTACAACTAAAATCGTGATGGGATTGATAATTATATCTTCCTAATAAAGTTCCAATTGTAACTAAAAAGGTAAAAAGTTCGTAATAGATATTGCATCACATCATAATCATACAAGAAGGGCCCAGAGAAAACTATATAATAAGAAGAGATTTTATCATCATCAAGCAACAAAGTAAGCAATCACAAAAGTCTTATTATACCTCAGAATTCTCAATCCGACGACGGACAACAGAAAGCGACCGTCGCCGCCGCGAATTCGCGCTATCACGATCCTCCCCAAGTGCATTACCACCGTTGTCGCCGTTAACCTTCCTCTCCTTCGGTTGTCTAGAAACCGACCTTCGCCGGCGCGAATTCGCGTTTTCCCGATCTCCTCCAATTGCACTACCACCGTTGTCGCCGTTAACCTTCCTCTCCCGCGGTTGTCTAGAAACCGACCTCCGCCGGGTCGAATTGTTACTCACCGGATCTACCCTAACTGAACCACCACGATTACTTGGCGGCTGTCTAGACAACGACCTCCGCCGTCTGGAGCTTTCAGTGTCCGCATCCAACCTCCGTAAACCAGCAGCGTTACCACCAGAACCAACAACCCTAGATACAGACCGTCCCCTCCTTTGCGAATTCGTCCCCTCTCCTCCGCCTCCGCTTCCGCTACCGGACTTTCTAAAACCAGATCGTCCTCTTTCTCCGCTGCTAATCTCGCTCTCACCGGAAAACGATTCGAAAAACTCGACAGCTAAATCATCGAGGCTAATTTCACCGAATCCAGAACCTCTCACTGTGTTCACGAACTTCCCTTTTCTCATTGGAGTCACTTCGATTTCCGGATCCGGCATGCGGTGAGAGAAACGGCTCAAGCTCCGGTGTCTTCTGGAAGGAGCAGACCTCCGTGTGGAGTGAGAAGAGTCGTCGCCGCTCTCGGATGATTTGGCTAGTGACGTCGTCGTGCGCTTCATCGTGGAATTGAAAGCTGAAGTCGCCATTGAGAGAGGAAGGAGCTAGCTCCGCTCTACTGGAGAAGGAAGGGGAGGAGCGGATGATTCGACATTTTGAATTGTTGAGCTGTTCGAGGAATCAATTGCATTATGCTATGTCCCCAATTAATTCAATTTTGACTTGAATGCTTTCAAATTCTTTTTTGAAAACATAATTCGTTTTTAAAAAACAAATTAATTATATCATTTTTATACGGATTTCTTTCTTTCTTTCTTTTTTTCACCTTAATCGTACGATAATCAAAGCCTTGATTTAAATCCGGGATATTACTGCCTAGGACTATATTGGGCTTAGTCCAGGCCTAAACTGAATTCAAAGCCCAATCATTGATACTATTATGTCCTGCAATCAAATTGTTTGTTAGTGTAGCAGTAGCACAACAATTCCAACAATTCCCCTTAAGGGATTTGACACTTGTCTCTCCAGCTCGCGTTGACACTATTCTATTGCTTGCTGAGCCTGCCAAAACACCAAGCAAAAAGAGCGAGGAACAACTGATAGGGAGGAGCTGCTTGATACACCCAATTACTAGAAGAGAGTATAAACCCAATTACGCTGTCCAGAAAGGCATACACTAAATTTATGTATCAAACCATCACTGTCTAACGGAACCAGAGCAGACACAAGGGACGATCTACCAGAAAACTACTAAGAATGCTGAATGTATATGGTTGGATACCAAGAAATATACACAGATTTTGTTAGAGCTAAGCCAAAATCTAAAATCTTTGTATAGGTGTTGACTGAGTTAACTTTTTATTAGAGTTGGCCAAGATCTTAAATCATGCATTGTGTGATTAAACATATATATATATGCCACCACAACCTAAGTACTAGTCCGATAATTAAGCATACAAAGCAGGAGACAGACAATATAAAAAAAGAGATACATACCCAATTAACCGGAGTAACTCAGAATTTATATAAACTAAAAAAAAAAAAACTGAAAACAACCAAACACTGCAAAACAGGAAATAAAGATGAAAGTGTCAAAAGCTACAAAACTGCGAAATTAATATGTACAATCCTAAAGTTGTAAGTCCAAAAGATCTCTAAACTTGCATGTCGCTATATATTAAGTAGTATCCTCATGTTATCATCCAACGGCCAAAAACTCTTCCAAATCATCTCACCGTCCAAGGCACAGTGCAGCATCAACATCAAGCCGCCACGCAAAGCCACCGTCACTCATCCTCCAAACATCACAGAACGAAGTGATCGAACTCACCTCCTTATCACGACACGTGTACTGCAATCTCATCCTACACGTGAACGTCCGGTACGTTACCAAAGGCCTCTCCTTCATCACAAGCCACACACTCATCTTACTATAGTACTGCTTCTCCTGATCTTTCCCAACAACCAAATCCTTGTACGACCCGTTCGTCCAAACGACTCTACCTAAACCGTCCGATATGAAACACGGACACGTGTCTCTCTCTAGTTTCATCTTCCTCTCCTCGTCCGTACACCCTAACTCAAACTCTCCTTCCTCCACCCATCTCTCCGTTACACCCTCCACCGTCAGCAACGACGACACAACCGTCTCCGTCATTAACTCCGTCTGGTAACGTCTGATAGAGTTATCTCCGTCGTTAAAACTCAGCCACAACGCCGCCGCACCTAACTCCGGCGCCGCCTTACCCCGCGACGGAGAAGACTCTTTCTTCTTTTCAGGAGTCTCCGGAAGAAGAGGCAGCGTCACGATCTCTCCACCACCGACACCACCAGATCCGTTCTTCGTCTCTTCCTTTCTCCGTCTTTTGCTGTTACCGTTACTATTAACGGATCCGCTACCGCTACTGCTACTGTTATTATTCTCCTTTGAATATTTCCTCTTACCTCTCCGTGACTTAGACGAAACGCTCGTTAACACCGATCCATTTTTCTCCGTCGGTGAAGACGGAGATCCACCGGAATCAGGTCTAGGTGCAATCGGACGGTACCGGAGCATAATCCGATCAACCTTCGACATATCATATCCACCACCACCACCACCACTACCACCGTACCTCGCAATACAACAGCCTCCCCGGAAATTCATAACTTTTGTTTAATTACCAAAACAAAGTTTTGTGTTTTGTTGGAGAAGATGAAGCGTGTTTGGTACAAGTATATAAAGAAAAGAAACTGTTACGTTCGACACGTTTGGGGAAACCTTTGCCACGTGCGAGACCAAACGATGAACAGCGCAACGACGTGATTGGACGAGAGAGCAGAGACGTGGCGGTGTATTTGGGTCCGACATAAGACTCGCAGTACGAGGGGGGAGGGGGAGGGAGTAAGGACCAATGAGAGAGTGAGGAGTGGTCAGTAAGGTGCGGTGCGATTAAAGTTAGACACATAAGGCTGCGACTTTGGAGTTACGTGTAACTGAACGCGAAGGGTTTTGGTTTGAGTAAGATGATAGGACACATGGCGTAATCTCGTTTGTTCCTTTTTTGTTTTGTACGTTATTTTAAAATTTAAGTTTGGTTTCTATTATTAGCATGTAAGATGGAGAGGATTGTGACACGTGGTGAGTTAAGCGGTGACACGAATCTCCTTTGGATCATTGGATGTGGATCGTCGCATTTATTTCCAGAAGAAGGTACTTTTGGTGGAATTGTATAAATTTTGGTATTATTATTAATTTCGCATTAGAAAATATCTAAGTTCGTGATTTCACTAAGTTACAAAACTAAATAAAAGAGTTTTATTTGTTTCCTACTATACTAGGGCCGTGAATGTACGAGATGGTGTAAGGGGAGCTGTTATAATCGTTGTGAAATCTTCGGTTCAACATAATTAGTTTTTATTATGAGATTATTGATTCAAATTATGTATTCAGAGTATGATCTTGTATACATTTCCTTTTTATTGTTTTATTGTCAAGTAAAAATTTATTTTTCTCCTTTTCTACATATGTTTAAATGAGTTAATAAAAGAAATATAAACTAATATAATGATATATTCGAAAATATTTGGTCGAACCAAATTAAAAAAATAACAAATTACGGTCTACGAGCATCAAATTAGTGAGGCTTATTAAATTAATCGGAATCCAATATAGCAAAACTGATAAAATCTGCTTGTTGATAACCACAAAATCAATTGGAAAAACATATCCAGATTGTTTGATGTATATTTTGTTCACATAGGAAAGAATGTTATAAAACAGTTTTACTAATGAAATAATAATGATTTTTTTACGAAATTATAAAACTTTTATTAAAATTCTATAACATTTTCATCACTATATGCAGGTTGAGAGCACATTTGTTAAGCAAATCATATTAACATCTTATTTGTTTTTTTTTTTTAACATGGAGTATATAAATGTTCTAATCAAAACTGTTTAAACTTTAAATAAAAGAGTATGACATTTACCCATTACAATATTATTTTTTCCACATGTCCTAGATTCTTCCTTGGGTTTGCATTTTTCTTTTTTGTCGAGGGTTTGACATTTACACATTACGATTTGTTTTAGTTTTTCTTTTTGTTGTAATTATATTTCGGCTGGAAAACATAAATGCATTGGTTTCTATTATTAGCATGTAAGATGGAGGGGATTGTGACACGTGGAGAGTAAGATGGTGACACGAATCTCCTTTGAATGTGGATTGTTGCATTTATTTCCAGAAGAAGATACTTTTGGATTGCATATAATTGGTGGAATTATAATATACAGTTTTAATACAAATTAGAAAATATCTACCTAATTTTCCAACCTTCAGATTTTTTCACTAACTTACAAAACTAAATCTCAAGAAAATTTATTTTTTAGTATATATCATACATAATAAATAAATAGTTCGGAGTAGTTTGTTCAAAAAAAAAAAATCATAATATATTGGTTGAGGTCTTGGGGAGTAAGGAGATATTTTTCTTATAATAATATCATGTGAATAGACATGTCATCTTATTAAAGGAAAGAAAAGTATTTTAAATAATAATTAAAATTACTAATTGAAATGTTCTATAATTTAATGGTTTAGAACTTTTAAAATATCAATTAAAATGATGATAAATAAGAACTCAATTTTTTTTTCAAGATACAATTTTCTTTGTAACTAGTTAATCTAGAATTCCTAAAAAATATGATAATCAAAGCCATATTTTCTTAAAATAAAAGGTATAATAATTAAAATAATTAATGTGTTTTTTGAAAAAAAAAAGTTACTAGTGGTTGATGCAAATATTATTGAACATAAGCCAATTTTTATTATAGCTAGAACTTAAACTTATGTTACATTAGATTTCATCAACGATACACACGAGAAAAGTTATTAATGTGACTTTTTGCTAGGTCCTAGTGGAGGAATCTGAAGGTTCTTAGGTAACATTTCGAAAACAAGACGTTGTGATGGTGACCACTGTACATTGTTCTTTGTACCCGGTGGTTGTTTGTGACTAGGACCCGAAGGTGGAACAAGCCTTCTTGTAACCGGTGGTTCTTCCGGAATAGGACCCGAGGATGGTCCTGATTCTTTCCGGCTTGGACCCGACGGTGGAACAAGCATTCCTGTGATGTGCTTTGGATCAACCGATCTTTCGAGTGATCTTCGCGACTGACGAAAGTTTCCAGATTGATGCAAGAGGCTCTTCTCCGTAGCTTCAAGAACACCTACAGAGACAAAGAGGAGAACAAACAGTGTTGCCACAACGTACGAATTTGATTTCTTCATTACAAGATACTTTTTGAAAACTGGTGTAGTAAACTCTGTGATGATCATGTTTGCGTTTTATAACATTGTCATAGTTCTAATCTTATTTCTTCATAATACATTATGGTAATCCTTTTAGTGCAACTTTGAATAGTCTCATTAACAAAAGGGAATTTACTTTTTGATGTATCCATACTTGTTAGTAGTAGTGGTATAATAAGAAAAAAATCTTATCACTACCAAAAAAGAAAAAAGAAAAAAGAAAAAAAAACTTATATGGTTGGTTTAAGGTCAACCGTTCATGAAAGTTTAATTCATAACTCAATTCATAGTATCACAATACATGTCAATTTTAAATGTATGTCTTGTTATGTAAAATTTAATTCATAGTATCACAATACATGTCAATTTTTTATTATTATATAATGTTATATATATTTATAAAATGGACAAATGAAAGATGAAAGATCTCTAATGGTAATGTAATAGACAACAACAAAAAAAAAAATTAACTAAAAAGTATAATAATAATTTAGCTATTTTTATTAGATTAGATAAATTAAGATATGAGGGTTATCACATTAAACTTAATATAGTGTTTCTAATATAATAATACCTTCAAATTTTGTTTCTCATATCTAATTATAAGATTTTTTTTTGTGTGTGATATTACAAGCTTTATATTTAAAATAATTGTGAAACTAATTCTGGTAATCTGGTAATCATTCTAGCAAAACTGTAACAACTTTCATAAAATTTTATATTAAAGTAAGTTGTGTGTGAAATTAGTAGCAATCTGGTTTTGTTATTCAATTACCCTCAAAATATATTTTATATTTCTTTAAATAAGTTAAAAAAAACTTTAAAAATAAATAAAATAACTTTGAGATTCTCAAACCTTATAATACCACTTCATATCATTTGAACTGTCATACTAAAACAGTTTATTATAAATGAATCTATAAATTTTCAGTTGGTTTAATTTGTGTGGTGTTTCACAAATGAATCTTTAAACAGTTTATTTATTATAAATGAATCTCTAAACAGTTTCAAATCTGTTCATATAACAAGATTCAAAGTTAGTTTAATTGTAATTCAACATAATTATGCCTAAAATTGAAAGCAAAATTACTAAACTGTCTTAAAAAAAACTTGGTGAACCTTAGAAAAATAAAAACAGCAACTATGTATAGTTGTGAGGCAGCATCATAGATTCTGTGCTACTAGGTTTTTAGGAGAATAACTTCAAAATTTTAGTACTCATACCATATCAGATTCTAATGTTTTCAAATTTCAATGTTCCACCATTTTTTTCTGTCATTTTGATTATTTTTTCTCTTTATTCACCTGACATGGCCAATAAACCTTAGTGAAACACTGCACAAAACTGCAGCAAACGTTGCTCTTAAGACAAAAGACATTCCGGTTGGGGAACAAAAACCTCAGGAGAGTTATTTTTAAGACAAGAAAGAAGAAAAGAGAGATCTCAAACTCCTTTTAATTTCATGTAGACACAACCTTCTTCACCACTTTGGTAACTTCTTCTGGGGCCTTCTCTGCTGGTATGTTCACAAGATTACCTTTCTTAGCGTAGTAGTCTATTACCTGCAACAACCACAACAACAACGATCAAATCTCCAATACTCTTCACTCAAGCTCGAATGCTTTATGAAACTTACCGGTTGTGTCTGCTTGTGGAATGCATCAAGCCTTGATCTTAGAACATCCGCATTGTCATCTTTACGTTGAATCAATGGCTCTCCAGTCACCTAAAAACATTCAAGTTGATACATAAATCAATCGTCAAAGCTCCGATTTGCTAGTCAAATATTGGGAATGAGTTGGTTTTCCTTACATCATCGACTCCGGGAACTTTGGGAGGTGCGAATTTGGTATGATAGCTCCTTCCACTTGAAGGGTGAATCCACCTTCCAGTAATTCTTTCTTCCAGAACAGAATCATCAATCGCAAAATTAAGCACCTTATCTATCTGAGCTCCCCTTCTATTAAGCATCTCATCAAGCTACAGGATTTATAAAACAAGGTCAGAACATTTACAAGAGCAGATACAAAACAAACAACCGAGCACAGAAACGAATCAGAAACCTTCTCAGCTTGGGTCACGGTCCTAGGGAACCCATCAAGAATAAAACCTTTCTGACATTTGGGTTTGTTCATTGCTTCATCCATGATACCAACAACTAAGTCATCAGAAACAAGCTCTCCCTGGAGAAAAAAAAAAAAGTTCTGATTCAAAACTAACACCAATAACATGAAAGCTTAATAGAAAACAAACCAAGTCTGTGTTTTTCTGTTACCTTGTCCATTGCCTCCTTGGCCTTAACACCAAGAGGAGACTTAGCAGCAACAGCAGCTCGAAGCATGTCACCGGTAGACAAATGGCACAAGCAAAACTCATCCTTTATGACAGGAGACTGTGTACCTTTTCCTGAACCAGGTGGACCTGCCGATGCAAACCATAGATAAGCTTAGAGCACAAACATGAAACCCGGTAATTCACATTCTTTGTTCAACTATGAGGACATCTATCTTAGGGTTAAACAAGAATCTGAGCTAAAAAACATCAACCCCTTCACTATGATCATCAGATAAAGACTTAGGGATAGCAGCAAAAATACAATTTTTAAAGACTAAAACAGATAAAAATCGAAACTTTCACAACACAATTCACAGAGAAATCACACAATTGAGTGAAAATTTCAGAGGGTAACAAAGAGATCAATTTTACCGATGAAGACGAGACGTTTGTCAGGCTTAGAAGCACATTTCATACGGCGAAGAAGCTCAGACATGAGATCAACGGTCTGAATGTCTTCCATATCTACAGAAGCCGCACTGCTCGACGCCATGTTCGCTCGTTCGTTCGTTTCGTCTCTTACAGAGAGAATTTAGATTTGGTCTGGTGGGTTCTCTTTTTGAAGTGCGTGTAGCTTAGATTCGATGCTTCCAATGTCGTCTCTCACATATTTACGATATTACCCTTCACTGTTCCAACAACTACAAGTCAAGTCCCTGCCCCTCGAACAACCCTCTGGGGTTGGTGACACACCCACCTTCGAAAACGAGTCTTTGCACATATTTCATAATTACATAAATCAAATATTTAAACATTAACAAGACAAAATATTTGGATTTCTTTGTCACGGGAACATGAAACATTATGCTTCTTTGCATACTCAATACCATCTTCTCTGCCTTAGATTTCCCATTCTCTCCATGGTTCCACAACTTTGAGTTCCGGGTTTAGTGAGGAAAGGTGAGTTCAAAGCGAACCTGATTAAACATTAAAACCAATATAAGAAGCTAATGGATCTCCTCTAGGAGACTTAACTACGTGGTTCCATCATCCCCGGGGAAATTTATCCAAAAATGTTACCTTCAGCGATGACAGGACGCGCCATTGAGGTACCAAGCGAGTATTTTCGCTCATAGATGGCGCCAGGCCAGCTCTAAGACAAAGGGATTATGTAATCTTACACAAACTCTTCCGTTAGATTCTTAACAACCAACTGAGAAGCACCACTGGCCTTGGCCTTTTGTTCTAAACCCTCCAACTCTTTTAAGCCCTGCAGATTAAACATTTAGGACAAGTGAAGAAGATACTGTACTGCAATACAAACGTAAGAGCCAAAAAAACATGTTTTCAAGAGTCAAATAATTGGAACACTAGTTTGTGATGTACCTGACCAACATCTGCAGTAAAGCACACAACTTCACAGCCATAATTCTCTCAAAAAACATGGAAAATGCAAAGAGTCCATGTAAGCCGACACATGTTAACGGTTATATAAACATCATGAAACAAAAATCACCCCTTCAAAGCATCTAAAATGGCTAATCCACATCGTAACTAGCTACGGATATACATGGTTTTAGATCTTTATCTTTACTACTTGACTAATACATTCTAGACAAACTATAGCAGTAATGTTAGACCTCAAGAAACAAAACAAAAAACATACTTTAGCCATCAGCACAATGACAGAAGTGTTAAAACCTCCACTGTAGGCTAGAAAAACTTTCTTGAGTTTCCCACGAAGCCCTCTGAATCAGTAGCTACCACGCACAACATTTCCATTACCATATAGAACATCCCAAATAGCTACAAAGCAAGAAACTTACTTTCAAAATTTTGAGGATATCACTTTCAACTTTTCTTACTGTATATAATCATTTTTTTTTTTTTATTAATGAGAATATGAGATGTAAACTGTAATAAAGGAGAAGAAAAATCTACAAATTAAAACCATCACCTTTTCATTTAACAGTGTTTAAGAAAAAAAGAAAATGCATTGGCTTATTTTTATGAAAGAGAGATTCGTAAAGGCAATGATGATGTCATAAAATTAACGGTATAGTAGTAGTAAAAGGAACGGATCTAGTTTTCTCGTCAAAAATCACAAAGCGTGCAGCTGCCACGTCAGCTGGGATATTTGGTCGCCCGTACCTCCCCTTCTCTCTCTCTCTCACTCTCTCAAGTCAAACCCAAACCTTCTCTCAGATTCTCCGGCGGATCGATCGATCATGTCAGCAGGTAAATAAGCTCACTCCGATCTCTTCTGATTCAAATCTCCGGTCACCTTTCCCATGATTTAGTTTTTGTGGCGGATGATTGATATATAGGAGGTTCATCTCCGGCGAGTTTGTGGCTGGCACCGAATCCGAGTAAGAGATGGGGAGAGCTCTTCTTCCTCTTCTACACTCCTTTCTGGCTCACTCTTTCTCTTGGGATCGTTGTTCCTTACAAGCTTTACGAGGTCTCTCCTCTATCTCTCTCTTCCTAATTTTATACGATTTATCAAATGAGCAGAGTTAGGCTTGTTTGGCTCCAGTTATACTATACTTGACTTCAGCTTTCTAGTGAAATTAGATCAAGAATTTGTAAGTTTTTAGTGTTTTAGGGATCTGACGATTTGATTGGTTTCGAAGTTCTCTCAAAGTGGGATTTTAGATATATATATATACTTGAAGAGTGCTAAAGAAGTGGCTTTTGAACAACTTGTAGACATTTACGGAGTTGGAGTATCTGCTTCTGGGCTTGGTTTCAGCTGTTCCTGCTTTCATCATACCCATGTTACTCGTTGGAAAGGTTTCTCTACTTTTTTACACTCATTCATTCATTCTCTGTTTATCTTTTCTTGTTATCGCGGATATGCAGTGGTTTTAGTGTTTCTTCATCTCTATTGTGCATTTCACCTTGGACTTGTGTTTTGATGCTACTTTTAACAGTAAAGGTTGAAGATATCGAAACAGTGTTATTGTACTTACTTGAATAAATATGCAGCTAGACCTGTTCCAGTGAGATAATAAGCTGTGTTGACTTTGTTACTTCTTGTGAACTTTGCTTTTACTGAGGGCTACATTTTTGTTGGTGCTTTTTACTTGTTTATCTATGGCCGATTGAATGCAAAAGTCTATCGTATACTTCAACACTCTGAATTCGTTCATTCTTTCGTTGTCACCATCTTATCTTAATAGTACATACTAACTTGGATTAGTAATTGCTACTTTAACAGTCGTAGATGGAAGATATTGAAACTGTGTATTGTACTGTCTTCTACAAAATGCTGCTATACCTGTTGTAATGTGATTTTATATATTATTTGGCTATATCAAAGATGTGTTGACTTTATTACTTGTTGATAATTCTGCTTTCACTGTGACCTTTACATGTTGGTGCTTTACTTCTTTGTCTATGGCCTTACATATCTACTTGCGTCCAATGGAAAGGATACCTCTGTTCTTTTCACTCAAAATAAAAATGCATTTTTTTTTTTTAGGCTGACAGAAGTTTATGCTGGAAGGACCGCTATTGGGTTAAGGCAAGCTCTTTCTTCCTCTGTCCATGAATTTTTGCTTCCCAGATTTAGTTTCAACTCTTTGTGGATTTAAAAGTCTGAGATACTTTTTGATTTTAATTTCATTGAGGTTAGTGGTCAGAGCATTCATTCTCATGATTCTCATCCATAGTTGTACTGATTGGTAATTAATTCTACTACAGGCAAATCTCTGGATAATTATTTTCAGCTATGTGGGAAACTACTTTTGGACACACTACTTCTTTAAAGTTCTTGGAGCGTCGTATACGTTTCCATCATGGAAAATGAATAATGTAAGCACAACAAATTCAGTGGATAACTTCGGTAGCTGTGTTCTGTTGAGTATTTTTCTTGTTTCTATGGGATCATGGCAGGTTTTTGGTTATTTCTTTTCTGTGTTGAACAGGTCCCTCACACAACATTCTTCTTAACACATGTTTGCTTCCTCTTTTACCACGTTGCATCGAACATTACTCTTCGAAGGCTACGACATTCCATTGCTGACTTACCAGATTCTCTGAAATGGTGTTTTGAGGCTGGATGGATACTGGCGCTTTCTTATTTCATTGCATACTTGGAGACTATTGCCATTGCAAATGTATGTTGTGATTTCTTCATTTCTATGATAGTTCCTATAAAAAGTTTCAGAAGGCATCTTACTTTGTGCTTTATCAATAGTATAATCTTCTTATGTAATCTGCTTAAGGGCTATGTTTATCTACTTAATCATTCTAAAATCTTGTTTGGAAACAAAAACTTCACAAAAACCGTTCATATGTTTTGTTTGTTTTCAACGTGTGCAGTTTCCTTACTACGAGTTCGTGGACCGAAGTGCCATGTACAGAGTTGGATGTTTGTTCTATGCCATTTACTTCCTTGTGAGCTTTCCAATGTTCTTCAGGTAAAGAACAGCCTCAAGCCATAGTTTTCTGAATTTCGAGTTTCCTGATCAACATCTCGTAGAAACGGTGAATCGTTTTACCATCATGACTGTTGCATATCACAACTGAGGAAAGCGATAACTGATTGCGTTATATATAGGGTATTAAAAAATAGGATATAGAGACATTTATATATGGAGAATGACCCTCCAGATCTTTCTCAAGTGCCTTGAGAAGTTCTTAGAACCATTGTGCCAACTCTGTGATATGTCATATGTCTCCTTAATTTTGTCATATTTCTTACTACTTAAATGTCTTTCTGTTTTCTTATGCATTAATTGGTGGGGGTTTGCAGGATGGATGAGAAATCAAGTAACGAATGGGATTTATCCCGAGTGGCTGTTGATGCTTTGGGTGCTGCTATGTTGGTAACAATCATTCTTGATCTATGGCGTCTCTTCTTGGGACCTATAGTTCCCTTACCAGAAGCACAAAAATGCCTAGAGTCTGGATTACCTTGGTTCTCCAGCTGAAAATTGAAAGATCGGCTGCTTCCACCAATTCAGAGATAGCATTGGGCTGAAAGAGAAACCTGCGCAAGAGTGTCCGTGAACACTTCACAGAATCAAGAAACAGTTAAATGTGATTTTGGGCATGTTTCTGAGGTTTTTCTTCTCCCAGATGACTGCTGCTTTGTTTTTATTTTTCTGTTTCTCCTTATGAACTTGTCAATGAAATCTTTGAAGATTATCATTTACAGAACAGAATGGAACTTTCTTTGTTGCGGAATTATCATTTAAGTGATATCTTACTTCTCCCTAGCGTTTGTTCCATCCTTGAAGTGCCCTTATGGTCAGTAACTCAAATGGGATGCTGGTACATACCTGCAACACGATCAGAACATTAATCTCTTTACGTATCTGAAGCATCCATGATTCTTCAAACAGGTACACGTTCTCTCTGCTTCAGTAGACCGGTCTTAGTATAATAATGGGAGAAAGAACAAGACTGCTCTCGATTTTCATAATCTTTAATCTCCAAAGACTCAATGCATATCACATGAAAACTTTGAGAGATATGGAGATAAGAGTCTTAAAATGATATATAATCTAAAGATCAAAGTCTCATTCCAATCAGATAACCCTGTTTCAAAATAAACAATTAACGATCCTAGTATAGGAGCAGTCTACAACTTTCAAATATAAAAACATAAAGTAAAGAGAAAAGTCACTGAATTAGCATCACACTGATACTAACTCAGATTCACTGTAGTTTGTATGAAAAAAAAGTCTAGAAAGAAAACAGAAACAAAACAGGGTTTCTTGAGAAATCTGATCTCTACCATCTTCTACTCCTTCTTCTCTTTGCCACTTTCCATTTCAAGCTTCACCTTTGCTTCATCATCAACTGCAACATTGCTCGAAATCTCTGGAACATCATCAACTTCCTCCTTCGGTTTCTTGTCCACAGTCTCCATTTTTATCATCATTCCAAGCTTCTCTGCTTCATCATCAATTCCAACATTGTTCATAGTTTGCACTACTTCATCGTCAGCCTCCTCCTTTGGATTCTTGATAGCCAAATTCTCCAATTCTTTCATCTCCTCCTTAGTGACAACCTTGAGAAGCTCTGGTGACAAATGTGCTGGATCAAGCTCCAAGCAACCTTCAGGAGCATTCTCACCATCTTGATTTGTAAGAAAATGAGAAGCCACCTGATGCGAGAACCTAAACAGCTCATACCTTGGGAATGTCCTCTGGTTTGGATGGCGACGAAACACAGCTACGAATCCTGGGACTTTAACAAGCGGCACAACCGTCACACCTCCTTCTTCATCGAAATCTTGAATCACTTCAACAATTTCATACTTGTCCACAACTTCTTCAGGAGTTGAACTGTTCCAAGATGGTGACCAGTTTGTATACAGAGCCCAAACATCGCCTTTCTTCGGATAGATGTGCACAAACCCTTTGGCATCTTTTGCCCACTTGACTTTATGGGAGAAAGAGTCGAAAGACTCACAACTGCTAGCCTTCCCGATTGAGAAGTGTCCGCTCGTCTTGTAAAACCCCGATTCAATCCACTTCATTGGACCCAGTTCCTCATTTTTCTTGCTATACAGCCAAGAAAAACACAGCTTGAACGGTTCTTGAGAGACAACACCATGAACCAGTGCATAAAACCGGGGCATCCCGATATCATCATATACAGCCCATACCTGGTCTTCTTCTCCAAACGAAGCTTCAACCCGGTCCTTGTCAAAGTCGTAGAAATCAGTATCTGGAATAATCACATCCAATGAATCAGGTTCCTCCTCCTTAACCACATCATTAGCGTTCATCGAGCCTTGAGGTACGTTTGTTGCTGCAGCACCAGACCCAACATTGTTTTCTTGAGAACCAGAAAGCAACCTTTCAAGACCCTGTTGGACAATACTCTTACCCGTTTCAATCAAAGCACTTTCAACCATACTTGGAGTAGGCTCAAATCTATCACGTCTGATCCCTGCGTCTTCACTGATTCTTCTTAACTGAGGAACATGATACGGATTTGTTAACGGAGGTCCCCTTCGTTTGTTTTCTCCTCCACTAACTCTCCTTAATGGGTTTACAGGACCAGAAACTCTCCATGGAGGTTGTTCAACCATTGGTTCAACCTTAACTTCAACTCTTTCTTGACTAAACCTGTTTACTGGACCAAAGGTTCTTTGAGATGTCAAGACAGGATGAGGCGGCACTGATGACAGAACCATTGGATTATAAGTCAAGCTCGAAACCTGACTCGCTCTTTCCCTAGCACTCATGAGCTGCTGATTCGCGGAACCCCATGGAACAACACGATTTACCAATGGAGTCTGACACGGGAAAGCGATAAACGGCTTGCGACAATAAATACACATAACACTGCGATCTTTGCACCTATTTGGATACTCATACTTCATGGTACAAGAACGGCAACATGTCCAGAAGCTGACACCATTTGATGGAAATGAATTAGTACCCAAGTAATCAGGAAACCCCTCCGAGACTCTTCTCAGGTTCTGTAGTCGTAGCTGTTCTTGACGTCTCCTGTCATAGAGCTGCTTCCTTCCTTCATTGCACAGATTTCTCCATGACTCAGCCAGTAACATGTTGGCTTCATCAATGCTGCCAACAGAGTCGTCACTATCAAGGATAATGTCCAGAGATAGTTTCTTGTAACGCTCTAGAATTGTTCCAAGATCCGCGGTTGGATTGACCGATAAAACAGCATACCAATCAATTTCATTGTTGATTTTGTGCGCGAAACCCATGCGCACATCAAGAACTGCATTGAGACGGAGAAGACCGCAGAGTGCAGGGTTCAGCTTTTGTGCCTTGACAGCAAATTCTTTGGCTCCATAGAAATCACCCGTTCTATACTTCTCCACCGCGATAGCTTTCGCTCTTCTTGCTTCTTCTCGGATGTTTTCAGCTATTCTTCTGTCCACTTGCAACATTTCTTCTTCAAGGTAGTGCCACGAGATCCTTCAAAATATAGAGATAGATCAAAAATTGAAACAGAGCAAATATGTCTTGAATAGTGCTGAAAGTAGAAAGTAGAAAGTGGGAAAGCTTCTTCCCCAAGAAACTAAAATGGAATCTAACAAAACGTAAGAAATCTATCAAAACCTAAACACCATGAATCAAACAAAGTTACTATTCAGAAAATGCTTTATACCATCAGTCAAACAAAACATGGCTAATCTCTTTTCTTCTAACCAAAGCATCGACCAACCAAACATCAAAAACTCAAATGAATTCACAGAACATAGCAAAAAAAAAGAGACTGAATCACGTAAACCAATTGATAAACACGATGGAGAAGAGTATAAAACAAGAAAAGTCGAAATCAAAATCGAAGTCACAACCAAATAGCCAACTCAATTTGTTAATACGAATCAAAGTCCACACCGAACCATGCAAAGAGATATATATGAATTTATAGCAAAAATATGAACAAACGAAAACGAAGAATGATAAATGCAACGGTACGTATAAATGTATAATGGAGATAATTAAATGATACCTCTGAATTGAGAATGAGTAAGAACAGCTTCAGACTCGTTAGTGATTTGCTTTGGTTTCGTACCCTTCTTCTTTGATCAGATTACTTAGGAATATTAAAACCTCAAAACCATAGAATGAAATGGTTGATACCTATATATATATGAGTTTTTATTGGTACTATTTACCAATAATGCATTTACCTTAATTCACAAATGTACTTAGTCAACTTCAAATTATTTTTAACATTTATTGACTGTACTAAATATTTATATTTAGGTATACTATTATCACTTTGAACAAAGACTATTGTATTTAAATGGTAGTCAGAGTATTGTTTTGGATTTTGTTACTCTTTTGAGGTTTTTTTTAAATGTGATAAAAATTAATGATATTAAGACTAAAAAAAGGTCAAAGAAAAATAAATCCTTATGTGATAAATGTGAATCCTTTTCATTTAAAGAAAGATTTTTTTCTTAATTAGTTTTCGCTAGATAACTACCCGCGCTACATCGCGGAAATATTGCTACCTATTTTTATTTTTACTTTTTATCTAATACTTTTATTTTTAAATTAGACTATCCGGACGATAACATCCCTAGTCTACATCGTCTATCAATACATGCTATCGATATTCAATAACTGACGTACCATCTTGATTATTATGCCGATAACCATCGACCTATCCCAATACCTCACAATAACAATCGCTCTCTCCCAGGATCTCTCGTTGATATGAACACATGAACTCTTACACCGAGCCCATCGTAGATTATACTCGATAGTAGGTATCCATCGATTCTCGATGCCATTCTTCACAAACCACCAACATAATTTGATCTCTATCATGATTCTCGTTGCACACTCGATCATCGATTACATCTACTCGATCACTCATGTCGACAACATAGTCGGTCATTCCTGATCTCTATCGATTCGACAACACTTTTGTATAGCGGTCAATTTCTTAAGTTATCAAGGCACTTTTTAATAGTTGTTGATGATGAATTCAAAATTTTCAAGAAAAATAACTAACTATTATCGGTTGAGAGTTATAGAAAATTATTATAAAAAAACTGTGCATCTATAATAAACTTTTAGTGAATTCTTTTTAATACATGTGAAAAATCTGAAAATTAGATTAATTAGAATTCACAAATGGAGCAATAAACACTATAATTAATGTTTAAACAACATTATCTACCAAAAATAAATGTTTAAACAATATAATAGATACTACGTACATAAGTTGTGATGTATTAAATTCTCAAAAACAAAATACAGTGGAAGAAATAAGATGAGTGTTAGAGGGTTAAAAAGGTCGAGATTTAATAAGGTGGTTATGTAATGAAGGTACCTTTTTCATGAGATTCTATTGTACTCAGAAATTTATATAATGAACTATTATTGTGTAGTGTACAATGTACCATATGATTTTAATTCCACGTCGATCAACAATCAATACCCGAGATATAACCAAACCAATTCAAGAGGCAAATTGGTCGGTCCATAGCACCTTCTTCAGAAGGCTAGAAGCCCCATAAGTGTTGAGACCAAATGCTTCAAGAGTTAAAGACTATAATCAAAACAACAAAGCATTGAGAGAATAAGCCAGATTTGTTCTCAAAAAATTTCAAAACTAAGAAAATGACGAGAGACCCTTTTTCGTGAGAATGACGATGACACCTATATAACAAATTTCACAAGTCTTCTTTACACATTGGGAGGGGAAAATTTCAGAGAGTTCGATAAAGCCTCGCTTCTCTGAAGCTAGTTGCTCCATGTTGAAATACAACACAGAGAGCCACAAGAGGATTCAACCATAGTATCAATGACTTCAACTTCTACATGAAGAGTGCTACTCAACCTTTTTAAAGTTTTCCAATAATTTGTAAAAATCGCGCAAAAAGGGGTCAATCAGAATGGCGTCGGTCCTTAATTTTCAATCGGTCATGATATTGATGACAATGAAACACAACAATCAACCACTAGTGCAAACCCACACGACATAACATTCAAGTCTAAAAAGAGTTTGCCGCAAGAGATACATAGACATAACATTCAAGTCATTGCCCCCACCCGGCGAATCTACTTGGTTTATACAAATACATCCATGTTACACTTCCCACACTAGGCCACACATAGTCGCCATTATTAATAACTGAAATTCTCTAATCTCGTTTGTATGCAACAAACACACTTTACTATCAAATCTAAGTAGCAAAGTACAGACACTCGAGTAACAACAAGAAAGTAGTAGTATTATCAATCAACTATCTAACAACAGTTTGCTCTATAATCTCAAAACCAACTGTGACAAACCAACATAGCACAGACCATTTGTAACAAGAGCATAGTCATTATATAAAACCCATGGTCATAACATGATAAGTATTAAGACATGTACATAAGAATTTTGACACAGTCTATAAAAGGGTGTAAGTCCGACTTTCACATATGTAACTTAAACCCCTGACTTATAAATTACCTGGCCACTGTCATCTTTCAAACAAACAAGACTGTCCTTCCAGCAAGAGAGTCTTCGTCATCTTCCTGCAAAAGAACTTAACTTTTCCTTTTTGGGTGGTGAATAACCAATTGAGTTCCTTCAAATAGGTCTGGTAAGTAACTCTCCAGGTCATCTGGTGTGTATTTTATGTACTTTCCAGCATGCCTACCACCTTCTAGTTGACCCTTATTCCTTCCGAAGAAAGCCCGGTAAGCCGGAATTACTTTCTCTGATATAGATATCCTCAGTTCTTCACGAAGTTGAGGATCCGGGACCTTCCAAGCTGTTTGAAGTCTGTATAACTCTTCAAAACTGGCATTAAAACCTCTGAATCTTTCCTTTAATGCCATCTTGGAGGAATTGTTGCTTCTTTGTCCATAACTCGGGCTGCCACTTGAGCTTCCACCCATATTTTCGTCTCTCAAAGCAGATAGCACCCTGCTCCAGGAAGCCCTGAGGTAACCAGTAGCATATTGACGTATCTGCCCTCTTCGCTTTCTAACCCAATCATCGCCCAAGAGTTTACCAAGCTCAGAATCCTTCACCTTCTGAACTATATAGTAAATGTTGTTCATCATGAACACATATTGCAGCCCACCATCTTCATACAACTTTGACTTCTCTTCCAGATTTGACTCTAAGGACGTAATCAACCTCAATACTCGTTTCGCAAGAGGAGACATCTCTTCTGCACTATCATCCCCAGATAAGTGATCTAATTCATCATTCTCCAGAAGCGAATTTAGGGTAACCGCATAATCCACAATCAATTTCATGTAGTTCATCACATAACGTATCATTGGATGAACCTCACCATTTGTCGTCGGTCTCTTTGATGTCTCATTCTGAACATTATTCTCAAACTCAACAAAAGTCCCCCTCGCAGCATCACCCAATGCTTCCAAGACCCCCTTGGTCTCGTTACAGACAAAACAGTCAGTGACCATCACCTCTAAGGTCTGCAACACATTAGCCAATGCATCATACATATCCAGAATCCTAAACAGCTTCTCCGATGATCTTCTACCAATCGCCACAGCCTCTCCAAAATTCAACAACTGCATCACACAACTTTTAGTTGTCTCGTTAAAGCAGACCTCTTTACTCGACTCCGAACCGCTAAAGATCTCATCGCATATCTTCTTCTCACCAGCCAGAAGAACCCTAACAGTGATCTTCACAGCTTGAATCCACTTCTTCATCTTCTCATCCATAGACTTCCAATCAATCTTCTGAACTTCTTCTATACTCAGCTTCTCAACACCGAGAATCATCAAACATTCATCCAAAGCATCACGCCTCACCGTGCTATAAACTTGAACACACTCCTTCTCATAACCAGCACGAATCATCCGTTCTGCAATCTCCTTCAAATCTTCAACAGCAGTCGGATTAATCAAATCAACCCAAAGATCACACCCAATACTCCCTCCCCTCTCATGAAACAACCTCCTCCTACTCCCACTACCATCTCCATCAGCAACCAATCCAAAATTCTCAAAATCCTCAGCCACATCACCATCAGCAAACGACAGAGAAACACGACGCATCGAGCCATAGAGCCGTTCCGCATCTAAAGGAACAGTGTTACGAACCAAAATCCGCCTAAATTCATCTTCCAGGTGAGACATAGCCATCTGCAAAGCACTATCAGCTCTATCCACCATATCAGGCTTATTCTCCGAAGAAAGATCCTCAAGCAAAGAGATAACCTCATCAACAGCTGAGAGAAACTCCGTAGCTTCCTCAGGAGATTCATCGAACGAAAGAGAAAACGAAGAGGAACGATAGTTACCGGAAGACGAAGAAGAGTGACGAGAAGAATCGTTACCGCCGTCCCAACGATGAATAACAGATTCCGCAGCTTCTAAACGCGCCACAAGAGCGTCGTTTTGATCCTCCTCCTGGTTCGTCATCGCAGTTTTGATATTCGATAAACGGTTATCAAAGCTGGAGAAGATAAGTAACATATCTTCACGAACCTCTTTAGGTGTGTTGAGGCTTTTCATGATCTGTTGCGCCGTAGCGAGAACACGGTCTTCACCTCCACCACCACCACTACCGCCTCCGGCTCCGGCGTTGATACTCGCCGCCGTGGTTGTTGTTGCGGCCATAATTATAGAAATTGAAAAAGGAGAAAACAAAATTGAGAGGAGGGATTGATTGAATCAAGAAGAAGAGGACATGGATCGTGTTGTGAGATTTAGGGATCAAAACTTGTGGGACGATTGAATTGAAGAAATGGAGTAAAACTTTTCTTCTCTTTTTTCCTAGGGTTTGAGTGGAACAAAGACAGCGATATGGAAGACAAAGGTTATTTTTTTTTGTTTTTGGTCTTTCTAATTAAAAGAGTCAAAACGTTTTCGTTGACCGAAATGTTTTTATTTTGGTTCTTTTGGTACCGGTTTACTCTGGTCATACGAATTACTAGAGAATGTTTTTGGAACCGACCGGTTTAGTACTCTTTTTTTTTTTTTTTTGTTGATTTCATTTCTGATGAAACTTGAAAGGTCATTTTTTCGTTTTAATTGTGATTTGGATGAGTGACAAAAAAAAAAAAAAATCGTGATTTGGAGTGGTTTTGGATGAGACTATTTCAAGTTTAGAGTTAGACTATTTGGGTCGGTTCGGTTTTAGGATTTTTTGGGACTGTTCACTATGGGGGTTTTATGTTAGACTATTACAATTGAGTTATTTTGCAAAGTGTGGGTTTTGTTTCTATTTTTCATAAAGTCTTACATACAGAAAACTAGTTTTATAAATCTTTAGTCAACAAAATCACATATAATAAGAAATGTTTGAAAATTTTAAAATCCATATTTTTTGAAATTTTATGCCTTGGGGAAAATGATGAAAGATTAAACAAGAGCTAGGTAATGTATTGTCGATTTGATTTATTGCTAGTTGTGAATTAATCAAGTAATATGTGACAGAAAATAAATATGTAAGCTAGATGAGATTATCAATATATAAGAGTATAACTCTATATACTTTCAGATCATATATCTAAGATAAACTAATATTTTTAAGTTTTTGTTTTAATTATTATTTTATAAACCTACAAAATATTGTTATTCCACAAAATAAATACATTTTAAAAACTTAAAATACATGAAAATACACAAGTTAGAGAAATATTAGCATATATATATATATATAAAAAAAACTAGATAAGGGCCCGCGTAAAAACACGGATGAAAATTTATGTTTTCACGTATGAATTAAAAATATTCCATGTGTTAAAATTTGTAAAATCATAATATTAACAAAAATATTAATCAATATTAATTGAATATCATATTTTTTAATATAGATTAGGGCCCGTCTAGGGTTATTTATTTTCAAAAAAAAATTAAAATTAAAGTTTTATTGTAAGAATGTAATATCCAAAGTATTCAAAAAAAAATTAAGTTAGTAAATTGTTTTTTGTTGAAAAAATTATTTATGTTTCATACGTATTTAAAAATAGTTATTAAACATTCATTATAAAAATCTAGTAATGTTAAATTATCGATCACCAAAAAAATTATGAGCTATTCACCATTTTTCATAATATTACTATTACCAAATTTTTTCAAAAACTTAATTTAGATATTATACCCTAAACATGATTATACCATTATCCTAAAAATGTTGTTTCCTAACTTCCAGTTTTTAAAAAAATTATTCTTGCATATTTTTTACTTTGCAATTTATTGTATTTGTTAAACTTAATTAATTATTACAAAATTTGATGGTAAAATTTTTACAAATTAACGTCAATCCAAAAAATGAGTTATAGTGTCGTTGAGATAAGCCTTATTAATTATGAAAGTATACAAAACTAAAAATTTTAAAAGTATATATTTTAGAAATCATTATACTACGAATTATATTGACTTTGTTATCCTTATTGTAAGTTAGTAATGTCACTTTTTTAGTTTTCTTTTATTCACCCATTGTTTTAGCCAATGAGATTGGACTATGACATATTACCTTTAGACATAAATTAAAATTCAACAACATTTAAATATAAACTAATTTTTATAATCTATTATCACTAATTATTTGACACGTATCAGCATCTTATCAATTCAATTAACACGTGTCATGTTTTTGTTAATGAGTAACTTCGAAAACCCAACTTTATATAATAATAAGATGTACAAAATGTACTCACCAAAAGACCACTATAATTTATTTATCAGTAGTCTTTATTCATCCTAAGGATTCTCTGGAGTATAGATGGTCTTTCCATTCTTCTCAGATGGTTACCTCTTGTTTTATTTTTATTTTTTTTCTTTTTTTTACAGCATCTCACTCATCACTTTTTAACGATTCCATTATCTTTTTTTTATAAAAGAAAAAATTGTTACTTGTAGTTTATAATTTCCTCAAATGTTATTTTATTTTTCACGTCATTTGTGTATATATATATATATATATTTACATTAGTTTTATATATACATCTCCATGTTGTTATTATTATTCAATATTTGGATACATTCGTTTGTTATTATTTTTTTTAAAACAAATTTTGGCCAAAAACATTGATTAACTAAGTTCTTAGTTCAATTAGATGCACTCATTTTGCAAAATTCACAAGATTATTGTACATAAACAAATGTATGTTAATAGTCTATAATGAGCTATTGCATTATGCAACCTTTGTATAAAACTTGTTATATAATCGTAAATGTCATATATATATATATATATTTTTAAAACAAAATAGTTAGGACAGCTGGACAGCCGACTAAAAAATCAAATTTATATTTTTATCTGTTAAAACATTTCGTTGAAGTGTGAAACGGAGTTATATACACTAAGTATATATTTCTTCTTCCTTACGGTTCCATGATCATTGGTCCTTTTGTATTATTATTAAGCAGAAAATGATAACAAAACTTGTTTCTTACCTGTTTATTCGATAACAATGCTACAAAAGAATCATAGAAATTGTTAACATCATCATACATTATTTCATTTGGCAAAGGAAGCAAAGGGGTTTCTTGTACTGTCTCTCATGGATCCTATAAATGTGTGTTAGTAATTGTATGTACCAAAACGATGTAACTTTGTATTGCTAATTTGCTATCAATATAATGAAACTTTGCCGACAAAAAAAGATGAAAAACAGACTTATCTATTTTCAAGGCTCATAGAAAGTTTCCAAATTTGAAACATACAAATCAATTAGCCTTGAAAACAAGCACAAGTAGGTAACCCAACATTTGCCGCTAGAACTATAAATAACCATTCTTCACCATACGAAATGCTATGTCTATGTTAAAAGGCCTTCTTCTTCTTCTTCTTCTTCTGCTTCATCGGGTTCACAGGACGGAACCAGTCCAAGTCCAACCTCTGCCTGCATACACATCCAGTGGAAAAAAAGATAACATAGGGTCATATTTAGGCAAACAAAACTACAAGTGATCAGAAAAGGGAACTTGTGATAAGAGGATGTACTTTCAAATAGTTAGAAATATGGTAAATATACGCATTGGTATAACAACAAGCCCATCGGATTCTAATTACCTCAACTGCATGGTTATGCTATAGAGATGCTGAATAAAACTTTCAAAAGCTTATATATAGGACACTAATATAATTGCATATTAAGAAAGAGCAGCTGGCAGATTCATCTGTTTCAGTGCAGGTATCCTTCTCCTCAATTACACTTGATGACTCTGGTGGGAAATTAAGTAGCAAGTTAAGCAACCAGATTTGCTTCAAGATTGATTCCAGTGGAAGAGAGTGCTTCAAGAACTTCATGAGTGATGTCTGTAAGTATGACAACAGCATTGATGGTGAGATGACGACCAGAGTATACATATTTCTCCAAAAATCTTTGAGTACAGGGACTGACGATTCACCACGCACGTAAACTTCTCATTGTGCAACTCTGCCTCTGCGGGAGAAGTAGTAGCTAGTTAAGGAGCAGCTTGTTATTTCAACAACAGTACTGTGAGAGAGAGGACAAAGGGCTTTATTATAATGGGACTAGACTGCAAGAAGTTATTGAGAAGCCGAGTGGTGAAACACATTCTACTTTTATTGTATTGATAATGCTAAATGAATCAGAGAACGTTACAATGATCACACTATTTTTTCCTGTTGTATATCTTTTTGGCGTAAAGAAACAAGAACACTTAAATAACAAAAAAAAAAAAAATGAGAGTCTAATTCTACTTTATGTGATTCACCAATAACCTCCACAAGAACACTTCCCTTCTTTGAAATGATGGAACCGGCTCGCATCTCTCACTACCATCTCTCTTCCTGTAACCAAAGATATGTACTCAACTACCTTGTGACAATCTATGCATATCCTATGGTTCTGCGTAATCTGCAGTGGGTTCCATTCCGGTGTATTCACCAATCCATATGCTATCGCAAGCTTCTCGCTGTGGTATCTTCCTACTCGTTCTTCTTCCTTCTCATCTACGTCTGGCAGTAGATTTCTCTCCTCTGCTAAATACCCATATTCGTAAATTTCTTCCATTAGATCATCAACTTTTTGGTATATTTCCCTGTTTCATTACATTTTTAAGGTAATGAGTGTGTGACATAAAAGACAGGGAAGACAAAAAAGGATTCTACTATTATCATAGAAGTTACCTTTTCACCGCCTCATCGTAAGAATCACACTTGTCTCCTGAAAGAAAACTGTGAGTCTGATCTCCAACCTCCACCCAAGTACAAGCCGGCATCATGCTTAATCCTTTGCTCTCCAATGTCTCTAAAACTCCTTCAGCTTCAGCAGTTTTTCCCATACTGTTGTACATGTTATACAGCACAACGTAGTTTCCGAGCTTCTCTGGCCCCATTCCGTAGAGTTTTTCAGCAACCACTCTTCCGAGCTCCAAGTTTCCCTGCATCCTACAGGCATTCAAGAGTGCTGCCCACATATTCACAGTTGGTGTCAAAGGAGCTCTTCTGATGAAAGCAATGGCTTCATCTAATAATCCATCTCTACCCAACAGCTCAATCATGCAGGTATAGTGCATTGCCCTTGGTTTGATCCCATGAACCTCACTCATCGATAGAAAAATCTCCCAACCTTGTTCAGATAAACCTGAATAGGAACAAGCTGATAGAACTGCAAGAAATGTGACATGATTTGGAGCGACATTTGCAGCAATCATTTTCTCAAACAACTTAACAGCATCGGTTCCTCTACCATGATTTGCATATCCACCCATCAAAGCATTCCATGAGATTATATTTTTCCTCGGCAATTTATCAAAAACATATCTAGCAGTATCTACTCTACCCCATTTGCTATAGAAGTCAACAAGAGCCGTGTTCGCGACAATTTCTGATTCAAAACCATTTCGAATTAAACTAGCGTGTGCCTGCTTAGTAAGCTCAATTTTTGCAAGCCTTGTAGAAATTCTTATCATTATGGAAAGTGTGAACTGATCAACAGATGCACCTGAGTCTCGCATCTCGTACAACAAACACATAGCTTCCTCGCTGTAACCATGGAGCGCATAACCTGCAATAATGTTATTCCAAGCAACTGTAGATTTCTCAGGCATACTCTCAAAAACGAATCGAGCATCTTCAATCTCCCCGCACTTGCTATACATATCAATCAATCCACACGAAACAAAGGTGTTATCAACAACTCCTAATTTCAATGCACAAACATGCAACTGTTTCCCCACATAAATAGATCCTAACCCAGACGACGCCCGAAGCATCACCGCAAACGTATGAGTCTCACAATCAGAAAGCTCCTCCCACATCATCTTAAACAGCTCAAAAGCTTCTCCATAGTTACCAAAGTTGACAAACCCAGAGATAATCGAGTTATAAGAAATCAAGTTCCTCTCAGGCATTTCATCAAACAACCTACGTGCATCTATAATCATCCCACATTTCACATGCATCAACAAGATCCTGTTCATCATGTACTGCTCAGGCTCAAACCCATTGCTCATCATATACCCAAAAACCCTTTTAACACACCGTATCGATCTCAAACGAATACAAGCTTCAACCAATGCATCATATGTACTAACAGCAACATTAAAACTACCTCGAATCTCCAAAATCTCGAACAATTCAAACGCTTCCCTGAACCTATTACACAAAACCAACTTCTCAATCTGACTACAAATGCTCACTCCAGATTTACTGATCTGGGTATCATCCAAAACCTGAGCTTTCGATTCCTCAACGTCGACTCTAATCTTCTCTGGTTTCAGCTTTGGTTTTGGTTTCAGACCTTGAACTGCAGAAGAACATGTGATCCTCCCAAATGGGTTCTTCCATCTTCTTCCCCGGAGCGAGAAATCGTATCCAGAAAAGAGAAACTTTGGCGGGAAATTGAAAACCTTGGGATTGTAATACGAGTCTCGTCTTTCGTCTAACCTTATGCTCTGGTAACGCGCGAGTGGAATCTCCATAATTGGAAGGCAATGGGGTCAATTAGAGAATCGGAGAAAACAGAGGATCCAGACCATACTGATCGGAATCACCCGAGACAGCTCCGTGGATTTGTTTTGTTGATGCTACGCAATGTCTGAGGAAGAAGAAGAAGAAGAAAAAAAAAACAGAGATTTTTTTTAAAATAGAGAGAAGAGCATCATAGCATTGGGAGCTCCGCTGATGGCAGTTGGTGATTGTTAAGACTTTGAGGAAAGAAGCAGGTAGTTATGAAACGACGTCGTTTTGTACTTTACCAGATCTAAAATAGCATCTTTGTATTTATGTAGTTCTCTAATGTTACTCAAGAGATGAGCAAGAAACCATCACAACCTCATCTTCTTTAATTTCTACTATAAGTTTATTTGCATGTTTCCAAACAATACATGAACAAACATATCCAATTTACACTGATCAAAAGTCATTGGAAAATGCCTTGTTATCATTCATCTACAACTGAGGTTTTGCAGTTGAAGAGATCATGAAGCTAATGTGGTTGGCTCGCAGCTATCACGAACACAAGCCAAGATATCTCTGTATTCTCGATCGATGGTGAAGGAGTCATGCACAGCTCCATTGCTACTCTTCTTGTACTCAAAGAGAAGCGAAGAGTGATTGAAAGCCGTCAACTTCACAAACCCGTAGTCATAGTCTCTGAAGATACTCCAATTAGGTGTCAGGGAGCTGAAGGAAGACAAGTGACTCCCTGCACCACCAACAACCACGTGTATAGTTCCTTTGAAGGTTCCTGAGTAGTGACTTTTCTCATTGTCTACACATTGGCTCTGGTAAATGGGGCAGGTTCTCTCATAGTTATGGACATGGCCGTAAAACGCAATGTCTACTTTGTACTTTTGCCACAGCTTCTGTAAGCTCTCTCTTCCCATTGGCTCTTCAAAAGAACCTTCTTGGCCATACCAATCATTTGTGGAATAACCGAGGACACGATGAGCAATAAAAATCAACCAAGGCTGAGTCTTTCTATCTACAGAAGCAAGACAACGCTCTATGAATCGGTATTGCTCTGACCCTTCTCTCCAATCATGTTCAGTATCCGCTACACAGAACCGAAACATTCCATAATCCGCAGAGTACCAGAACTTAGCTTTGTTCTCAGCAGGAAAATCAAACATGGTTTCAGCAGGAACCCCACACTCCCCTCCGGAGTCTTTACCACTATAAAAGGATCCAGAGTCTGGCCAATCCCGCTCGTGGTTTCCACTGAAGAGTAAACATAAGTTATAAGGACAAAGAATCCGGAAACCGTTATGGCAAAGACTGATATGGCCAGGCAGGCTAACCTGGCGATCATGTATGGAACAGTAGAAGCTATAGGTTCAACTTGAGCTGTGAACTGATCCCACTGCGAAATGTAACCATTCGCATAGGCGATATCTCCAATGTGGAAAACAATGTCAATGTTCTTCAAGCCTTTGATGAGTTGGTCAGTCGTGTTGAGGGAACCAGGCTGATAATTATTGTACTCATTTGACCCATCCCGCTCTCCCTTAATTTTCGTATTACGAAAACATAAGTCTTGAGAGGAAAGTTTCAGAAAAGGCAATGCTTTTGTATAGAAAACAACTAGCAAATTACCTTCCCCATGTCTCCAAAGATTATGATCTGTTGTAACGATTCTTGCCCCGGATAAGGAGAAGACTTGAACGTGAAATTCTTGCTCCAAATTATTGATCCATTCATCAACTCATGACCCATCCTGTATGTGTACCTTGAGGTCGTGCATGATCAAAAATAGTTATAAAAAAGTTATCCGAACTGTGTTTAAACAAGAAAGGAAACTGATGCTTCTAAACAGTGTATATACCTGAGATTTGGCCAAAGATCTTTCAAGAAAGCAGTGTGAATGAAACCCGGATCGCGCCAACCAACAGTACGAGCAGGAGCACCTACGTTAAACCACAGAGTAAAAATCCACATAAAGAGAAGAGTGCATAGATTTGTTGTTCATACTCTCAAAGTGAACATACCACACATGCTGTTCCTGGTAAAAGTCAAGGTACCAGCTGGCGACCTTCTACTTTGAGCTCCCTTCCGACTCCATTCCACAAACGGAACCGCCTCATCTATGTTGTACCCGCTCGTCCATGTTACGCTCATCTATTTCAAAATCATAGTATGTTTTAGTTCACTTATCCATTTGAGAGTCTTTGATGCTGTAAAAGCATTGATGAAACAGGGTTTCCAAGAAATGTCAATATTGACTCAGGCTATAGAAAGCTTACTTCGTCCCAATTCTTCCCTAAAGCAAGACGAGGATAAACAGGAGCTTTAGGATTGATAAATGATACATGATTCGAAACCGCGACAAGTGTTGGCTGTAAGAGCAGTAAAACAGATCAATCAAAGTCCATTTGGAAACAGAACAAAAACTTGAGAGGTTTTTATACTCAACAGACATTTGAGAGGCCCCCGGTGAAGAGTGCAAAGGAGAAATCAGCTCTCTGGTTAATAAGCATGAACTTCAAAACCGCGCTCCCGGTCTTCATGTAGTCAGGACTGGACTTGGCATACATGTACTATCAAATTAGGAAACTAAATGAGCTGAACTGAAAATGAAGTAGCCTTGACAAAGCAGAGAAATCAACAGTCAAGAATGTAATAAGAACCTTGATTGGAGCTGAGCAAATAAAAGGAGCTATCTCTTTGCCATCTGTTGGAGCACAAGAAGATGAACTAGAAGAAAAGAAACACAGAGACATGTTATTAACACATTAAGCACAATCGAACATATGATTTCATAAAGAGAGGCTGATGAATGTGAACATACTCAAATTTTGCTGGTGAGAAAACTCCAACCCAGTCGTCTGATGAAGGCTCGGGGTTTGAAATATCAACATTTACCCATTCAGTGTCCTCACCCTGTAGCAGCAACCATCATCAATCTCAGAGCTTGACTTCTTGATTACACACAGATTTAAACAGTCTACAGCAAAGAGACCAAGGAACATATCTAAGTTTGTTTACCTGTGAACCAAGAACACGAGGAGAGACGTGAATGGAAGCAGAGTGATGCAGAGCAAAATTAATGCTGTAAATATCAATTTGAGACAGAGCTTGATCTCCACGTCCACTTTCGTGACTTGAGCACAAGCTCGAAGCCACCTGTACGATGAAGCAAAGAAGCGCCAATAAATCCCTAACCATCGTTGCGAGCTTTATATCGTTCTCTTACTTTGGTTTTGTTCAAGATTAAATCTTTGCAATCGTATTATCTACGATTTTCAAGATTCTGGGTTTTTGATCAAATATTTTATTTATTTATCTTCTTTCTCCCTCCATCGAGGCGTTTGGGAGGAAAAGACAGAGAACAAAAGTCTTCTTTTTTAAGAAGACAGAACAAAGAGAAGTTGTCTGATTTTTTACTTGTAAAACTAAAATCCCTAATTGTAATAGAGTGAGCACATAATGTCGTAACACTTGTCTTTATCGAACAATTGGATTATTTTGTTTCATTCTTTTTTTTTTTTTTACATCAATACTTGTTTTAATTTAATTTCATTTTGTAGAATATAGTGAAGGCATCTCTCTATTTTTATCCTTCTCATATTGCTCTTCATTTCGTTTGGCATGTTTTTTGCCTTTCCTTTAAACAGAATATTCTTAGGCTGTGTGTAATATTCCATATATGAAGAAAAAAACATTACTTCTCATGAAGAGTATCTCTCCCGCTCTCTCATTCTCTACACTGGATTTGGTTTCTTTGATATGCTATTATTGTTCACATTGGAAAAGATTACAAGTTGAAGTTACACCACCACACTAGACTCCATCTATATTTGGATACAGCTACATGACCGTACAATTTCACAAACAGCACCAAAGCAGAGAACATATACTTACAAAGGTAATCCAAAAGGCCAGCAGCATCTGGTAGATAAGCTAGGCTGATTGTTCATCTGTTTGCTATCCGAGGCTTTGAAAAATGCGGTGCCAGTCTCTTCTCGAGCTCTACCAAGCTGGAAATTTTTGTCAAGGAACATGCTTAATAAGAATATATAAGTTTCTGATATCTTTATAAGTGATTTTTGGAAAATTCAGACTTACATCTCAAATCTGCGCTTAGCTTCTTTCTGTTTTGTGCGGTAGAGGTCACTGTCTTTCGGAATGTTGCTCATTGGGTCAGCTAAACAATTTGCACACAAGATTCAGAACAACATTACAGCACTACCATGTCCATTTAAATGTAGACAATCATAAAGGATACATTAGGACACATTCGTTTAAACATGGAAATACACATAAATGTTATTTAACTTCATGGTTCCACAATGAGCTAAATCTCTAGCATACAAAGAGTGTCACTAAATGTCAATTACACTATGGAATGGTACTCCAGCTAACATTATTTTCAACAGAAAGTTCTGAATTGTGGTACTTAAGGCACTTATATCAAGAGGAAATAGCATTACCGGAAAGTGAAGAAGGGTGTTTCTCGCCAAATTCTTTGTGAACTTCCATGGCAGTTGCTCTGCTCAGCCGGATTAATCCCTAATCCAAATGCCAACAAAATAAGTTAATATCAACCTAAAACGGATTCATTCGACAATGCAAATCAAAATCAAGAAAGTGACCAAAAGCAATAGACTTGGAACAACAACAACAAAAAAGTAGCTAAACCTTCTTCTCCTTCCTTTTAAGAATCTTGAGATGACATTTCTTGACATAATGAGTCAAATGATAACGAGAATGCCTAGAAGAAAGCTCTTGTTTAACCTCAGGATTAGCATCAAGCCATTCAGATATATCCTTAGATTTAACCAACTCTCCATTATCCAAAGACTCTAACCACGAATACACAGGTAACCACTGATCCGTCCTCTGAAATCGAGCTGGATGTTGTTGATCTGTTTCCACATTTTGCTGTTATATATCATTAACAAAATCAAATCAAATTCGAAAACAAAATTTCCCAAGAAAATAAATAGTCTTGATCAAGAATGAAAGTGACGTTACCTCGTTCTGATCTGATGATGGTGTTGGTCTCATGTAATGTTGGATTGAGAGGAGACGATCTACGAGCTCAGAACGAGGCATGTGACGGAGATCCGCCGGTAAGGAATCTAAGTTTGTGCCGATCCAAGTCTCGACTTCGCCGGCGCTAACGACGGCTTTAGCGTCGGGGAAAGCTGACACCCAAGCTCGAGCCATTGTCTCCCATTCCTGAGATGGCTCTGCTCTCTGGTTCGCGTTCGAGAGTTTGTCATCCGATTCCAATAACTGTTGCTTCTTTGCATCTTCTAGGGTTTCGTCACTCGACATTTTTTTCTTCTTCTGTTTTGGTTGTGTGCGTGTGTGTTTAGACAGCAATGGTCGCAAAAATAGTTATCTTTAAATAAAGTACTTTTAGTTCTAAGTTTGTTGCTGTTGTTGTACAAAATAGATAAAGTACGAATTGTCTCTACTCAATATTTCCTCTTTTCGCTCTACAAAAACCAGATTTTTTTCACTAATCGACTTTATAAAAAAATTGCAATTAATTGAAGGTTATAGCTGTCTTAACCGTCATTTATTTATTCTTTCTGAATTTTATTACAAGTTGTTACTAATTTTATTACAGATTATTAGTATATGGTTTACTTTAAATGTGTTTTACAGTATATTTTTACAATTGTATCAAGGAAATATAATTTTTTCCCCAAAATTCCAAATTGAATCTTGTTTACCCTTACTGTCATTAACAATGAAAAATGTACTTTCTATGTTAAAACTGCAATGACTAAAATAAAGCATAATGAAGTGTATGTAGGATATAACAAGCACACACCAAATCTAAAAACAATGATAAACGAAACCATCTCACGTAAAGCAATCGACAATCTTTGTGCAACAAATCTACAGACTATTTGTTGTAAGAAACTGAGGCTCTTGTAAGTGATTCACAAATAAATGAATTGAAAAAGTATCCAAAATTGGATTTTCTTCTTTCTATAATTACACTATACAATTCAACTAGAAGAAGAAACCAGTGGGAACAATTCAATATGGTAAGAAGATTGTGCTTACTTATTCATCTTCTGCTATAAAGTTTGGCTCTTCTCCTCGGCAGAGGTACTCGTCACACATAGAGGACGTTCCCCAATCTTTCCTTAGCCTTAAGATATCCTCTGTGAAAGTTGATCCAGATGCTCCAATGAATACGCTTGACATGGCGCATATCGTTTTATCAAGCATTGCATCCACCTGCACATTCCATGAAGATTATTATACACAGTTTATCCCATACCTAGTTTGATAAATCAGGCCATGACATTAAAAGTAATTAAAAATGCAATTAGGATTTTGATTCTGCTACACGATTCATAAATCCACATTCATGTTGACGAACAACCAAATGCAAACCGCACAGAGCCAGGGAAAGGCAAACAAGTTTTATTGGTTTCAATTATAAACAAAGTGAAATAAGGCTTACGGAGGAGTGAGATTCTTACCTGGGAGTCATCCTCTATACCATGCCGATATAACAATGCATCCCATTTTTCAGCTGAATTTCGCGGTGGGCGTTTTACAAGAGGCACAATTTTTCCATCTACCACAACAAGTGACTGAAGCAGACTTGTTTCACTCTCTGCAGCATCTGTTGAAAGATAGATGACTGCACCATTGGATCTTTCCACTATCCGAGCGATGCACTCTGCCGCTTGTGGAATTGGATAGAAGCAACTTGGAGATTTTGCGTTGCTGACATGAAAAAAATATCTCCATTGTCAGAAAACTAAAAGTCTTATCCGGTCCCTAGTCTAGTCTTTAGAACATCAATCTCAGTACAACTATCTTTCCACTAAGGTGCAGTGCCTACATGATGTGAACGTCATATACTAACGGGATCGATTCACAACTGAATGTTGTTTTGATAATCATAATAAATGGAATACGAGCTATACTATAAAATCCAGGGTAATGTATCCTAGAAAGCAAGATGAAAAAGACATACCAAAATTTGAGGAAACCATGTCTGCGGAAATGGAGTGCGATGAAATTCTTTCCCAAGAAGGTCTGGATGAATCTCTGTGCGGTCAACAAAATCAGCTTACTGGGTTCGATCAGTGTCTTGCACTTGTGGTTAATAGGTCCACCAGGCTGCATCACCCAATCCTGCTCCATATCAGCATAGAAGACATCCCCGATGGCGATCACATCATCATCAGACTTGAACTTTGTCTGTACGTCTTGCACAGTTCTCTTGCTCGGCTTCTTTATATCTTCACTCCAAGGAGCCTCAAGCTTCCCATCAATGGAAATCCCCAAACCTTTCAGCTTCTTAATATGCTCCTCATCCACATAACAAAGCTGTGGTGATGAGAAGTAACATATGAACCGATCAATGCGGAAATGATTCTTTTTTGCCTTTTCCTTAAACTGATCAAAAGAAACAACAACATTTCTTCCCAAACAAGTGTTAATCCGCTCTATATCTATCACTCTATCATACTGGTAATCAAACTTAGGACTTGGAATCACCAAAACTCGATCCAGCAATGCAGCGAAGAACATATGTTTCTCTAAGCAAATCAAATGGTTACTCATTTGACCTGAGAGACATATAGCGAAAAGAAACTTGTCAGATCTCGGCTTCCACTCTACAGTTCTCCGATCTGACAAGTTCTGATCCACTTTTCTACATCTATCGTATGCTAAATTCACCGAATCAACTTCGGTGCCGCCGGAGTAATTTGCAGTCCTGTGTGGTGACAGAAGCACCTCTTGGATCTCTTTATTCAACGAAATCTGCTTCGAAACAGCAGATTTCACATCCTCAAACAACACAGAGGATTCCAAACTAGAAGCATTCGCTGACTGATTCAGGGAAGGATTCACCAACGTACCATTCCAAAGAGAGAGAAGCGCGAGCTGTTGTTGCCGAAGAAGATACAGAGCACGGAGCTCAGACTCCTTGACACGATTCGACAATGGATCCCGCTTAAAACTCGAGAGATTCGCCGAGAACAGTTCACGAGGATCAGTGAGTATGAAGAGAAGACCGATTGAGATAATTAGAGAGACGGCAACAATTACGTAGCGCTTATTGAGCGAGATCTTCCAACGGTGTTGAACTCGCTGCACAATGTCCTCGATCTGAAACGCCGATCTCGGACTCCCGCCGGTTGTTGTGGCAGTGGAGGAAATTGGATCTTCCCGGTGACGGTGTCGAGTGTCGTTTTGAGGAATCAAATGCTGGTGGTCTTCTTCGTCGTCTGACGAGTTCCGCTCCATCGCCGAAGAGAGAGATTAAGCTCGCGAAACCTACTCAGTTTCTTAGAATCGAAAGTTCCGCATTCACAATTCGATGTATAATTCAAAGAACAAAACGAAAATTTCTGGGGAAATTAAACTACATTGAAGAAGAACAAGTAAAGAGATGATGGAGCGTGAAGAAGAAGATTTATGATTACTTCTGTAACTAACGAGTCAGTGAGATGGTGACAGTGTGGGTGGAGGAGAATAACTCAGGTACGAGTCATACCGGATTTGATTTAATAAGGGAGGTTAGGTGATTGGTCAAACCGGTTTAATATATAGAAAAACCGATCCGACCGGTTGGAGAAACACAATGAAACCATCATCTACGTCTCTAAACTTCTGGGCTACATGGTGAACGAACACTTGGCCTCCTGCTGCTTTACAGAGTAATTCAAATTAAGCTACATTTATATTTATATATTTCAAAACCCATACCAAACTGGATGTATCTGTTTTCTTTATAAGAGAGGAGAGAGAACAAAAAGACACTAATTAGTACTGAGAGTGAGAGACCATGGTAAACAAATTTTACCAGATTGACTCGTAGTCATGTTATGTTGACTCTAATCACATTTGAAGCAAAGGCAAAGCCATTACAACACCAACAATCGATACTAGCAACAATACTATCCAACCCGGTAATGCTTCTTTCTTGTTCCTTCTCTTCTCTTTCAATCCCATTTCTTCAATGCCTTCCTTTCTAAGACCAACGCTTTTCTCTGATTCGACTTTCGAATTTTCCGTCTGTGTAGAATCCTTAGGTGTTGTCTGTTGAGTGGCTGCTTCCTCTTCAGCTACTTGTTGCTGGCTGTACTTCTCTACATAATCGGGAAATAGTTTCCGGAATGTTGCACTGACACAACAGTTGAAAAAAAGGAGTGAATGACATGTAAAGCTTTATTGTTCTCTAATCAATTTTCTGAGACTAAACTCAAACAGTTACAGTTTTTGGTGTGAGTAACCCTTACTTTTTACAATTGAAAGCAAGAGATGACTTTGCCAACTGTTGTTTCTCGGCTACACTAGTGTTTACACTTCCTGTTGTAGGGCTGTTATCCATCTGTATACCACAAAGGTTGGAATGCAGAAAGAAAATTAATGAATGTACGAATTAATTGGAGGATGCATTATCACACTAACAAAAGACATAGCTAAGTTAAATCAATAAAGATCTAATTGTACAACAATGGATAAACTGAGAGGTTATGCAAGAAGAAAAGTTCTAGACCTACAAAGAGCTTACCATAAATGAGAGAAGTCCTGTAAGTATGCTGCGTTCAGGAAAACGAATTAATCAGATAAGGATCAATTACTCTCTTTATATTAATAACTTGAAAACACTTTAAAAATGTACATCAGATCTTATACCTTGACACCGACCACATTGGATTCCAGCTTTCTGGATGAACTGTACATGCCGGGGTAAAGCTAATTAGATAACAGACAAGTTCTCCGAAATTAATTAACAGAGAATGGAAAAGAAGTTCGTCCTTACAGTCACTCATAGACAAGCAGATTTTCTTTTGTGTCACAAATCGACCATTTGGTGTTGTCATTCTGCAGCCACAGAATCTAGGTTCATTAGAAAGCCAGACTAAAACATAGGAGATTGAGAATATTAGAAAGGAATTGTAAGGAAATAAAGAACGCACGTAATTCCAGGTGGCTTGTAAGGATATTCTGGAGGGAACTTGATCTTCCCATAGTAAAATCCTCCTATCGAAGTAAAAAAGAATATCAGAATTGTGTACTACATTGGAATGTTGAAGATAACAATTAACATGTATGTTAACAAAGCAGATTTGAACCTGCAAATGGTGTTCCCTCACTGCCTTCCAAAACATAATCTGTAGAAGAAAACTCAATTAACATTTAAATAAACAGTGGAGTAGTACTTCTGGGAGGATTGAAATACCCTAAATGCTAAAAGAATAGCATGAACTTTCTCAGTAAGGGAATAAGAAGGAAACAAAACTTGAGGTTTCCTATTACGTTTTTATAAAGAAAATATGTCTTCTTCACCTTACATGTTACTAGTAATCATGAAACTATGATATCGATACTATCTCAGTCACCATAGCAACGCCTTAATTTGTAATCTTTTCAATATTTCCAACAAAATAAACTTATCTCAGGCATATATATTTACCAAAAGTAAGCATTCCTATTGCCAAACCGTCAACAGAACAAACAGAAGCAGAAAGGGGAAGAAAAAAATAAAATGTGAAAGTAGCTTTGACTTACGCCACTCGAGAATGTCATTTGGGGATGGACGAGCAACAACATGCGAGACGGGTTCCTAGCAATCCAGAACATAACAAGTCAATATTACTCATGGAGTAACATACATGAAAATAAACTTATCCAGACCAAAAACCATGACACACAAGCAAAGCAACCACATTTGATAAGATTTATTCAAAACTGATGGGAAAATGATAGGGATCGACAAAAAAAAAACTAAGGTGGGAAAAGCATAAGGAGAATTTATACCTTGCAAAGTGCTCTGTATTCCTTTTGAAGTCGCTTTATACAAGCTTTTTCTGCCATTTAAATGCTTCAGGGAGTTCCGATTAAGTATAGTTCCTGTTAATCAAAACATCGAATTGTAAACTCAAGAAAAATAATCCAACCTTAAGTATGAAACGAATAACAGTAACATAAAGTCCATGTCAAGGGTACCATCCTGCATAAGTCATCCATTTGGCAAAATGACATGAACAAGCAAGGACAAAAATATATCACATGGGGGAAATAAACATCGAATCACATATCTAAAAATGTATAACCTTTTTTCTTGTATGAATTATACATGTCAACTTGTATTCCAATCCAGGTGGCGTAATTAAACATTATATATTCTTAAATCGGGAACCAGATTATCAAGAACTTGATCTCTTAAGTCAAGTCCAACAATTTAAGGTTGCAATACGAAATAACAATCTAAATTGTATAATTATACATACCCATGCCTTATAATTTAGCTGTTAATACTACCATCTCAAGATTACATATTTGTTGAACAAGTAAAACTTGAATTACAAGCATCTTTCAACAAAATAATAGCCTAAACCCCATGATATCGTGAAAATAAACTTGAGAAGAAACACAAATCACTCGAATATGAACAAAAAAAACCGATCAAATCCCCCAAAATTCGAAAAAAAAAAAATCTCTAAATGATCTCAAAGAATAATACCTCGACTCGGCCATATCATTTCGATTCAATTCAATCGAGTAGATAAATGAAGAAACCATCAAAAAAATCGAAAGAAATCGCAAAATTTAAGAACAAGCAAAAAAAGAAATCAACTCATCCGCGCGTGCGTACCAATTCGATGGAGTTGTGTGTATGTGATCAAAGCTTGGCTTGGGACGACGAACAAACGAAGTAATTCGTGAATCGAAAAGACCAGATCCACAGATGAATTTTGTGGAAAAAAAAATCGGAATCGATGATCAGCACCTGTATGAGATTCTCTCTCTGTGGGGTTTCTCGTTGATAATAATCATTCGTTTCTTATATCTTTTTTCGACGCGGCACAGAGAGAAGGAGAGAGGAAACAGCAAAAAGAGATACTATTGGATTTTACTTTAACCGAACCAACCCAAACAAAAATCCCAATTGAGTCGGTTATGTATATAAATTATCCTATCCCGGTTCGTTTTTACTAATTGGATCCTTCTCGATTTGAGAATGTCAAAAATGGTCATATCAATTGGAGTTTTGGATTTTTTACTAGCTTTATGGTGCTAATAAAATCAAAACCGCTGACTTAGTTTCCAATGTTTTAAATTCATGGTTTGGTTCTTCTCTTTTAATCTGGCTAGATCCTTATATAGAGGCTGACCGATCACCGATGATGTAAACGTAAACACAAGTTTAGTTTCAGGAGAAAAAGAAGGTACATGTTTATCCAATACAAGTCTACTTGACAATCTCAGCTTGATGCAGCAAATGTGTTGTGTATTCCATAAACAAAAAGGAAATGGTACGTAACTCTCTACATACTACAATATGTGTATTCCAAAGTTTGTACAGTTCAACGCGTCCATCTTATGAAGAGATACAATATGACAACAGTTGCGATCATACCGGTGTACTTGATCCAGGTGTCAACACGATTGCGCCTCTCGATTAGCCTCAATACAGAGTTGGAGAGCCCTACGGTGTTCAGAACATCCAAAGCCTTACGCTGTGCACTCTGAGAAGTGAGAATTCGAAAAGCCAATGTTAGAAAAAAATGTATTCCCATTGACTTGTGCCAATCTAATGTAGATTATTAAGATTAGGGGTTTAGAGTTAGTTAGTACCTTCAAACGATCCCGTTGTTCAGCATATTTGGAGAGGATAGCAACTCCACTCGAATAAGACTCTTCGAGCATTCTCTTTGAATTCTTGACAGAGTTCATTGCTTGAGTTTCCTCATCAAATATTTGCAAAATGTGAGCTCCTTCTCCGCTCCCTCTACCTAACAAATCCGCTCTCTCCTTAGCTTCCAACATCTTCCTCTGATTCCTCCACATATATTTTTCCAAACTTTGGTTCAAATACTCAGCCTCTTCTCCAACTTGTTCACTCTTTCTGTAAAAAAAAGAAAAGAAACGCACAAATGCTCAAGCGATCATTAAGCCATTTTGTCGATCTATGATATAATGTGTGTAAACTTAGACTCAAGAATGGATTCCTCACCTTCTCCAAAGATCGCGCTGCGATTTAACAGGGACCGAGCGCCACAGACTATCCATATTGGAGCAGAGAGATTTAACCTCAGTGATATCTCGTTTCAGGGAGGAGGCGAGATCGGTAGGATCAGACTCGAACCTCTCCAACTTCTCGATTCCATCGCGAGCCCTCAGTAGAATCCTTTTGGCACTACTATACACCTCAGACAACCCTCCCATTGTCCCAGACGCCATTATACAACCACCACAACAAAGAAACCAACAAACCACAAATCTTCTCCTTGCTGAATTTACAAATTCTGAAAACTTAAACCAGTTTATCAAGTAATGCAAAGATCAAAGTAAAACTTAGAATCAAAAGCACATTTCAACAAGATCTGCTTAAACCCATCCAATCAAAATTTCCAAATCAAGACAAATCATTCGACACCAAACCAGAAAATTCGATCAAAATCCTAGAAATTCCCATAATAAATACATCATCCACTCGAAAACTCATTTTGATTCCATCAACGAATGAAGAAACCAACAAATTCTAAAGAATCGTATTGAGATAAATATATGAAAAGCTAAAGAAACTCATTCCACGTACCGGTTTGGATAACGAAGTAAATCAAAGCAGAATGATTCGTGACTAGGTAAGACCCAGATCCAAGGGGAATAGATCACAGCACCTGGAGAGATTTATCTCTGTGGTTTCGAGTTTCGACGCGGAGCAGGGAACATAGAGACGAAACAGGAAGGACTGGTTTACTTAAACCGAACCAAATTGGGAACACGGAACGGGGACTTGGTCGGTTCTGTATACTTTATGTCGATCCCGGTTTACTTTAATTATGAAGATTGTTAAATTGGACCCTTTGGGAGATATGGGCATCATGGTCAAAGATTTGACTTGACAAACTGTCCATATTTAACAATTTGGGGTTTAATTTAAGATATATGCGTTTCCACTTTCCAGGTTATACAGATTTACTTTTTTTTTAATAAGTTAATTACATATTCCACCAAGATTTAGCTTAAATACGATTTTTAAAAATGTGTATATCTCTCAAAAAGTGATATGAAAAAGTATATATAGTTTTTTACTTTACAAATAAAAAAAAAGAAATTCTATATAATTTTTTTTTGATAATTTTTTCTGTTAATTAAAATTTTCGCGCCGAAAAGTACTTTAAAATTTTTTAAATTCTTTTTATGTATATGAGTCATATAATATGACCATGAAATTTAGAATATATAAAATATTTATATTGCATATTAATTTTTACTCCAAGTAATTGTTTTGTATTTTTTGGTTATGCAAAATATAATTGTAAGAAATTTGCGATTTAAATAGTTTTTTTCTACGTAAAAATATTATAAAATTGTATATATTTTTAGAAATCAATTTGTACCAAAATGTATATCTTCAAAATGTTAGATCAAGAACTACTGTAGATCTTACATTTGATCAAAATTTCTTTACTGAATCTTAAACTCTGATATACAGTATGAATGATACTTTGTTTTCCCATATATTTTGATTGTCTTTTCTCTCTGCAAAGAGCTTTGGTAGTAGAAACCAAAAGAGAAATAAAAAGTAACGTTGATGATACCTTAGCAAATAAGCAATTAAGCAAAGAGACAAAACACAGCTGTTCCATGAAGTTGTACTACTTCTTACTAATATTGGTAATACACACACAAGTAAACGTGTCTACATGTGCTTGTGTGAAAGTGAGGACACTCAGCATCAGTGAATGTTCCATAAATTAGTTGATTCAGATATATATATATATATATATATATATATATAAAATATCTCACAATCTGATATAATGATTCGGAGAAAGAAAGGAAAAAATAAACTTAGTTCACGTGATCAGATCTCAAAAAGTCATAGAGACAATACATATCCTTCAAAGCAAACAAGCTTTACAACTTGTCTTTCTCTTTTTTTAACTTAATCACATCTCTCTCTACCCAAAAAGTTTTTCTCAAGAAACAAATGAAGAGACTCCATCCATCAAGATCGATCTCAGTAGCTCTGTTTCTTGTTTTGTTAGCTTTCTTTAGTAGCAAGTTTCACACAGAGGGACTCAGAGATTTGCAGATAAGTAAAGAAATGAAGGAGAAGTCTCTTGGAGGTAGCTTACGAAAAATCCCAAGGAGTCGTTACAGCCCAATACAGAACAAGTAAGTGAAAACACCCACGCAATCTAATTTTCCAATCTTTACAACAAGATTGTGTATTTTAAGAGGTAATTTGACATCAAGATTTGTGTATTTTTGTAACAGGAGAGGTCCAAGTAGGAAACATCAGATCACATCAAGAGAACCATAGATTCATCACTAATTTTTGTTTTTTACTTAGATCTTGTGCTACCTTTTTTTTTGGGTTGTAGAATAGTATTGCCTACACTTGTTTGTGAATGCTGCAATGTAGAGTTTGATACTGTTACTGTTCTATAAGTTATGTCTTACTTTGACAGTGTTCTATTGAGTCCAAGGCTCATTTTTTAGACCTCTAAGGAGTGTTTATTGGATTTTGTAGATTTGTAAACCATCTTTCAAGTTCATTTAGAATTACTTGCTTCTAAGTTCACATGAATATATAAGCTGTGATATGATGTATTGATGTATCTCTTTTTTTTATTAATTCTTGACTGAGCACTCTTCCAGAACTAGCTTGTTGCCTGCTTGTAAGAGTAGATCTAGTTAGGAAGGGCTTCAACTATATGCATTGGTCTTGTTCTTGCTTTGTCACCTCTCGTTATACGTCTTTGTTCTTCCCAAATTTACCATTGTAGAGCAAGTGCAATTAGCTGATGGGGCTTCACATGGACATATAACATCAAAGATTTGAATAGTAATCCACTGGTTCTCTCCTTCATATTCAAAAGCAGGCAATCCAAAATCAGGTTTGTTAAGCAGTTAGCTTCATCATCCTCATACTTAAAAGTCTTGTAAAAGAAGAGGTCGTTTTATATATACAGCAACATACCCACCAAATGATCAGTAAGAATTTACGTAACCACATAATCAAACTCTTCAATATTGGAGCTTGTGAGTGACACCTATATCATGACATCCCCATTCCCCTCTTATTATGACATCCTTTTGTGAGCATAACGAATGGTTCCACGTATAATACAAATTAACGATTTCCAAATTTGCCCAAAATAAAATAAAAAATAAGAACCAAAATTTCTCAAATAAGATAAAACGGAAAATAAAAAATTATATAAGAATTAAGAACCTACACATAACCAATTATTTTATAAAAACATAAATGTAAAAAGGAAAAAAAAAAACGACATATTACTCTCTCCGTTTCTAATAGATTGATGTTTTGGAATTTTTTTCTGTTTCAAAAAAATTGATTTTGTAAATTAAAAAAATAAAATGATTACTTTATTTTTTACCTTTTTCCACATGACATATTGTTAATGGTTTATATTTTATTTTTCTACCTACAAACAATTATAAATTAATTAATAAATAAAAACTTTACTTTTTCTTAATAAGTGTGAAAATTTTAAAACATCCTTGTTGAAATAAGCTTATAAGATTCTCTTTGCAAAATCTTACCTTAAGAATCCCACCATTAATTATGTTTAGTTGTATTTAGGAGATATCTAAATGCAAATAGGATTAGCTCAATATATAAAGATTAGCCAAGGTGTGGTTTACCTTTAAGAGATTTGAGAGAGAGATTAAAATCTTAATCTTAATATTCAAATTCTAGAGCACTGAAAACTAAAATCCTATTCGACTGCAGCTAATTAAAGGATCGAGATTTCCTCTACGCGTCGGCTCATAACAAACAAAGGATGATGAAAAAGAAGGCGGCGCCTGAGTACGTGTCATCTGCAACGAAGGTGTTTTAGGACATCAACAGGTGTCCCATACCCGATGGTTATGATGCTTGTCAGATCGGTCCGAGAATAGACATGATGTTGATGAGTTTAGGCTACTCTGGTCCTCTCACCATCACTGCCATTGGCGACCTCAGAGCTATTCCTCATGAGATCCTTCGAGCGCTCTCTTCCACTGGAATCCTTGTTAGAGAAGTCCGTTGCGGTTAGACTCTAATCCTGATCCTCTGCATAGTAGAAGAATACTAGAGCGCAGTGAAGACTTGTTTGTTTGCAAAACATGCAGACACAAATTTGCTTGCCAAAGCTTTGAAGAGTTCAGTGCCCATCTCGAGTCTAAAGACCATAAAGTGAACGTAAGCATATCCTCTCACTTGCTTGTATATATATGATCAATATAGTAGTATTATACATTTCTCATTCATTGGTCTTAAACTAATATATGTTAATCTTTTTTTTCCACATTCATGTTATTCTCAATTAAGATGTATCTGGTTCCAAGTGAGATGAGATTATCCGAAAAAGCTAAAAGGATGGAGCAGCATATTTCAAACAAAAGGAAGATTGTTGAAGCCATTACCGCAGCAGCCTGATGATTGAATAAGTTGATGAAGAGAATGGACCAAGACATGAACAAGAAGATAGTTTTAGCCTTTGTTGTTGTGTTCTACTCTTAAGACATTAATTTTCTTATGATTTAATGGTTGGTGCAAATTAACACTACTTGGTACTTATGCTTAAAGTTAATTTACGAATTCTACTTTTTGTTTACATTCCTTTTGAATTCGTTTTCGATTCGGCCAATCTAAAATATGTTATGGTTCAAATACGCAAAATGCCTAGCCTTCATTGCTTTCTCGTGCCATTTTAAAAAGCCTTGAAACTCTCTTGTCTTATTGTTACTTTTTGTGTAAATGAAATTATCAAAAAAAAAAAAAAAAAACAATTAGCATCTTTTGGAGTTTGGATCTCTATGTGGATCTTACGTACGAATTATGAAATTTATTATGCTTTACCACAAAATAACTTTGTTTTTTGTTTTTGTTTCTTTTCCGGATTTATATTGTATAAGAAGGTTATTTTTCTATGTTCATCGGCTTAATGCATTTCTCACAAATATACAAATAAAACTATCATTTTAATAGTAACATGTCAAGTCAGTATTAGAGAATTAAGAAACGTCATTAGCCGAAAACTAATTAATTAAAAAACAAAACATTAAAAAAAAACGATAATCAATTAATAATCCCAAAAAAGAAAAAAGGAAAAAGAAAAAAACTCAACGGTCAAAGAGAGACTATTGGCATTTTAGCGTTAGAATAGAAACCGTTACCGCTGCGCAAAAATATTCTCAACATCTTCATTATACTCCGGTGGTAACTCTTCGCCGATCTCCGCCGCCACCTGTGCAAGCCACAGATCAGTCAACCGAGTACAATCAACCTTATGCTTCACTCTCCAATCCAACGCTTGACATCCACGCGAGCAATAATTCACCGTCCCGCAAACAGAACACCTCCGAAACTCATTCGCCCGAGTCTCCGGCCTCCCGCAACCGTCGTGCGAACACATCGTTAACCCCTCCGATAACTTCACCCCACCCGGACCAAACCAATCTTTCAAAAACCGGTTTACCGGATGAATCTCTTTAACCGGAAAGGTCATCTCCCCCTCCTTGATTGAGAGGAAAGAGCGTAGAGTACAAGCGACTTCACGCGCGTTTGCTTGGATCAAATACCGACGACCTTCGGTGACGTTACGTGGACAACCGTAACCGTCTTGGAGACAGTGACCGAGCTCACGGAGGGCATCGATGTAGCCTATGGAAGCGGAACGAGAGCAGAGAGCGACGCCTGCTCTTAGATTCTTATCGGATTTTGAACCGCCGCTTCCGTTGAACTGAATCACACCTAACGCGTAAAGCGCCGGCGCGTGTGATCGAATCGCTGCTTTTGCTAATAGCGCCGCTCCGTTTCTCTTCTTTTCAAGACAGTAAAATCGGATCTGAAGATTTTAAAAAAATAAAAAAATCGAAATTAGATTTTCACAAGAAACGGAGATTTCGAGGTTTTTTTTTTAAGGGAAACGAACCATTCCGAGAGCGTAACAAGCGTCGGCGCTTCCGGCATTAGAGCAGAGTTTGAGAAATCTTTGAGAAGAATCAGACCAGTTCTCCGCCGTGACTGCTACGGTACGAGTACCGGCTTTTGATAAAACCAGAGGATTTAGCGCTAACCGATTCAATCTCTTGCATCTGTGCAACGACAAAAAAAATAAAAATAAATTAGTGTGAAGGAGGAGATTGAGATGGAGATGGATACGTGTAAAAGAGACATACGTGGAGAGAACGGTGAGGAAATCGGAAGGAGAAGAAGCGGAGGAAGCGAGGTTACAGAGGATAGAGATGATGAGATCATCAGGTAAGTCATCGAAATGGCAGTTCTGGTTCTTCTCTAACCTCTGTTTCTTGTTGAGATGCGTCGTCTCCATTGAAGAAGATGATTTTTTTTTGTGAGATTTGAGAGAGAATTAAAAGAGAGGCAGGGGAGGAAGGAGATGGTGTGTGCTTTTATAGGCACACAGGTTTGTTTACACACACACACACTCGTGATTAAGAAACTGTTTTTTGGCTTTTTCATATACAAAAAAAAAAAGAACCTCGTGGCTCTTTCTTTCTCGTTCCCTTTATTCTCTTTTTATAAAATCACAAATCTGAAAATAATTATGGTCAAAGACCTCAAAGGCTAAAGGGGTAACAGTGTAAAATTAACATAATTCTAGTCAATTTTGCATTTAATTTTAATTTTTTAGTCTTTAGTTGCTTTTAACCTCCATGAGATTTGACTAATTACACTCGTATTGATTAACCATTGTATTCACTTTTTTTTATATATAACTTGTTAGCATATTAGAGATTGAGCCAAAACTAAAAGATATTCAAATAGATTTTCGCCATCATGGCCTAGTTTGAAAACAGAGATATTATAGCCAGTAATCATGGTGATTAAGATAAAATTTTGTACATTGACTAAATTAAACAATTGATTGAAAATATATTACAATAAATAAATTAACAAATATGACGATTTTTTAAAAAAAATTAGATAATTTAACAAGTTTGTAAAAATAGATAAAAGTATATTGAATTGTTAAATAAAACATTAATGAATTTTATCATATCGTACACAAATTAATTTGTTCTCAATTTAAAAAAAATATTACTTTAATATTAAATTTAAATATGATTTACTATTAAAAAAATATATTAAGTAACAGATGATAGAGATAAACATGAATTTTGATGAGATTGTTTTCTAAAAACAAACCATATATTTGAATTTATTTTTGAATAAATAACCTTTGTTTTGGAAGACAACTCATTTTCCATATTAAAACAACTCTATTTTTGGATATTTATTCTTGATATTTATTTTGTCATGACTTTTTGTTTTGGATATTTATTGATAGATATAAAACACTATGAATCTTGTAAAAAGTACTATATTGATAAATAATATAGTATGTTTAGTCATTTTCTAAAACTAGATGTAAGTCATGTTTGTTTCGTAATTGTCGTAGCCACCACCGAGTAGAAAATCTTTTTTACTTCATAAAAAATAAGTTCAGACCAATATTTGCTCGTTTTAGTTCCTAAGATAGGTAGATGCATTTTGAAGAATTTACTAACAATAGATATATTTAATCAACTGCTAACAACATATTACAGATCTCTTTATAATTAATTTGAACATACATTTGTGAAAGTAGCTTTTTAAAAAAGATTTACATAACTATACCTTTATCATTTATATAAATATCAAAATTTGAAGTTTTTATTTATAATATAATTATACTTTAATTTAGTACCAAAACCATACTTTGAATAATTATTAAAAAATTAGTATCTATAACTTAAATATTCTGGATACTTTTAATTTGCCAAAAAAACTAAAAATTTTCGGATCATGATCTGAAAAAAATTAGAGTTTACATAAATATGATTATATAGATTTTTACGGATTGGTCTACTAAGATACGCAAAATATTTTAGTTTGATATCAAACAAGTTAACGAGAGATGTTACGTCAATTATAACCGGTACTAAATACAAAAAATACAATTCATCTAAAATTATGGAATGTAAATATTAATCAAAACATACTATTTAAAAAAATATACACTATACATTTTTCTAATAATTATTTTAAAAATTGTTCGCCAATATCTCACGGATTCAAATCTAATAAACTGTATTGTTTCGTAGTATGTTTATCGAGCAACCACGATTCGTTCATCTTATCACACTATCAAAATCGCAAAGCTACACTAATAAGAACCTTAAACGACCGATGCAATGATCTCGTGTGGATGCGACCATGTTCCCTAATAACGGTTTATTAAAAAATTAAAGGTAGAGTGTTATGTTATATATGTGATTGACTTTGGTCAAAATCTTACATGGCTTTAGAAAGAAATATATCAAAAAGCAAAGTTGAAGAGGGACACATTAGTACGGAACACAAACAACAACAAAATAAAAATCATGTGGCCGTCACATACGAACACATATATTGGTTGGCCATCGTTTAATTGTAAGCAAAGTTACTAAACACGTTTCCATTTTGATATTTTCTTTTTGGAGTGAACTTGTAGAAAAGGGAACCCTAATCATTACATATGGGTGGTAGACTAAGAAACCAATATAAACCTTTCACTTATAACGTTATTATCTCTTCATATATAAGAATATTTGATATATATGTATATATTATTTCTTATCAACTTGTGTGAATAGATTAGTCAAAGTTTCTCTTTGGTGGGATATACATATAAGTTAGTCAGGGTGCAAAATAGTCGGTTGCTTAGTTAAATCAGTGGATTAGGACATCAAGTTTAGAATGCTAAATATAGCATATCAGCTAAACTTAACCTTGATTATGTAACTTGATTTTGACTCTCAAATAAAAACAACACACGATTTTGTAAAATGTTTATGTTTGCGGGTGATTGCGAGAAAACCAATTATGTTGGTTTATGTTAGTATTTCTAAGTAAGTATGGGATTACCAACATTTACTAAAATTGATAAATGTCACAATTTATAGATATGTATTGTTTGGTGTGTATTAAATGGAAACATCATCCTTATCTAGATGCACCAAAGCATGCATCCCCAATAAGAACACGCATAGTCCAAGTTGAGAGACAAGAAGGGTGGAGAAAAGAGTTTTGCAATACAAGTTACCCAATCATCTAAGTAAGATACTTTATAAATCTTTTTGTAGGTCCATTGATAAACACAAGAAAACGATTACAATATTATTTGTAAAAAAACATATATAAAAAGAGATATTTTATTTGAAGATATTTATTGTAACAAAAAATTGATTGATATGAAAATAGAAGGTTTTATGGATTGCATGTGGATAAGATTTTGAAGGATCAAGATTGGAGTTGGTGGAACACTCATCCTTTTCACCACCACCAGAAACCAGACAAACCCAAAACTAAAATAACCAAAACTATAAAATAAATAAAGATAACATAATTTAGTTCCTTTGAGAAATAAAATATAAAGATGAAAAATATTACTCATCTCTTTATTTATTTTTGGAGGGGTCGACGAGTTTGGTTGATAATGAGTGTCGCATTTTGTTCCCACAACTGTACCATTTGCATGCCATCATCATCTTTTGTTCAAACTCTTTAAACTTTTTTTTTTGTTTAGCAGAATCAATTAATTAAGTATACATAAAAAATAAGGTTTGCTTGTAAGAATTGCAATGAACATGATTAAGTATAATAATGTGGGATCTACTTCAGTTTAGTTCGCTGAGTATCAACGATACATTATTATTATATATTTTTTTGTCATCAACTAAACCAGGAGAAGGCTCAAGCGAACCAATTCGATAGGCAGTAGAAACTTATATATGCGGACTAAAACGAGCTCTACGAGCCGAGAAATCCGTTTTTACATTTAGATTTCTAGGAATAAGAGATATAGAGAATGATGAGAAATCTTTTCTGTCAATGTTGATTTTTTTCAATTAGACAGAAAAAGCCGGCTACTCGTGAGGAGAAGACACCATCTTTACTAAGTCCGAACAGTCGGTAAAAAAAAAAATGTTTCTGAAATTATGACTAATCATGCATCGTATCGCCCACTCCAGAGTTTCTACTTCTGTATGAAAAGGGGAAAGACTCCTTCAAATACGTATTATTATTATTATTATTTTTAAATGACTTAAAATGTTTATTTATAATTTTCTCAGCTTTTTATATCGTTTTCTTCTTTCAATTCACTATGTATTTTTAATTATTACGTACCATTAAATATACTTTACTCGCTTAAATTTTTATACTCCACTTTGTGCTTATCGGATTCATGGTTAATATGTAGCATTGTAATTACTTCTTATGTTGCCTTATGTTGCCTAGGCAATCGAAAATGATTTATTTAATTATGTTTTACTGAGCCAAGGTAAACAAAGATTAATTATTTTGGTAATGGGAAAAATACTACATCTCATTGTGAATTAAGCGAAACATATCTAGCTATACCTTAATTTATCCAACTTGAGTTCACTATATGTAGCGCAGCCATGTCTATGCCTATGTATTAACGTTCAGTATAAGAATGATATACATATAGTGTTTTTGCAAATTGCATCTCTGCTTACATAAGATAACCACTAAGCATATATGATGATAATGTAGCTGAGACAAAACCGACGTGTTAAATAAGACAAGCGGCCTACTCCAAATCATATAAAGCGGACCAAACAAAGATCGGAAAGTCGAACTTAATTAGCAAAGAGATCTTGCCCTGATCTTTTGAGATATCGAATAGCCTACGCCAATGAGATCAATACACATGCTCTTAGTAAAAAATAAAAATAACTAACGTAACTTGTTTCTTGTGCTAAACCATATATAGTTTTGTTTAGTAGAAAAATCAGGTGCTCCAAACAAATAACATTTGGTGGGATGATGTCGTCAAGCTGCGTATATACGTTGACACCTATATAGATCATATACGATTCACGGCTTCTACATACTTCCAAGCCCTAGAACTAGAATATACTTTAAAGTACTCCCAAGTCTTTCCATGTGATTTGGTCTAGGCGGCCGCTTGTCTTTTAAGTTTTTAACACGTTGGTTTTGTCTCAGAGCTATATTATCATGCTTAGTGACTATCATATGTCATAATAAAACAAAGAAGGATCGTGGAGATAAGCTTTAAATTTTAGTATCAATGGTGGATGATTGATTGGTTCTGGTTATCAAATTTTCGAGGGAAACGAGGGCTTATAGACTTATAATACAGAAACTGAAACTAAAAATTGTGAATAATGTTGTAGCTGTTGAATTGTAGAATCACATATTTTCTCCAAAACCGTAAAATCAAAATTTGATGCTAAATCCGCATAAATATATGCTTAGGCATCGAAATTATGTTCTAACGAAAAACACAAACTAGCAGGATGTTAATTTTGGCTAAATAATTTTATCAAAAAAGAAATATTCTGTTTGATAAAATATATAAAATTATTATGTGATAATATTGTTTGTGTGCAGTATTCCTAATCACATCTGATGGCTGATATATAATGTTTTGCATTAAGATACAAACTATAATAAAACAAAATCTGCAATGCTCTTTTATTCTTTTTTCCTTTTATATATCTCTTATACGTGTAAATCTCTTATTCCGATATTGGACATTATTTTGTATTTTCTAAATTTTCGTGTGATATGGAACAAAAGCTCAAAACTTTCTGATTTAGAAACAATACGTAACTTGAATTAACTAGAATAAATCGTGATCATTGTCGTATGCATATAATTTCATTTATACACTCTTTAAAAGGATACATGATTCCGCACACAGTTTTCTCCCGTCTCCGAGTGACCACCAAGCGTCAATACGATCTGTCTATATAATAAATATCTAAGCATTACGTTGATACACGAACAATTACAAATTAACTCTATATTATATTTAAAAACATTAATAATTAAAGTAGAAACGAATGTAATAATTTAAAAATACAAACACAGTTCAACCAAAACGTGACGATCATAACATAACAATTGTATTTTTTTTGCTTTATTTTGGAGTTCAAATGATAACATAATTAACAATTATGTCATGGCGATGCTTTGGTATTGTGTACGTCTGTTCACAGACCAACATGTGTTTATTTTAACTCCCAAGTTTTGAAAGTATATGTGTTTTTAGGTATTAAAATACTTGTTGTTTATCATCATGACGCTATTTGAAGAGACATTCGCCATGTACACAAGCAAACTTAAGTTCTTGAAATGACACATATATATAAAATCTTTCAGGAGTTTGGTAGATCAGCACTCACAATAATGTAATTAAATAGTAAGATTACAAACCGTACTTCAAGATTAATGTCCATACATATTTGACATTGTTATTATTTTGGCCGCATGTTTTGTATAATTATTGTAGTTTGTTTCTTTTTGTTTTTATGTTTAGTACACCTAAGAAACGTAAATACAACTTAAACACGAATTAAACAATGATAACTATTCTCTAAACTGCATAAACAATTCTAACGACAATGCGTGGAAATACTACGGTAACATATTCAAGATTTCAATGTGTTTTTGAGTTTGCAACTCAAAACTAAAAATAGTTATAGTGAATGATTTGCTTAATGCTTAGGTCCCATATAAAACTTTGACGTGGGGTAGGTTCTTGATACGTACGTTTAATCTTAATTCGCTAACTTGGAGACCAAACTACAACTTTGATGAACTTCTAAAACCATTGGTTTCGAGGTACAATAATTGGAATCGTATATTTAAATTATATTATTACATATGAAGGAATATAATGAGGAGGTCAAAATGGTAGAGAAGTTTCTTTTGATCACTTCCATTAAACACCGATAAGAAATGGCAAGACGAGTCACACATGAGCAAATGTCCAACGGCGCACGAAAGAACAATGACTATGATCTTTTGATTAAATACGTTTTATTTTATCATATGCATATTTTGATGATTTCTTGGTATATGCATATTTTATCAATTCATCTAGCAAGAATATAAGACTCCTTCCAAATTTCTAATATATCATGAATAGCTAAGCCAACCAGTTTTCTTGTAGCTATTAGTTATTGGATATTAAGACTTTTTATTTAACTTATGATGAGATGTTAAACTTGAAAGGCTAAAAAAAGAGTGTAAGAACCAAGAAGTTCCAAAACAAAAGAGAGAAGAGATGTTGGAGCAATTGAGAAAATTATAGGATGACATGATGAGATGCCAAAGTGAAGTGGCCACATGCTTCATCATGAACTTTAGGGGAGTTTCACCAGAAGGAGTCAAATAAAAATTGAATTGAAGGGAGAATTGCTGCATGTTCAAGATTTACCAATAAAATACTTTAATTTAAAAAAGCAAAAAAGAAAGAAGCATGTTAGGGGGAAAATGCTTGGCCTCCTCTAGGCAAACCGTTCATGTGTGTTCGTTGTGTGTGATTTCATTTTGTACCCAAAATATATGTTTGTTTGGGGATCCCAAACACACGCAATGTACATGTTGTTGAGAGTCCTATCTATGAATGAGATCATACCTTGTTGAGATCATACACTAGGGCCGTGACTCACAGTTTCGTGAGCTCTAGACATGATTATAAGAATAATTATAATTTGGGCTATACTTGTACTAGTCCTCCTGTAATATATTGTTTCGATTAAATTTTTTTTATACTTCCAGTCTCGGCTCAATTCCATCTATACAATATATATTCTATCAAATCCCGCCCAAACTATATAATTTTACCCAATTACCTAAAATAAATTAACTTTTTCAATGACTTAATGATGACATGCATGTATGTTTGATTCAACGTTTTAGAGCAAATTTATCTACCGTCATCTCTCATTAATCCTTCGTTAATAGTTGAATAAAAATAAATTTATCCTTTAATATTAACTAAAACCAACTTGTTATAGATATGTTTGAATTAAAAATGGTTACTGCATTATGATTCTACGATTTTATTTTTGATTTTACGATATTTAATGTGTAAACTATATTATTTTACGAAAAATCTAACTACCGAAATTTAATCAACAGCTCCATTACATGAATATGCATTTAAATAAACTTTTTTTTTTGTGTCCAATGATTTAGCTGTGATTCCTATAATATAATGATCAAATCCATATTTTTTTTCAAAACTAACTCATAACGGTTAGGGTGTTTTGTTCTTTTATAATGTTCGCAAAAATAAAATCACTAATTTTAGATTTTGTCAAACTAATCATCACATTTAACTAAGATTTATACAATTTATCATTGGAAAAATCGAAAGAAAAATAAATTATAATTTGAAAGAGAATTTCACATTGTTGTTCAAAAAAAGAAAAAAAGAGAATTTCACATTTTTGCTTTGGTTATCAGTTATCACTAAAGAAACAGAAAAAAATAAAATAGAAAAGGCCCAAAACGCATAAGGGCAAAATGGTAAAAGAAGAATCACAAGGAGGATGCGAAAACCCTAGACTCATATTTCTCACTCACGTAGCCGCAAGACTCCTCTCCCTGATAGTTACTTGCAGGTGAGCTCCTCTCTCTCTCCCTCTTAAGGTTTTCGATCTTCGTCTTCTCTCTGCTGTTAGGCCTCTGATTCTTCTCATAAGTTCTCTGTTTTTAGATTCATGTCTTATAGCTGTATGTTCACTGTGATAATCGCTGTCTTTTGATATTCGAGTTTAGGATCGCATGTTGTTGTAGCCTTATAATCTAGGCGATCTGCCATTTCACTGTTCGTTTCGTTGCTTGATTTGATTTTGGATCATACTTTAAAGAATCATAATACTATGAGAACCCGGTTCCTATCTATAAAAAGCCAAACGTGCGATGATTCATAGACATGTGAAAATATGGATTCTGACACGACAGGCCCAGTCCGTAAACAGAACCAAAGAGACCAGACCAGAGTTTGTGGGAGTTATTAGGGAGGAATATTAGTCAAAAGGTTCATTGTTACCAGTCAACGTGATTAGGACTAAAAATGTGACTATGTAATGTGATAAGCAAATTGGCATGGCTCAAACGTTACGTTAGCTCAAAAAAAGTTTTATTTACGATATACATTATACAAAACAATTTTAGTTGACCAGAAAAAAAAAACAAATACAAAAACCATTTTGTTTGGTCCCTAACCAAAAATTACAAATCTAATTTAGCTTAACCCAACTTAACCCGAATACATATATAATTTTTACGTATATTCCTACTTTTACTACAAAAATTGTCAAAATGAATAATTTATCGACAACTATTATTTCGTACTGTTAAATTTTCACCGTGTTTTTCATTGTATCAAAACTCAGTATATGATTATTTACTCGTTTTTTCCTTTATTATTTTATTTAAACTTATTATACAAATATATGATTTACCGTAATCGATTGCACTCTAACAAAATTAAAATGTTACATATTCTAATCCGTTAAAAATTATATATATGTAATTATTTCCTCCGCGCTGTAACGCGGGTCCGAATCAGTCTAATTAAAAATTACAAACCATTCGTTTGTTCCCTAAAATCTTAACCCGAACACAACAACACCTGACCCGTTTCTTCTTCCCGGACTTAGCAGGCACGATGAGCTCCGAGAACGAAGAAGACTCTTCAGCTGTGCGACGGCGCGTGTCCTGCACCAAATGCTTCGACGCTCTCTGGTTCTGCTACTGTAAGTCTTCGTTTCCCCTCACCTGATCGCATTTTTATGATTCTGCATATTGTTCTGCCTGTTATATACTAGAGAACCTTGGGGACAGAGTTTAGCAATGATATAGCTTTTCAAACCATCAAAGAATCTCTGAAAACCATTCCTCAATGTATGTTTTGTTGAAGGGAGGTCTAGAACATAACCAGTAACATTGGTTGAGTACAAAACAATAGCATAGTCTTAAAAAAAATGGCATCACTTACTTGTTTCTTGAATACGCTAGGGGTTAGGAAAGAACATCTTACTCACTAAACCCTTTGGAATTTTTTCTAGTATGCTCTCTCTGCATTATGTTTCTGCTGTTTGTGTTGCATTTACTTCATCTATAATGTTCTCTTGCTCCATTCACGTAAGCTATGCCTTATTTTCTCTTCTTTTGACATCGAGTTTCATAGATTAATCTCTTTGCAGCACCATTTTACCAAATGCAGCAGTATTACCGGGTTGGCAGACTTGATGATTGTACTAAGAAGTTCTCTGATCTCTTTGATTGTCTTTCTTTAAAGACAAAAAGAGTTTCTGAAGCCGAGGTTTGTATTTTTTTTATTTTTTATCATGCAGTTAATTCATTCTTCATTACATTTTGTCTACTCAAGAGGATATTAGACCATCTAGTGGATATCACATAGACTAGCTTATCTCAAATAATCATGATTTGGAGTTATGTGAATCACACTTGTTTTAAGATGGGTTTATCTTGGTGTAGCTCTTATGTTCTGCATCAATTCTGTATTGCGGAAAAAGATAAATATGGACATTGTCCTTCTGCACCACATGTCCAATATTACACAACACATGGTTCAGATCCACTGTTTATACTTTATGTATGTGTCTGTTATGTTCCAAGATATTTAAGGCCTGACAATTGCAGAAAATTCTAGAAGAGAAGGAGATGGCAGATGCGGCAAAACATATTTGGATTATGCGAACACATGAAGAAGCTTCAAGTCATTGGAATGAGACTTTTGGGCATTTGGAGAATCCAAATTGTTAGAAGGTACAGTTTCATTCGTTCCATTCTTGATGGAGATTTTTTACTTCCAAGAAACTTGATGTCTGCTAGAGCCTAGATGTCTGCAAATTATTCTGCCGGCTAGAAAAAGCTTTTTGTCATAGCTTACCTTGAACACTTGAGCAAACTTAAGTTATACCTCGATCTCCAAAGAAGCGTACCTCGAAAGATGGATATATGTTTTAAGATCATTTATTGGATTGTGGATGTATTTCATTGGTTGGTAACAACAGCTAAATAAAATCTTACATCTATAAGGAGCTTATTATTGATAATGTTCGAGATATTAGAGATATACCAGTGTTTTCTTGTAGCAATCAAATAGTTGGATCTTAAGACTTTGATTTAACTCTATGAGATGCTAACTTGAAAGGCTGAAAAAAGTGTAAAAAAACCAAAAATTTCCAAAATAAAAGAGAGAAGAGATATGTTGGAACAATATTGAAATTATAGGATGACTATAATGAGATGATGAGATTCCAAAGTGAAGTGGCCACATGCTTCATCATGAATTTTAGGGGAGTTTCACCAAAAGCATTCATCTAAAGATAGGTGTATTGTGTTGATGAGCATAGATAGACTTTCGAAACAACCAATAACCCCATTTAATTTATCACATCTTTTACCCAACTTGGGGAGACTAAGGTCGTGCATAGGGTGCAAAAGAACATCAATTAGTTGGCTTACTAAATTAGTTTGATCTACATTCAAGAAAAGTCTGATTTTTGTTTTGTTTCCAACTCAAAAAAGAACCAAAAAAGAACATTGAAACAAAATGGAATCCAATTACACAAAAACACAGAACTGACATGTGCTGCCTTGACACAAGAAAATTTCTAATCTTCTTTCCTCAAAAACATACAACTGACTTGTGTCCTTTGATTCCTACAAAAACACACCAAACAAAGGCTTAGAACAGTAGTAAGTCCCAGAGAATACAAGCACATCATGTAGTAGAATAGAACTAAGCAAATATCTTTCCCAATCGTTCAACCATCTTATGCTCAGCACAAATCTCTTACATGATCAGATTCTAGACTAATAAATAATACGTCCGCAACCAAACAAGAATGTTTTCTATCTATTATACCAAACTTACATTTGCAATTGAAGTGCTTCAGACTCAGAGATCTTGAATCTAATATCACTACCACAAAAGCTTCCTAGATAAATATCAAAATCAGACTCATATATAAGTCTGCAACCAAACAACTATATATTGAAATTGAAATGCTTCAATCTATATCACTTTTAACATACAAGCTTCCCAAATATACAATGACTTAACCGATCATGATCAAATGCACAAAATCATCAAAAGTTACACACAAAAGAAAAAAAAATCGATTTTTTTTAATATTCTTACCTAAGTAGCACCGACGATGATGTTGTTGATCGGAATAAAGATGAGCTTCACAAAGAAGCCAACGAACCCCATCACTACAAACCCAATCGCAGTACGAACAGCCACTTTCGTGAATTCTACAAAACACACCAAAACAAAAACAGATCTATCAATTTAGCCCCAAATCGGAATAAATCGAAAAACAACAGATCCACCAAATCGAATCGAAGGATTGTTACCTTTGCGATCTGGCTTGTGACAACGTTTAACGAGACGAATGCTATCCTTAGCGAAGTCTCTGAGAGGATCAACGACGGAATCAATGGCGTCCATGGCGATCTGTATGTATTTTTTTGCTTTCGAATGATCTCAAAATAAACTCACAATTTCTCTCTTATTTTTTTTTGTTTTATTGGAGAGGGAAGGAAGAAAGAACGTCACAACGACCAATCACAAACCGAGCTTTGATGACACGTAGGATAAGTTTACCACGTCAACATAGTAATAGGCTTGTAACAATACATGGCCTAGATCCATTATTAATGGGCTTGTAACAAGGCAACGCTCGTTGAAAATTTTATTAGTAGCTGGGCCTGGGATCATGGTTCCAACTTGCAAATCGAGCATATAACATATTGCAGCAGCGTTTTTTGATCGCTGAATCAAATTGTAATTTTTTTTTTTCTTGTCATCACAAATTGGTAATCAAAACATTTTAATCGGAGAATATTGTATTCGCTTGCAACGATTAAACGAACAACAATACTTGCATTCTTTGTAGCCACAAATACCCGTAACAATCAAATGAACAATTCCAATATACTAAACTTATATAGGTTTTGAACGATTGTTTGAGAAACGTTTTACATCTAAACTTTTTAAGGCATTTTTGATAAAAAATTTATAAATAACTTTTTTGAAAAGTTGTGTAGGAAAATGTGCATTTTTCAGTAACTAACTTTTTGCCATATCTCTCAATTGTACGTAAGCGTAAACATCAGTGTGCTTTGAAGCAGCCAATATTTTGTTAAAAATGAATCTTGACACATTTAATATTTTTCTTTAAATCTATTTAATATAACCAATAATAGTCTTATGTTAGTGGCTGGTTGGTATTATTAAAAGCCAAAAGAGTAAAGTGAAACTTTTTGTTTTCTACTAAAGCAAATTACTATGAGAATTATGTTGTTTTCAACAATGAAATACTGAAAAAGGGAAAATTAGAAGAAAACGAATTAGATGTAAATGTTTTCCCTTTTTTTTTTTTTGTCATCACATGTATACGTTTTCCTATAACTTTTATATGTTATATAAGATAGAAAATAAAAATTATGCTAACTATAGTCTTATGTGTGTTTCTCACTAGTTGGTATTACTAAAAGCTAAAGTAAAAGTTTTGTTTTTTACATAAGAAAATGGAGATGAGATTTTTTTTTTTTTTTGGGATCAATGAAATACATTTAAAAAAGGGAAACTAAGAAAAAGATAAAAGGTATTCCTATAAATTTTTTTTGTTAAACTATAAGACTGAAAGGTAAAATTTTGCTAAAAAAAAATTTTGCATGGTGAAATGTAAATGAAATTTCAATTTTTCTTTTTTTTTTTTTGTTCAGGAAAGGTTTTACTTTTACACATTTGATTTTTTCTACTTGTATAGTGATACAAAAGGCATGTTCTTTTGGAAATCGTTAAGATAGCGACAACAATTGTTCAAAACGACGGTGGACGTAAAAGGTATGAACGCAAAATGACAATAAAGAATGGTGATGAAGATGACACTAGAAAAAATGAAAGCGAGGCTGGAAAAAATGAAGGCGTGATACATCTATGGAAGAGTCGTTAAAAACCACTTTAGAAAACAATTACACATCATCAATAACAAAATAATTAGTGACTGATTTTTTTTAAAAGCGGTGTATCCATTCAATTTTTCTCTTTATTTTTCGGATTTTACACCTTTTTGGGAAAAAAAATTCATATTCTATTTTTATAGTATTTTTTAGGAAAATAATCGTTATGTAATTAAGGCACCCATATGAGTAACATTCTTTTTAAAATATCTAATTTTCATGTATAACAAACCGTCTAAATAAACACCAAAAATGTATTGACCGCATTTTTCATTTATATTATTATATATAAATTATTGAACGTTTCATAAATGTTTTCAAAATTATACATATTTGATTATGTTTATGTTGTTTTTATTGTTTAACACATTTTATAAACAAAATAATGCATCCTATTCTTGTTACCTATATTTGAAACCCAAATACCAAAAAATAGTTTTTTTTTTCTTTAAATTCCAAAATCTAATATAAAAGGAAAAAACTAGACCAATAGTAAAAGTAATAGGGAGAATTTAAAAAATACCTCTTTACAAATATTATTATTTCTTAATAAATAAATAAATCGCTAAAATTATTCGTTAGCAAATAACGCGCCTAAAGTTTGAATTTGTTTACGGTGTCATTGTGCAATAGCAATTATTTCCAAACGTTTATATTTGTCGTTTTATAGAAAAGCAAAGAAGAATTTTTTTCAGCGTTGTTGCTGTGAGAGAACTGTTATCTTCATATTCAAGAAATAAATTTCTTCTCAAAAATCCAACAATTCAAGTTCATCAAACGTTCTTTCAAAGTCTCTTTCAATGACCTCTCTCCCTTTACTATGTAAGTAGGAGACTAATGACACACAAAATATCCTATTTGCTTCTTTTAATCACATTTAAAGCATAAAATCAACGTCTCATTCCAATCATAAATCCATCATGAAGATACAATCATTATTCCTAGAAGCGTCCAACAACATTCAAAAGCAAAACAAAATATAAAAATATTGGACTCGGCTTCATCGAAGTTTCTTGAATCGAATACCAAAAGGTAAAAGATAAAAACTAAAAACGAAAACTTGGTTTCTTGAAAAAGTGGATCTACGGTATCAAATCCTCCACTTATACTGCCTTGTAAACCTGCACACATACCTTCTTATTAATATGCATCTCAACTTTTCTATTTGCTTCATATATATATATATATATATCAATTATAACATTGTTAATAGTTTATAGTACTTCAATTCATCAACTTACTCCTTTTGGTTTATTGACTGCATCTTCCACTTCTCTCATCTCCTCTTCGGTGAAAACTTTGAGAAGCTCCGGTAGCATAGCTGCGGGATCAAGCTCCAAGCAACCTTTTGGAATATTCTTATCTTCTTCACCTGTAAGTAAATGAGAAGCCACTTGATGCGAGAACCTGAACAGTTCATTCCTTGGATATGTCCTCCAAGTTGAATGGCGACGAAATACAGTATGGAATCCTGGGAGTTTCACTAGCGGTGCAACCATCACACCTACTTTGTCATCAAAATCTTGTTGTACTTCAACCATTTCAAACTTGTTCATAACTTCCAGTGAAGTTGAAATGTCCCAAGCTGGTGACCAATTTTCATAGAGTGCCCAAACATTTCCTTTTTTTGGATATATGTGCACCAATCCTTTTGCGCCTTTTTGCCACTCGACTCTATGTGAGAATGAGTTGAGAGCGGTGTAGTTGCCGCGTCTTCCAATTGAGAAATTTCCACTCGTCTTGTAATAATATGAATCAATCCATTTCATTGGACCCAATTCGTCATTTTTCTTGCTGTTAATCCAAGAAATACACAGTTTGAACGGCTCTCGAGACACAACCTTATGGACCAGTGCATAAAACCGAGGCATTCCATAATCATCATAAACAGACCACATCTGGTTATCTCCAAATGAATTTTTCATTCGATCTTTGTCAAAGTGATAGAAATCTGGATCTGGGACACTCATATCTACCACATAAGGGTCCTCTTTGTCAGCAATCTTTACTCTTTTGGCTTTATCGCAATTCTTGGAGTCTTGATATGTTTTTGTTTTGGCAGCTGCACCAATATTTTGTATTGAGAAGTGGGAAGATATTTTTTAAAACTCATATACATATCATCAAAAGTACTTTGAACCAAACCTCGAGTAAGTGCGAGATCACGTCTGATCCCTGCTTTTTCGCTGATTCTTCTTAACTGCCGAAGATGAGGCATATCTGTTGACAAAGGTTCCTTTCGTTTGTTTTCTGGTCTATTCATTCCCATTAACTGGGTTACATGACCAGCAGCTCTTGATGGAGGTTCAACTTTTCTAAACCGAACTCTCGATGAAGGTTGAGCTTCTTTCCTCTCATAAATCTGCTTTAGCTTTTCTCTCAACAAGTTTCTACATGCGGCAGCCATTAGTTTATATGCTTCCTCAACGTAACGAATAGAGTCATCACGATCTCTGATAATGGCCATAACTGTTTTGGTGTAATGTTTATAGATTTTTCCTAGATCCTCGGTTGGGTCAGCCGATAAAATACCGTACCAATCCACTGCACCATTGATTTTCTTCTCAAAAGCCATATGCACATTAAGAACTGCATTGAGACGGCATACACCAAAAAGTTTAGGATCAAGGTTTTTTGCCTTGACTGCAAATTCTTTTGCACCAACAAGATCACCCGCATTATACTTCTCCACAGCGATCATTTTCGCTCTTCTTGCTTCTTCTTGGATGTTTTCCTTCCTTGATTCGTCCATTTGTATCGCCTCTTCGTAAAACTAGATCCTACAAATCATAGACATTCTAAGTTCTAATTCTTAAACAATGAAATAACGAATACATATATGCTTGAAGAATTTGAATTCTTAGATATGGAATACATCACACTTGTACATAAATAATTACTTTTAAACAATTATGAAAAAAACGAAATCATGAATAGATGGTTTGCGCTCGAAACATTATCATAAAATTTAAAATTCAAACTGCATTAAACAGTTATGAAAAACTACACATAATTAATAAACAGTTTGCCCTCGAAAATTTGTCACAAAATTAAAAATCTAAACTGAATTTGTGAACGAAAGTTTGTTCCATAACAAACATAATTAAGAATATAGTTTGAGGGTGAAATTCATTAAAAACAAAATTGTTATAAAAAAATCTAACAAACATCTGTAAACCTAAATATTTCTAAAGAGCATTACCATGATACTGACCATGATTGATCTCATTCTTTCTGTTACAAGCATATATCGTAGAGATAGGCAAAATAACATTTTATAAAATCTTGTATCCTAAACAAAATCTTGACAAAACTGATTTCAATAAATAACATGAAACCTATGTATATCAAAGGAGGTTTTCTAAACCACTGAAAAAGTAGGAAAAGAAATATATAGATTTTTAAAAGAGCAAGAGACTAAAGGTGACATGCAAGGTCTTGAAGAGTTTACCTCTATGTTGAGACTTGAGAGTGAGGAAGAACAACTGCTGACTTTTGAGTGATTTTCTTTTTATCTTTTTTTCTGCCTCTTCTTCTTCTTTGACGTTCAAGTAATAACACCTTAAAAATCAAATTTTATAGGATAATGAATTTGTGGTAGGGGGTTAATGCATGGATGTTGACCTTTATGATAAAAAATTAATATTTCTTTCTATATATGATATTTATAGTCATGCTTTTTCTACAGTCAAAACATTTTTTCCTGGATTTTAATTTATTTCTATAAATTTTTGTAGAAAGAAATCATATTTAGGCGTTATTTATTTCCTTAAAAAATATATAATATACTTTGAATAAAGACTCCTTAAATCTCTAAGGGCTGAAGAGGCTGCAAGACTAAACACAACATTAAGTAGCAACAAAATACATCACATTTACTAAAAACAAAAAAAACATAACTCGAAAAAAGTATTCAAATTCTCAAAACAGTGGTTGCAAACCCTAAACCCAAATCCAAATAGTTATTTTGCTCTTCTAGCTAGCTTCTTTTCTAAAGCCTTCTCCTATTAATAGTCTATTTGCATCATTTCTGAGTCAAAACAGTGTCACAAGGTCTTCCAATTAATATAAAGAGATTGATCTATAAAACAAGCAAAAATTGCAACTATGTAATTCCATTTCATGAACAAAGCTGAAACAATAAGCTGAAACTATTTGAACCCAAAATTTGTTAAAGATCTGTTATGAAATTTCAGATCCAACGATAGTGTTATTCTAATTAATATATTTCCCTCAAGATCTGTTCAAATTTATATGTTAAAATCATAAGAGGAATAACTACACCTCAATAAAGACTCCATGTCAAATCTTAAAAAATCTGTAACAAGTTTGTGCGTTACAATAATTGGAGAATTTACGAGCGAAAGTTTGTTACATAGTAAAATTGGAATAGAGTTTGTGTGCGAAAATCAGTTAAAAATAAGAAGCTGGGAAACTTATGAAAACATATTTGGGTTTAAAATACATATTTTCTTGCAAAAATCTTAATATCTTGATAACTCTAAAATTGAATATAGTCAAATGAGTTCCAATAATAAACTTATGAAGATATATAAATATTGCCTAAACAAGAAAAAGTGATAACGAACGAAGTACATAAACTTAGTCAGGATTAACACAAACTAAATCAAACCAACGTCCATTTGTCAAAACGAATGAGATGGGAATAGAAAAATCAAATCAAAACCAAAGTAACAATTCTATATACTTGTTAAGAAGAACAAGACCTTTTGGTTTGATCACCAAAACCAAACTGAAGATCAATTCAAACACCAGATCACCATCAATGACAAGAGATATATATTCATATTACAGTTTATAAAGACAAGAGAAAGACAAACTACAATAGATAAGCAAATGAGAACAAAAGAACGTTACGTAGGTGATGAAGGTAAAACATATATACCTCTATGTTGAGAAGAATCAAGCTTTAGACTTGTAGGTGATTTTGTTTTTCCTCCTTCGTTAGGTTTACTAGATGAAGAAGAACCTCAATTTATAGATTTTATAAAGCTTCAAAACATCATATAGCTTTTTTTTTCTTTATGGTAAAATGTATCATGATTATCTACTATTTAATTTGATTTTATTTCCTCTAAATGTATCTAGTCAAAGTTTATGGGGATCAATTTTAAATTATTTCCATTCTCAAAATCTAGAATTAGTGTTTCTCTATATTAAAATATGTGTTTATTTCTCTTTTTGCTTGATACAATTTAGTTTTAACAAAGCATATATATATATATGTGTGTGTGTGTATATATTTTTATCTCCAAGAAAGATTTATTCTTTCTCCTAAAATTTAAAAGACAGTTTCTTCTATTTTTTAATTGGCGAAAGTTAATTTTAAAATCTGATTCCTAATTGATCGATAGGATATGTTCTAAGAACAAAGTATGTTTCAAACTTGTTATCCACCAAGATTTTCAAGGGGTAAAACAATGTAATGTAGCCACTTAAGAGGTCTAAAAACAATTATCATACAGACAAAACAGTAAAAACGCATAAATCTCTTAAGCTAATTATTTTATAATATGCCATATATATGAACTATAATTAGTGATTTTTGATTGTGGAGCTAGAAAATGTATAAATATTTCCCATAATTTGCTTACACTATCTTTTAAGTCTTTGAGACTCGGTGAAGCCTCAAGTAAATAACAAACTGGCTGTCCCTTCGGGGACATCCGATAAAAAATAACAAACTGGCATAGTAGTCACAGATATTACTAGCAATCACACGTGAGAACACAAACGAGGCAAAGCTGTAATCCGGAAATTATAGAGAGAACTGAAGCTCTTCAGGCCAAAAATGTCGGAGACTGAAGCAGGAGCGATCGCAACGAGCGCCATAACCCATTTCTATTACAATTGTCACTACGTAGATCTTCCCGGGCAAGTCTATTTGCATAGTAGATGAGCCCTAAATACATTTCCAATGTTCTTGGAAGTGAGAGTTTTCTTGTCAAGAGGATTCGAGGAAGAAAGTAATGAAACGTCAGTAAGAAACAGAGTTTTGTCTTGACATATATGTTTGGTGTGAAAGTGAAATGGTTTTAGGGTTTTGTACCGTATAATTAGCTCTGAGACAAATATTTTGGTGTAATATCAATCAACAAGAGTCTGAAGTATTTTATATCTCTTTTTAACTATTAAATGTACATGTCTACTTTGATGTCAAGTGTGAGAGATTGTTGTCACACTGATTGAAAGTATTTGTATCAGTCAATCACGAGATGTTTTAGTACTGTTTAGCAAAAAAAAAGAGATATTTAGGACTAAACTATTTATATATTAGATATGTTTTAGGACTAAACTATTTATATATTAGATATGTTTTAGTACTAAACTATTTATATATTAGATATGTTTTAGTACTAAACTATTTATATATTAGATATGTTTTAGTACTAAACTATTTATTCACAAACGCAAGAACCATGGTAAGTTACGGTTGCATGAAAAAACAACGTACATATATGTTATATGAAAGAATGCCAAAATAAAACAAAAGATCAAAGTCTCATTAATTCCAATTATTTAATAAATAAAAAACCCTGCTTAAAGACATGTACACAACCATATGCTAGGAGCACCAAACACCATTCAAAAACAAAATAAAAAAAAGCAAAGATAAGTTCACTGAATCAGTACAAAACTGATACTGACTTAACAGAATTTTCTTGAATCAAATTTAAAGTAAAAAAAAAAAAGCAGGGTTTCAAACTTGAGTGACGACGACCTTGACCTAACCACTAAGTCCCTCGAGAAGATCCCATGGCAAAGCACCAGGATCAAGCTCCAAGCAATCTTTAGGAAGATTCTCATCTTCTTCATCTGTAAGATCATGATAGAGCAGCTGATGTGAGAACCTAAGCAGCTCTTTAGTCGAGATTGCCCACGGATTTGTATCGCGACGAAAGACAGTTTTGTATCCACGGACTTTAATCAGCGGCAAAACCCTCGAACCTATTTCTTCGTCAAAGTCTTCAACCACTTCAACAATCTCATACATACTCATATCATCATCGTCGTCCCAATTTGGTGACCAGTTTGCATACGTAGCCCAAACCTCACCTTTCTTCGGATAGATGTGAACAAACCCTGCCTCATCTTTTGTAAACTTCATTTTATGAGAGAACGCTTTAGAATACTCAGTGTTGAAACGTCCTTCCCCGATAGAGAAGCGTCCAGCTGTCATACAAAACCCTGCATTCAATCACTTCACTGTAACTGGTTCATCACCGTTCATAGCATCCAGCCAAGAAACACACAGCGTCATCGGTTCTCGAGAGACAATACTATGTATCATTGCGTAATACCGGGGCATCCCGTCGTCATCATAAGCAGCCCACACCTGATTCTCGCCAACTCTTTCCTTGTCGAACTTAAGGAAATCAGAAGCTGGAACTATCTCACAATGAATAGGGTTAGTTTCTTCAGCTGATGCCCACCTGTCAAGGCTCACTTTGATTGTACTCTTAGGCTTTTCAACCAGAGGTGGAGACATCACGAGTTCATCACGTCTCCCACCATTTTGTAGGGATATGTTGATCTTGCGGCTCCTGTCGTAAGCTTTCTTCCTTCTTTCACTAAACATGCAGTTCCATGCTTCAGCCAATATCTTGTTTGCTTCATCATATCCCACAGTGTCGTCAACGTCGTAGATGATGTCAAAAACGAGTTTCTTGTAACCGTTTAGGATAGTTTCATGATCCGCAGTTGGGTCAACCGCTAAAACAGCATACCAGTCAGTTAATTCACCGTTGATTTTCTTCGCGAAAGCGATCTGCACATCAAGAACTGCACTGAGACGGAGAAGACCACCAAGTTTAGGATCAAGATCTTTTGCTTTGGCAGCAAATTCCTTCGCTCCAACAAGATCACCCGCTTTGTGCTTCTCTACAGCCGTTTCTTTTGCTTTTCTTGCTTCTTCTTCAAAGCTTTCTTCTACTGTTCTTTCAATCGGCATCATTTCTGGGTCAAGATAGTGTCACAAGATCCTGCAAAACCGATAGATTGCAACAATGTAAGTTCCATCTCTTGAACAATGTTGAAACAGTAAGAGGGAAAAGTTTTGCATATAAAAATTCCAAATCAATAAAATCAAGTTTTGTAAATTAAGTTGCACTCCCAAGATCAATCATAAAATTACAAGCCAACAATATCGTTCGTCTAATTAATAGATGTCTAGATCATAAGAGGAATAATTACACCTCAGTAAAGATCCCATGTCAAATCTAAAAACATATGCAACAAGTTTGCCAGCCAAATATCGTTACAAAATCAGAGAATTAAAAAATAAGACGAAGCTAGGACACTTATGAAAACATATTTGGGTTTGAAATACATATTGTTCTAGATCTTAAGATCTTGATCATGTCTCTAAAATTGAATCTATAGTAAATGAGTTCCAACTATAAACATCTACGAACACAAAATTTTTATGAAGATATATAAATATGCCTAAACAAGAATAAGTGATAACGATCGAATCATAAACATAGTGAGGAAAAACACAAACTAAATCACACCAATCCATTTATCAAAACGAATTATGAGATGGGAATAGAACAAAAAAAAATCAAAACCAAAGTAATAATCATATACCTGTTAAGAAGAACGATACCTTAGCTTGGTTTGATCTCCACAATCAAACTGAAGAATCCAAACACCAAAACCACCTATGAAGAGAGATGTATCAACTCAGATTATATATATAAAGACAAGAGAAAGACAAAACATATATATAGCGTAGATAAGCAAATGAGAACAAAAGAACGTAACGTAGATGATGAAGGTAAACAAACCTTTATGTTGAGAAGAATCAAGAGAAGAACACTTTTAGACTTGTTAATGATTTTGTTTTTTTCTCTCCTTTGTTAGATTTAGTAGATGAAAGAACCTCAGTTGATGGATTTTATAAAGCTTCAAAAAATATACGATTATTTTTTCTCATATTCATTAATGCATCCGGTCAAAATTTCTAGTCCTCAATTTTTAATTAATTCCTTACTCAAAATCTTGAATTGGGATTTTTTTCCAAATAAATCATTTAAAGTAAGTAATATATTTCTCTCTCTTCATTAAAAAAAAGAAATAAAATAAACTTTTGAACAGAGTCATATTTATATCTCTTTAAAGAAAAGAAAAAGATATTTTTATGTATATATCTCTATTTAAGGTCAAAGTACCTTTTTTGAATAGAGAAAAAAAATATTTCTCCTAAAATGTAAAAGATTATTGTCTATCTATAAAAATGATTAAGTGGCAAAATTTGGTTATAAAATCTGAATCCTAATTGGTCGTTAATTTTTCTAGAACCAATCATGTTTCACACTTGTTTACCCACAAAGATTTTCAAAGGGTAAAACTATGTAATGTGGTCTTAAAACAGATTATTCAGACAAAACAGTCTATGCGCATTAAACTCATGATGAAGCCTGTTTCTTTTAAGTTAATTAATATTTCACACATTATTCAGTGATATATGCTGTATTAGTTTAAAAAAATAAAATGATGATCAAATAAGATAGATATACAATGTTAGATTGTTAGTTGTATTAGGTGTATCTTGTTCTGATAGACTCTAGATCAATACGATAGAGAGTACTGTCTTGTTCTTATAGATTCTAGATTAATACGATAGAGAGTGTCTTACTTTCTAGCGTAGTAGTATATATGACATATAGGGAGATATATATAACATAAGATCAAAGTCTCATACAATAAGAAAACCATGCTTCAAGATACACATGCATATGCTAGGATAGGAGCATCATCAAACAACATTCAAAAACAAAATAAAACATAAAAAAAAAATTCAACAATTTCAATATTGACTCAACTTTTAACGAAGTTTCTTGAATCAAATCTTAAAACCAAAAGGCAAATGAAAATGAAATAAAAATAAAAACAGGATTTCAAACTCTGGTGACAACCTTCACAGCCTTGACTTAATCCTCCTATTCACTCATCTCGTCATCAGTGAGAAGCTCGTCCAAAGTGAGAAGCCCGAGAAGCTTCCCTGACAAAGCTGCTGGATCAAGCTCCAAGCAATCTTCAGGAACATTCTCACCTTCCTGACCTGTGAGCCTATGATAAACCACCTGATGTGAGAACATGAGCAGTTCTTTGATTGAAAATGCAAATGGATTTGAGTCGCGGCGAAAAACAGCTTTGAATCCAGGGACTTTCATTAACGGCAAAACCATCAAACCTATTTCTTCATCAAAGTCTTCAACCACTTCAACAATTTCAAACTCACTACATTCTTCTTCATCGTACCCATTTTCTGCCCAAGATGTTGACCAATTCTTATAAATAGCCCAAACATCACCTTTTGCTGGATAGATGTGAATAAACCCTTCAGCATCTTTTGTCCACTTCAGTCTATGTGAGAATACCTTGGGATCCACGGTGTTGATGTGCTCCCTGATTGCGAAGCGTCCACTTGTCTTTGAAAACCCTGAACCAACCCACTTCTTTGTAGCCGGCTCATCATCATTTGTGATATCCAACCAAGAAATACGCAGCTTGAACGGTTCTTGAGAGACAACACTATGGACCAGTGCATAAAACCGGGGCATGTCATCATAGCCATAAGCAGCCCATACTTCATTTTCTCCAAATGAAGCTTCAGCTCGGTCCTTGTCAAAGTTATAGAAATCATTTTCTTGAACCATATTATACTCAAGAGGGTTTATATCTTCAGCATCATCAGCAACACCAACATTATAGTGTTGAGAAGCAGAAATACTCCTCTCAAGACTCAGTTTGATTGTATTCCTAGCCTTTTCAGCCAAAGCTCTTTTAATCATAGTTGGAGAAATCTCGCGTCTATCACATCTCCCTCCATTCTTGCGGGTATCTTGGACGAATATATTCATTTGGCGGCTAGAGTCATAAGAACTCTTCACATTTTCAATAAACTTCCATGCATCAGCCAATATCTCCTGTGCTTCAACAATGCTACCCACAGACTCATCACGGTCAAAAAGTATATCAAGAGCTAGTTTCTTGAAACCGCTTTTGATAGTTTCAAGATCCGCAGTTGGGTCAACCGCTAAAACAGCATACCAATCAGTTAATTCACCGTTGATTTTCTTCGCGAAAGCGGTTCGCACATCAAGAACTGCATTGAGACGGAGAAGGCCACAAAGTTGAGGATCAAGATCTTTGGCCTTGACAGCATATTCTTTGGCTCCGGAAAGATCTCCCGCTTTGTACTTCTCTACGGCAATTTCTTTTGCTCTTCTAGCTTCTTCTCTATTGCTTTCTGCTATTGATCCATCCATTTGCATCATTTCTTGATCAAAATAGTTTCACAAGATCCTGCAAAGCAGAGAAATTGGTCAATGAAACAAGCAAAAGTTGCAATAATGTAAGGTCAAATTCTTGAATAATACCGAACCATCTTTACCATATAACAGTTAAAACTAAATCAATGTAAAAAATAAGTTGTGTAAATGCATAGATATTTTTTGCGCGCCAAAATTTGTTAAAGATCTATCATGAAATTTAAGATCAAACGATATTGTTCTTCGAATTAATATACCTCTAAGATCTGTTTCAAATTTAGATGTTAAAATCATAAGAGGAATAACTACACCTCAACAAAGACATGTCAAATCTTAGAAAATCTGCAACAAGTTTCGCGCCAAAGTTCGCCGCCGCAAGATTATATAACACGCTAAAGTTCGGTACATAGTAAATTCGAAACAGAGTTTTCGCGCGAAAAATCTGTTAAAAACATATTCGGAATTCAAACATTTTTTTTGCTAAATCCTAATATTCTGATGTATCTAAAATTGAATCAAGGTAATCGAGATCTAACAATAACTCTATGCAAACACTAAAAAGTTTATGAACATATGTAAAATGCCAAAACAAAGTTAGGTGATAACGACATAAATACAAAATCACACCAACCCATTTATCAAGAAAAATCAAAACCAAAGTAACAAAATTCTATGTACTTGTTAAGAAGAACGAGACCTTTGGTTTGATCACCAAAATCAAACTGAAGAATCCAAAGACCAGAACCACCAATGAAAAGATATATATTCATATTACAGTAACAGTATATAAAGACAAGAGAAAGAAAAAAAAAACATATACAGTAGATAAGCAAATGAGAACAAAAGAACGTTACGTAGATGATGAAGAAGAATCAAGCTTTAGACTTGTAGGTGATTTTGTTTTTTTCTCCTTTGTTAGATTTACTAGATGAAGAACCTCAATTTATAAATTTAATAAAGCTTCAAATCATCATATACTTTTTTCTTTATGGTAAAATGTATCATGATTATATTACTGCTAATTATTTTTATTTTCTTTCCTTCCTATATTCGCAAAATGTATCTACCTAGTCAAAGCTTTTGGAGGTCAATTTTAAATTATTTCCATTCTTAAAATCTAGAGACTATAATTAGTGTTTCTCTGAATTTAATTATTTTCTTCTCTTTTTCTATCTATCAAAACAAAATTTGGCAAAAATTAAATTTAAATCTGGTTTGTAAGTATATTGTTCAGAGTCATATTTACTTATTTTTAAAAGTTTCTCAAAGTCATATTTATATATCTTTTAAGAAGAAAAACAAAAGATTTTTGATTTATCTATTTCTATTTAAGGCAAAGTCAAAGTAAGGAGTGTGGATCTTTTTCAAATAGAGAAAACAATATCATATATTTCTCCTAAAATGTAAAAGATTGTTTTCTATCTATACAAATTATCAAGTGGCAAAAATTGGTTTACATTTCGGCTCCTAATTGGTCGTTAGGATAAGTAATTGTTCTAAGAACCAGTTATGTTTCAAACTCAAAACACGTTAACCTCTTTTGGCTAATTATCTTAAAATATTGCATTTTGATTTAAATATGAACTCTAATTAGTGATTTTTGAGTCTGGAACTCGAAAGTCGAAATTGCATACATATTTCTCATAGTTTGCATATAATATATCTATACCAAATTAAAGACTAAAGTAAATGACAATATTGCTTACAGACTACACTATTTTAAGTCTTTGAGACTCGGTGGTGAAGCCTCAAGTAAAACTTCCTCGTCCTATAAACCACACTCAAACTAAACACCATAGCCATTAGACACAACATGGACATGAGACCGCACATGACTGAATAACAAACTGAGCCCGTGCAGACTAGCGACTCAGTCTTTGCGGTGGTTCCGGCTTGCTTTCTGGCATAGTAGTCATAGATATTACTAGCAATCACACCTGAGAACACAAACGACCCAATAGGCAAAGCTGTAATCTGGAAATTATAGAGAGAACCGAAGCTCTTCAGGCCAAAAATGTCGGAGACTGAAGCAGGAGCGATCGCCCAATGAGCACCATAACCCATTCCTATTACAATGGTCACTACGTAGATCTTCCCGGGCCAATCTACTGCATAGTAGATGAGCCCTATAGACATTATCGCCTGAACCGCAGACATTGCCAATGTTCTTGGAAGTGAGAGTTTTCTAGTCAAGAGGAAGAAAGTGATGAAACGTCAGTAAGTAACACAGTTGTGTCTTAACATATATGTTTGATGTGGAAGTGTTGGTTTTAACGTTTTGTACCTTATGACTAGCTCTGAGAAGTAGCCACCAGCAACACGGCCGAGAAAATTGGAAATGCTGATCAGTGAGACAAATATTTTGGTGTTGTTGTACCCAAGGGAATAACAAATCTGACCAAGATTGTCTATAACTGTTATTCCCGAACCTACACCTAGAACCAGAGACATAAAAATAAGCCAGAAGTCAGCTTGTCCCAAAGCTTGTAACAAGGTGAAATCTTCTCCTATACACGGTGCTCTTATCTTTTCCGACAGTATGTCACTTCTCTCAATTAAGGTTTTAGCCTCATACTGATCCACATTGGAAGTTCCTTCTTCGGGCTTCATTAAGGTGACATTATTACCCGAGATGAAAACTGAAGAAAAAGGAACAAGAACTGGAACAACCATGAAAATGACAAGGATGGCTCCAGAGGTTGTGATAATTGTTTGAGATATATCAACAAGACTCTGAAGTACCAATAATCCTAGTAAATATACTGCAAGGACAACACAAAAACCGTAAATAGCCAGGAATCGTAAATCATCAGATCGCATGTTTGTTCTGCAACTTCTTTCAACGGGTCTAACAATGAACAGTAGAGCAAGAACCACGACTGGTGGTCCAAGAGCAACCATGAGAATAACCGAAGAATCATGAGAAGGGTTGAACATCAAATAAACCTGAGTCAAGATTGCTCCGCTCAAACCAGAAAACCCTTTCAAGATTCCCACAACAGGACCACGGCTTTCTGGGAAGTTATGAATGCATGACACAAGCGATGCTGTATTGTAGTAGGTTTCTCCATTTGTTCCCACGAAAATAGCAACAAACAACTGCATAAATTAAAAATGTTTTACTTTCTATATAGAGTTCAAGAAACCAGAATCAGGAAAATTAAATCAAGTGCTTGCTATAGCAAGCAAGTTCCCAGTTGAAAAATTACTTACTAATGCAAATGTTTACTGGATTGTTAAAGCGTAACACTTGTGACATAACTACTTAACCTATAAAAGCTTTTAATCTCCTCATGCTACTAATAGTATGTATATATGCTCTACTTAGCATATCAAATCACATACAGTACATAGTACAAAGGATACCAAAGCCTGAGTCTATCATTAGTAAAAAGCTTCATATATATGATTTTATCTTTAAGCAAAAACAGAGAACTCATACCAAATTTCAAAATCAAGGGAAAATTATGACTAAACCATTCAATCGAATGTGTTTATGCAAGAACTGATTCATCTCTCACCATCCAGAGAGGCAAATTAGGCAATTGACCAGTGACGACGAGCCAAACAACACCGTAGCCGAGAAGGTTCTGGGTTGCACCGACGATTAGAACCACCCAGGTAGGTGAGACCTCAGATAAAGCACCGGAGACGAATCCGATAGCGTCACCGAGGTTCTTAGCAACGCCGAGGAGAGCGATCTGTTTCTGATTATAACCAAGAGATGTCTTGATTGCCGGAGACATAGAGCCGCCGAATAAATAACCGACGCCGGCGACGGATTGGATCCACATGGCACAGACGAAGACTAGCCATCGGTCGTTGGCTAGGTGCTCTAGTTTGTGACGCCACCAAGGCATTGTCAGTCAATGGCTCTCAAAACCTTTTCTTTTTTAAAAAAACTTAAAAAGTAATGAAATAAAAGTATAAAACAAAGATCTTGTCCGACAAATAGTATATAATTGATTTTGTCCAAAACTAAAATTAAATATTTTGAAATTATTTTAGGAGAAAAAATAAATGTTTAAAAATCAGAGGTATGCTGAAACAAATGTATAACATATGGTGTTTTTACCAAAATTTAACAAAAACTTTTGCAAGAAAAAATGCTAATAGTTAGAACAATTGCTAAATTGTGATATGAAATGCTAAGGAAAATTCAATTGCTCATAAGTAAGAGACATCGGTGTTGTTCTCTCGTGACCAATTGCTCTTACATATCAAACTTGTGAAGACAAAATTAAACTTTTTAAATGTCCAAACATCACCCAAATCAAATACAAAAATAAAGTGTTCACTTATGTATATACAAATCATGTGTATGGTCGAATAACGAATAAACAAATAAACAAACAAACACGAATTAATGAAGAGGGTTTACAAAAATTGGTTTTGCAAAAGTATTCACTTTTGTACTTCCCTCAAAATGAATATGTTAGTGTGAGTGGCGTTTAAAGTACACCAAAACTCCAAGTCCAGCAGCAAGAGCAGCCCCGGCTGCAACCGTTTTGTAAGCGGCTGCCCATGAGCTTGACTGGTCGTAGTCCATATCCTCTAAGCTTCGACCCCTCCTGTGCCTTTTCTCTTCTGTGTAGTCCAAATGCAATTTTAAACCCTGCACCGTTCGGTATCCCCAACCCAAATACACATTAATCAAACCGAAACATAAACATGTTCTTGAACAAAATTATACCTTGGCAGGACGGTTCGAAATAAGGATAAAACCCAAAGCAAAGACTGTCTTTGGAAATAAGGATATGTTTTATTGAAAAACCAAACTGATCCATGCTAGAACCATTTACTTCATATGCTAATGCTCTGAAACCAAAATCAAAACTCGGATTCTAGCTCTTTGGATGTACAATTTATTACCTTCCAGCCTATTGATTTTGCATGTTCTACAGCAGCTCCGAGATCATTATCTGATGCTAGAACGACTTTGTCATTGTCTTCATCTTCGTACTACACAGCACAAAACATGTCAACCAAATAAGTAGAAATTTTTTCCTCTTCCCGCTTAATTTTTTTTTGAATATGTACCATTATCTGAGGCAAGTTATGAGGCTCAATGTCATCCCCCATCCTTTGTAGTATTGCTGTTATCAGAGTTGTCAAGCTCTGTGTTTCTGTAATTGGAAAGTAAAGAAAAAGTTAATTGCCTCTGCAGCATTGGCATAAAAGGTGTACTATTATTCTTGAGTTATGAGTATTCCTACCACACATAAATCTATGCATTCGTCCCTTTCTATCTTGGAGTTTGAAAGCAAATGTGTTAGGATATGAGAATGATTTTGTTCCTTCTATCTCCGAAGATAATTTCAGCGATCCTTCTTCACTGGAAAATCATATGATTCAGTTTAAGAAACCAGCCTATCGTCAAAAACTAAATGGTTCAAAGGAAATATAGTAGAAACCTCCTCGTTTCATCTCCATCTTCGTTAGGAGACAAAGCCATAGCAGAATCCCAAAACTTTTGCATCATTGAGTTTGCTGTCTCATTATTTATTCCAGCCGTACTCCCAGCCTTGTCAAAAAGGAAGTAAGAGCTTATAGCAAAACAAGAATGGCATAGAAAATATCATGCTCTTTCTTTTCTCGGATTGTTTATCGATCTTTTCTCATGTTTCCGACTTCTCAACTAGAAGAGAATAATAAAGAAAAACAAAGTTTACCGTAGTAACAGCAGCATGAGTTATGTGGATCACATCAATCACAGCGACAACATCTCCATCTGTATGAAATCACTAACATTAGAAAAGAGTTCAAACAACAATGTTTCATACTTTATTGCTCAAAGCCAGTTTTGGGAACATTTATGTACCTTTATCTAATACAGGAAGATGCAGAAATTTTCCATTATGCATGATATGTAAGGCTTCAACAATTGCCATATCAACTGTTGCAGATTCGGGGTTCTGTGTCATAACCTACAGAATCATTGTATAGTAACAACAAAGTCAGGAAATGAGTAATATTGATTTCAATCTAAGCAAGAGTTGAAGTTAATGAATCCTACCAGATTAGAATCAAACCCCAATCTAAAGAGCATAAGCATATATACATACGAAAACCTGACTTGAAGAAAAACATTACCTTCTCCACAGTAGTTGTCTCTTGAGGAAGGTTTTGGGCTATCACCTTCATCAAGATGTCCTTTGAGCTATAAAAAAAAAATCACAACTGGAGATCAAAGCTCCACTAGAAATTTTTTTAAGATAATGTGGTAGAGGCAAACTTTTAAAACCAAAGTAGCAGAACAGGCTTATTCTACAGACATATACGGAACCAAAAAAAAAAAAAGACAGGAGGCCACATATGGCACTTACGTAAGAATCCCTACTAATTTTTTCTCAACCATAACCATGGCTGCGCTAGACTGATACTCAACCATCTTCATGGTTACTCCTAACACCGTCTCATCCAATCCAACCTTTAAAACCCTGTAATTGTTCATTCCAAGTTTACTCGTTTAGCTTGGCATTGCTCTTGATAAAACAAGTATAAGAATAATAAGATCCAAGTGATTTGAAATATGATAATAGATTTTAAAGGGGATATTACCTACTTTGTATTCTCTGGAATTATAGTTGAAAGTGAAGGCTTGAATATTCGTTCTCTAAGTGTCTCCATAAGAGTGTTTGGTCCTATATCCAACAAAAATGCCATCAGAGACATACTTTTATAGTTTTATGTTTGAACACAATCTAGGCATTCAAGAAGACAATTGAAAGCTGTTCTGGAGTTGTGAAGGAATCATATGGAGATGCTTAATTCGATGTTTTTTTTAACATACCAGCTATAGATGTTCCCCAGTTCTTTTCAACGCCTTCAACAGCTGCAGCAATGGCCTTACCCTTCTCAACTGATCTTTCCATGCGAGCAATTGCATCATACAAACACTTTGCAATATCAAGAAGTGCAATAACTTCTCCATTCTCTACAACCGGCAAATGTCTAAATTTGCCTGCAGATCCACTAAGTCAGTTCAAAACCATGAACAATAACATAAAACAAAGAATTTCAAAAAGAAGAAGAAATCAAGAAATGTGTTCTCTCAGCATCACAAACCTTGCACCATCTTTTGAAGTGCTTCGACAGCAATAGTGTCAGACAAAACAAAAACAGGGTTCTTAGTCATAACTTTAGATGCAGGTGTGTCTTCAAGACTGAGTTGTTTAGCAATTACTTTTGTTGCAATGTCCTTCAAAACCAAAATAGAGAAAAAACAGATCAATTCAAACCCAATTACAAACAAGTGAAAAAAACCAGAATAAGTTTTTTGCAGTGTGAAAATTTTACCCTATCTGTAAGGATCCCACAGAGTAATGCATTAGAATCAGTCAGCAATAGTGCATCGACGCGACGTGCAGCCATCCTTCGACAAGCTTCGAATAAAGTTGTGCTATCGGGTACGGTAAGTGCCTTAGACAACCTTAGTCTCTTTACAGTTCTCTCTCCACTCCTTTCCCCACTCAAGCTTCTAAAAAACAACAAAATGCAAAACATATACACTTTTAATGAAGAACAAACAACACTCAATGCAGCAGATTCCACAGACGCACACCTAATGAATCCAACATTTATAAAACCGTATCATATAAAGAGGTTTTGGGGGTAATCGATTTACATGGAAGAACGAGAAGATGTGAGAGATCTCCGAGGGAAGAGGTCAGAACCACCACCACCATCGTTTTCAGAAACTTTCTTCCTGCCTTGAAATGAATTACCAGAGAAAGAGAGACTTTTTCTCGACGGACCACCACCTTGGTTTGCCATTTTTACTCCTCCGATCAAATTCTGAAAAACTTAAAAAACAATCATCAGATTTTTCGCAATTTCGAGTTTGGCAAAGATTCACAATTGGAACTTACCAAATAATATTTCTTTTAGGAAAACAATTTGTGTTATTTTACAGAGAAGAAGAAATTCAAAAAAAAATGGCAATTTCGAATCTTCACTTCCAAATACAATGATCGAATCGCCTTAAGAAATGGTATTTGTGGGATAAAGACACGATCGATGAATGATAATGTATTTCTAAGGAATTGGATTTTTTTTATTTTTTTTTTCTGGGAATCAATCAAAGAAAATTTTTGAGGAGAAAGGACAAAAGAAGAAAAAAATATAATCCATGGGTGGAGTGGAACTTTTCTTCATTTTGCCAATCTGTTAACAAGCAAAATTACATTTTTACCCTTAGGAGTATTATCACGCGGGAACGAAGACGACGATGCCTGTCAATTGTTTTCTCTTTCATCTCAAAACTCGTAGTCGTAGGAGAGGTGTGGAATAAATAAATATATGATCGATCAGATTTTATATTAACGAGTCAGTTTTTTTTATAGAGATTTTGTTTGTTAATTTTTATTAATGAAAATTATAAGAAGACATATTTTTAGAAGAAGAAAAAAACAAGTTATAGTTTCTGATTATAGTGGTGAAACAAAAGGATAATAATCTGAATGACCAATGTAGTATCTCGCTATTATGCTAATTTTGGGATCGCATTTGCTCTAAACCAGTAGATCTCCTCATCCTATCTAAGATTCAAATCCACTCAGTGTAGAGTTCGTTAATCATGGTCATTGATCATCCATGGTGGCCATATAGATCATACATACGCAAAGAAAGCCCAACGTTACATGGAAATGGCTTCAAGCTTTTTTAAGACTTTGTAGTGTTTCTAAGTTTGTGTGTTTGAGCAGGCCGAAGGGAATGTAATTTATCTGGCTAGCCACATCTTTCTGTTCGTGGTATCTCATTGTCTTAAAATCATTATAATCTATGGGCCGGTATGATGAAAATGTGCTTATATCATATTCGTTAATACATTAATTAAATTCTCGTTCCTATCTACTAGCTAGCATTACCCCTTGTCGTTGACCCAAATGAAGTTTCGAACTTATTTTAGTCAACGAGACCCAAATGATTAAGTGATTAACAATATTAGAAAATGAGAGAGACCACTCAACCATCGGTCTAACGAATCTCTCGGTACATTAACCAAAGTCATTAACCCACAGCTTGACCACGACTCGTCCGACGTGTAACACCACGTCACAAGTATTATTTATGCCATTTCACCAACCATGCATAACCTCAAGGGTTTTCAATATCCACCACTAACGCAAGTAATATAACTTCTCTATCTCTCCTCTCATATGCGTTTACATATATCTTCTCTTTACTCTCTCTCGTTTCAGATAATAAATAGAGAAGAAGAAATAGAAACATGTCCGAGTGGTTTGTAGCGGCGGTGGCGACGGTGTTGTTTGTGATTCTGACGCCGGGACTGTTGTTTCAGGTTCCGGGCAACAACTGCTTTGTAGACTTCGGGAAGATGGAAACGAGCGGACGCTCAATCCTTGTCCATGCCTTCATTTACTTCGGCCTCGTCATTGTCTTCACCGTCGTCATACACATTCCAGGCACTTAATACTTCTACGTAATCACAAAATATTTCTTCTTTTTTATTACTTATGTATGTTTTTCTTTTTACTTTTTCGTATATTATTATGTGCCGTACGTTATGATGATAACAAATGTTACCAAAATGAAAGAAGATAAAAAAAAACTTGATGCATTATAAGAAGAATCAAGAATAAACCTGTTTCGAAATTAATTTTAAGTAATGACAAAATGGAGATAGTTGACCGATTTATACATTTTTATTACAAAATTTGGTAGGCTAAGAGTAGATAAATATTTCACAAAATGTTATTAAAATTTTAGCCTAAAAAGACAGGCCAACTAACGTGTATAGGCCGTCTAATAATATGAATCTCTTTGGGAACATCTCAGCAGCCATTTCATTTATATCTGTCTTTTTAAGTATTTCAATATGATCAACCGGTTTGATCGATCATATGTGTCCTCTAGACCGAAATCTAGCAATCTACTACCTTAAGCTTACAATCTCATCGAGAGCTCTACAATTCCAAGTAGGACATCAAAAGATCATCATACAAACTCTTATATGCTCTTGTTCTGTATTAACTAACAAACTACTAAATACGGACAATAACTAATTGTGTACCACCAGCTTTGATTTAATCTATCTTCGGTTTAATGTTGTTTAGGTCGAACTTAACCAATGCTTAACCAAATGACTTGAGTTCATATTAAAATCTTTGCCATAATGTAACCAAAGCAAAGTTTATATAGCTTTGAATTGTTCTAAAACGCATAGTCGCATATACTAACCCAAAAGGAAAAGACTGGCTCTAAGATTCTATACTTGGAATAAGATGTGTACATAAAGAGTTATCTACTCTTAACTGTTACCTTGTTGCTAGTTGGAGACTACACGACCAATACAAACTACAAATCAACTAATCCAATGTCAATTAAACACCCACAATTCAACATTTAACAAAAAAACAATGATGACACAGAACATCGAAAAATGAAGGAGATCGAAGAGGAGAAGACACATAGAGAGATGTTTGTGAATATTCTATCTACCTACTTCTTTTCCTACTACTCCCAATGAAACGGGAACGTCTGCGGAAGAGCTACAGCCTCGTTACCGGATATAACCGATCCGTCAGAGACTGCACTCACATTCTCAAACAATCCCGACCCGTAAAAAACTGTCTCTACTGCTTCTTGAGACAAAGAAAGTGGTGGCTGAAGCAAATGAGGGACTGACGACGAGGAGGATGACAGAAGAGAGAGAGCACAATCAGAGTCGTGGATGCAACTCGTCATTCTCTCACACAACGATGCAGTTCTTGAGCTTTCTTCTTCTTGCAAGAATGGGAATTGTTTCCCTGTGCTTCTATTGCTGTTCGGAGACGAAGATATTGGGAACATTATCCCTGTCTTTGCGGGAGAAGAACCAGCATAGCTCTGGTTGTTCTGCCCGTAACTCGAACCATTCCCGGCCACAGCAACACTTACAAGACTATTTCCCCAGCTCGGTGGGTTCAACACAGATGTAGTTGGAAACACATGTGAACCGCCGCCTGAAAACTCAAGCAATTTGCTACCTGAAAAAATATAAAACAATTGCTTCTTTCTTTATCAACCAGGACAGGTCTATTGAATCCAAGAAACACAAGTTTTCTTAAACCAAAAAAACCTTGAAAGCCGGTAAAGAAGCTCGCAGGACGAGCAATATGGTCAGGCTGAGGCTTCCGTCTTCTTCGGTTATGTCCATCAAGACGTTTCCTACAACTTCTCTTCCCTTCATCAAACTCTTCCAAAGAATGAAACCTGATTATACACATATGTTAACATTGACATTACATAAAAAAAAACATGTTCATTAACACCTAAGCGAGTTTTCCTATCAAATACCTGCTGCATTGTTGACAAAACCTCTGCTTATGGCCATTGATTGTAACCACAGGAGTTTTGGAATGAACATCACAAACCTTATGTCTCTTATGATACTCTCTACAGTTACTAAAATCAGAATCACATCCATCCACAAGACAAATCGGCATCTGGTTAGCTCCAAAACCATTCCCTCTTGTCCTCTTCGAACTAGAGCTTCTCGAACTCTCAGGTTTTGCTACAACACTACTCTCTTTCCACTTACTTAGACTAATGACTTGCTCTGTATCACCAAAAACAGAGGAAGATTTTCCAATGTTTCTTCCAAGCTTCAGATCAAATGAAAAATCCCCTTTTGGCTGTGATGATGATGACGACCCACCAAACGAGATCGAACCATCGATTGGTGATAAATCCGGTACAGATTCTTGATCGAATCCAGATAAATACCCAGAGCTGTGTTTGAAGTTCCAATCCATTTTCAAGATTCTGTTTTTTTTTTTTTTTTTTGTTCTTGGTTCTTCACTCACTGTACTCACTGTAAACAAGAAAACAACACACACACCCACACAAATCTCAAGATTTCTCTTTTTCGATACTGTTACTCTAAATTCAAGAAAAAACAGTAACAACAACTGTTAAAACACAAAACCCATGAACACTTATGAAGGGAAAACAAAAACAAAAGAAACAGAAGCTGGTGCAAGAATGAAGAAACCTTACAAGAACCTTTTTTAAAATACTATTTAAGGAAATTACAGATAATAATAGCTTTAGGGGAAGAAGAACCCTAAGCAAAAAAGCAAACACAAAGGTATGTGATTTATAAAAAGAGTACACTGAAATTGCAGTTGAAAGCTCTAACTCTAACACAATTTTCTTTTTTATATATAAAAAAAAAATCCCAAAAAGGGCAAACTTATAGTACTGAAGAAAACGAAATGGGAAGTGCAGAGATATAGAACTAGAACAGATCCCACGAAATGGGAACAAACCAAAAACTATAAAAAGAGAAAAAAAAAATATACAGTTTTATCATAAAGAGCATTTCTTCTTCTTCTTCATTTTTTTTTTCTGTCAACTCAATTCCAAACAAGAATTTATATAAAATAAATGCAATCAAAAAAAGGATGAAAGATTAAAGAAAGATGGAAACATGTTTATAGAAAAAGTTGAGGAAGCTTACCAAATCCATACACCTACCCAGTGAGTAGTCAGTAGAAGAAACTCTCCAAAAGAGAAAGATGAAAAAAAAATGTTTTAAAAAATTGGACAAAGTGAAAAAGAAAAACAAAAAAGAAAGAGAAGAGAAAAGTGGAGACAACAAGTGTGGCTGCTGCATCAATAATGCAATAAGAGAGACAGACAGAGAAAGAGAAAGAGAGAGAGAGATAGAGAAAAGTATTGGTATACTACTAATTGCTATTACTAAGTTAAGGAATGATTTGCTTATTTTAATTGTTTCTTTGCTTACCTGATGTAGGGTTTTATTGGATATCATATTTTACTTTTTTAACTTTGAGTGAGTGTTGAGAGAGATGAAAGAAGAAGGAAAGTGACAGCTGTTGTTGTTTGTTGTTTTGTTAACTTTTTTTTTTTGTTTTTTAAAGTCTTTTTACCATTCAACCATGTCTGAAAGTCTCTGAACATCCGATTAAATTATGAATGAACAAAGTCTGGAGTCACTCACTCATTGGACTTTAAAATGTTTGAAGAAAAAACTTTCAAATACTGAAAAAAACTTGAATCCTACATATCTTATCCACACTTATATTATTACTTACTACACTCTCCATTGCAGTGAAATAATTGTAAATTGTAAAGTATCAATAAGTTAACATTTAATTCTTTGTTGTAAGATTTTACTCTTTCCTTTAAACTCTAATTTTCTTTTAAAATTTTTTGTTTGCCAATAATTTTTTTACATGTTTCCTAGATGTCAAATTTATTTACTCTGTTTCACTTTGGTATGTGTTTAATTTTTTTTTTTTTTCAGTTTACATTTGTTTTTTCAATGTGGACATTTAAATAATCCTATGTATTTTTAATTTTTCTAATATATACATATATTTATTATTTTAGGTTTTGTATTATAATTCGTCGTTTAAATGAAGAAATTTCAGTTGAAAAAAAACTATATCCTTGTTAATCAACTAATTCTTTTCGCAAATTTGTAGGATAACATGGGTGAAAAAGTGAAATTTCCATATCCGAAATTCGATCTTTCTTTTTTGGCTGTTAACAATATTTTTTTAGAAAATCTGTCAGTTAGGTTTCAACCCAATTTGTTAATCTGGTAGTTTAGAAATGCAGACGGTTTAATTATTTCCAAACATTACTCAAAAAACATTCCAAAAATTAGATATGATTTTAGTTCAATAGTTAGATGTCGGCGATGAATCTATATAATACTAATAGATGTGTTTCTTAGAACTAACCGGATCAATAAATCATATACATAAAAAATCTCAAAAAAATAAGTATTATTTGGAAAAATAAGAACTATGGTTTCGAATATGTTATTTTTGTAATGCTCGACGATCATAAAAAAATGATAATTAAATTTGGAAAGTAATAATAGGAGAAAAGTACTTATATAAGATGCTTGGTTGATTACGGCAAAAGAAAAAACATAGCATGTGAATGTTGTGCTTCGCATTACACAACATCTTCTTATGTTTCTTCCTTCTCTCTTTTTCCCCCCATACGCGTTATTTCTTTGACTTACGTTCACAATCACGGGTCACACTCTTTAATATCTTTTTCTTTTTTTCTTTTCTCTCTTCAAATTGCTCAAACTAGTTCTCATTTCTTAGAGAACATAGTTTCATATCTTTGCCAACAGAAAATTACCAAATTATATCATCGACTACTACCATTGAAAGTTTCAACTTTGTCAGGAAAAAAAATATGAATTCCATGTGACATTCTAAAAAAATTGTGTAATATATATTAAAAATGGATATACCATTAGAGATAAGTCATAATGTTTATTTGAGATAAGTCTAAGATTATTTGTGACGTTACCATTTTAATTAACAGACCGGACCAAACCATATAATTGTAATTTTCCGGTTAACAAAAACCACAAAAACTCAGCGACTCTCCTCTCTCCGAAGAAACATCTCTTCTTCGTTGATGCGCGAGTTTTGATCATCTCTTAGAACTCGCTGTTAGGGTTTCACAAAATCTCAGGCTTTACAGAGATAAATCGAATTTTGGGAATGGACGGAGAAGAGCTCACTGAGCAGGAAACTGCTCTTTACGACCGCCAAATTAGGGTTTGGGGAGCTGGTGCTCAAAGGAGGTAACTTTACATTGAATCTAAACTTCTATGGCTGCAAGCAAAAACTGTTTTTAAATTGCTGCTATGAGTCGCTGTTTTTTTTTTTTTATCTCTTTCTGGGTTTTAAGTTAAATTTTCAAAATTTGATTATGGCTTCTCTTGGATAAGTGTTTCTCTGATTTGATATGTTCTGTTGATATGTAAATCTTTTGGTTTGGATGTTTGCAGATTGAGTAAATCTCATGTGTTGGTATCTGGAATTAAGGGGACTGTTGCTGAGGTAGCTCTTACTTTTGCAAGTTCTCATCTTTACTGTTTATGTAGTGAATCTTAAATGATTTATGCTGCAGTGGAGTGCAGTAGCAACTTACTTGGTTTACATTTGGTGGACAGTTTTGCAAGAACATTGTGTTGGCAGGAGTTGGTAGTGTGACTCTGTTGGATGATCGCTTGGTGACAGAGGAAGCCTTCAACGCAAACTTCTTGATTCTTCCAGATGAGAATGCTTATGCGGGCAAAACCGTAGCTGAGATTTGCTGTGATTCACTTAAGGAATTTAACCCTATGGTCCATGTTTCAATTGAAAAAGGTTTCTTACCATTGTATATGTGACCCTTTCTCCATTTCTCTCTAGTTTCCAATAGACATAAATGGTTGTTATAACGTTGAGTCTATTTCCTCAATCTCAGGTGATTTGTCAACACTTGGTGTTGATTTTTTCGAGAAGTTTGATGTTGTGATTATTGGTTACAGCTCTCGTGCTACTAAGGTACTGATAGCTCCTTTTTTTAGTTGTTTCAATTGTATGTGTCTTTTGTTGCTATGTCATTACTTAAAATAGCGTGTTTTGTTTTGTAGAAAGCAGTAAATGAGAAATGTAGGAAGCTAAAGAAACGTGTGGCGTTCTATACAGTAGATTGTAGAGGGTCATGTGGCGAAATATTTGTCGACCTACAGAACTATAATTACACAAAGGTACTTACTTATCCTGTTTTAGTGTTTTGATGGTTGTATATGCACCTCCTTCCTGTTGACAATAATATGTTAACTTTACAATATATCTCTATTTCCTGTCAATGTTTTGCACCATAGAAAAAGCTTGATGAAACAGTGGAATGTGAGCTAACGTTTCCGAGTTTTGAGGTAAAGAAAAACTGACTTCTTACTTTCCCCTGAACATACTGTTGCATGAGAAGTAATAGAAATTTAATTAATTGGCTGGGTTTATTCTTCAGGAGGCAGTTTCAGTACCATGGAAACCGATTCCAAGGAGAACAGCAAAGCTGTACTTTGCTATGAGAGGTCTGGCCTCAACAGATAATCACTGAAAGTTTCGTTACATCTACGTAACTAATTTGGCTCTCGTGTTACTCTTGCAGTGATTGAACGATTTGAGGAAACTGAAGGGCGTAAACCTGGAGAATGTTCGCTGTTTGATCTCCCAGGAGTCTTGAAACTCAAAAAGGAACTCTGCGAGGGAAATGTTAGTTTTCTTAACACTTAATTGTAAGCACAATACTAATAATAATGTCAAAGAGCAGTTACTCAACTTTGTATTATGAATGTCGCAACAGTCGGTTAGCGAGAATCATATTCCAGATAGCCTCTTGGAGAGACTTGTATCTGGTAACACAGAATTCCCACCAGCTTGTGCCATCATTGGAGGGATTCTAGGACAGGTTCTTTATCTCTCGTCACTAAGGACTTTCATGGTTATATAGATAAGCATTTTGCAGAGCTATATGTGACTTCAATGAAACTTTTATTGCACTTACAGGAGGTGATAAAAGTTATATCAGGCAAAGGAGAGCCGTTGAAGAACTTCTTCTACTTTGATGCAGAGGATGGGAAAGGAGTAATCGAGGACATATCCCAATAAGCCTCAACATCTAATCTTTAAAGGTGCTGTGATGCTGCTCTTCTTAGAAAGTTAGTTCCTTCTTGAAGATTGTATTGGAAGTTAAGGCTTAAAAACTTGGCTCTTTGTCTTTTGTATGATTGTATCTACTAACTTGGCTCGGTGAGTAAAAGACAATCTGAAATCCACTACTATCTTCTAAAAAGTAATATTATCATCTTCCTTTTCTTACTTACTTTTTTTTCCCTCTTCAAATGCTAAAACAAGTTCTCTTTTATTAGAGAAAATTGTATAATATTTTTCTCAACAGAAAAGGAAGAAGCAAAATTACAGAAACATGTATGAATTTTCATGTGTAATTTTAAACAAATTCTTTAAGATATACAAAAAAAGGTAGACCCTTAGAGAAGAATTATAATATGTGTTTAACATAAGCAGAGCAAAATGTGTACTTTCTATTGAACCTCATCTTAGGGTTTGAATGGTGGCAACGGTTGAAGCAAACAAAACCGCAAATGGAATAGACCACTTTTTATTCACCATTCATCATACCACAATGATACAGATCTAAAAAACTAAAAGAAAACCACTGCAGACCAACCACTGACCAATTTTACATACAAATAGAGTTGGTTCGCAGCGGTTCACCCTAAAAATAGAGGGGTCTAATCCGCTGATGGATTTCTCCACTGTGACCATGATAACCATTCAAGACCTTAATCGGAAAAGCATGCTATGTATAATAAAAATTCTAAAAATTAATAACATTAAAATTACGATATTTTATTACAGAGTTAATAATTACTATATAGTGTTGAAATTATGATATTTTATTATGTTATAGATTTAATAATTAATATATACCATATTCCAAAAAATTAATTTGGAACTGAAGATTTTTTTAACTAAATTATGAGTGTATTTCACAAAAGGTAACTTTTCAGAATCGATATATGATCAAAGTAAGAATATAAGCACGCGCTGAGTCTCCACTTATTTTTGTCCAAAATAGGACCAAAGTAGTCCAATAAAGTAAGTTAACGAAATAAAGGAGGATGTGAATCAGTTACAACTTTCAAGTTAGACATTGACAAATATTTACACTATTCGGTTAGATATATACGGTTATGAAAGCGTACTAAGTACGAGTTTCTCGTTTTTGAATGGTTTTTTTGGTAGGTGTAGACTGAGCAGTGAACGACAGAGAAAGACGTAACAGGATGATGGAAACAGAGGTATTGTAAAGAAAATCTACATGAACATTCTGCCCTTTCTCGTATTCGTTCTCGTATCCGTTTTTGTTCACTTCATATTTTTATATCACTTTCATACTATGTCCATGTGGGTATTCCTTCACTACCTACCAACTTTGACAGGTTTAATAATGGATACATGATTATTGAACTCTACTTAATGTACCATGCGTAGTGGACTATAGATAATATACTATGCTCAATGGACATCTTCCTTCTTATATGACACGGCTTTTTAATTTACAGTTTCCTTCATTTTCTATCAAATAAAATCCATAAACCCTTTTACCATCACCGCCAATTTCTTTCTCCGCCGTCAAACTCTAACCTAATCAACCATCTCGACATAGTCGCATTATCTCATTCTCATACTTTTTTAGTTTTTTTTTGTGTCTCTTTCTTGTCTAATTTATTATGTCCATGTGGATATGTCCATACATGTTTTCATATATGCATAATTAACTAACATACCCATCTATATTTATGGACATCTACTTAATGGACTCTATATAATAGACACGATCCATTTTTCCTTTATTAATTATTCACTCGTAGATGAACATATCCCTATACATATGGTATATTTACTAGTTGATGGATACATCGTTGCGTCCATTTTTCTTGAACAAGTTGTTCACTTGTAGATGGACAAATCTCTCACTACGTGAGGAACGTCGTTCGTCGTCGTCATCAACGACATGGTTGTTATCAAATCTTCATCACCATCTCACACCATTACAAACCTGTCGAAATCATCATATATGGTAAGGTGAAGTTATTAGTTTCTACAGACAAGAATACCAATACTTCTATTCCATCATCGAAGCTACGCACTAATTATTCGTCTTCGACTTTCTGTTCAATCCGATCTATCCAAAAATCAAAAACTGTATGTTATGAGATTCAAGTGAGCATTCTTCTCTCTTTCTCGATATCTGGAAAGATTCAAACGGGATAATAAAGAGTTTAATAAGAAAAAACAAAAAAGATATAAGAATAATAAGGAAAAGTACAAAAGAAACAAAAGTAGAAAGAGAGAGAGATAGTTAGTTTAACAACGATGGCAAATTAGTTATTTTGATAAAAACTGAAGGCTAAGATAGCACTATATTTTATGTGTAAAATGAGTAAACTGAGAAGTTACTTATTTTGATATTACTTCTTGAAAAGTGACCTTGGTTGGTATTAACTCTTAAATTATACTGTTTCAGCTTTATATATTGTGGCAGTTGAATATCATTTAACTCATTCAAGACTCGCGGATGAACAAGTTGAACATTTTTCTTTTATGTTATTGTTCAATTTTTCAATTTTTTAGGTTGAATATTTTGAACAATTGTTTCAAACTCTTCAACTCAAATGGTAAAAATTAATTAAATAGTATATTTTAACTTCTTCAATCTCTTAAATTGTGCAACAAGTGTATTTGACTATTTTTTGTGTGGTAAATAGTGTATTTGAGTATTTGTGTTACCTATTTGGATTTAAATTTGTAATGTTATAAAATAGATAATCATTAATGTGATTATCCAGCACTAATAGATAACATCCTTCATCTTTATCTATATGATAAAAGATGATGTTTATCTATATTTTGTTTAGCTTAGCATCTAAGTTACCACACTATATATATGATGTTTTGTTCACTTGTAAAACACAAGACAAGAAGCAATAAAGCTGTACTTCTTTCACTCTCTCGTTCTTCTTCTTCTTCTCTCTTTGTTATATTAGTATTTTTTCTAATAATATAATATATATATATACACATATACATATAATATAATAATGTTATATGTGTTTACGTTATTATTTATAACATGTAATTTATAAATTTGTCCCATTTTAATTGTAATTTTCCCGGTTAAGAAAAACCACAGAGTCTCTTCGAAAATCGAAACATCTCTTATTGGTAGATGCGCGGGTTTTGATCATCTCTTAGACCTCGCTACTAGGGTTTCACAGAGATACCTTCAATTTTGAGAATGGGCGGAGCTGGTGGTAACAGAATCGTTCCGCAGCGAGATGTTATGGAACTTAGTAGCGACGACGAAGGAGGATCCGAGTCAGGGGATAACCACGACGGAGCCGCTGATGTTGAAAGCGTGGACCGAAGAAGCGGTAGTGATGTCTCTGGAACAAAGAGAGCGAGAAATGATTCTGTAGCCAGGCCATCGAAGAAGCTAGCGGTTTTGATTCCGGATGATGAGGACGGATTTGCGCAATCGAGTTTGGCTCTCACGGTGATTCCATGTAACGTTGTGGCGGCGCCTTCTTCATCTCCTTGGGGAAGTTGTAAGCAATTTTGGAAAGCTGGAGATTATGAAGGAACATCTGGTGGTGACTGGGAAATTTCTGCAGGTAAAATTTGGTTTGTGTGATTTTGTTTATATTTATCGGATTTGGGAAATGTTAGTGATTGATTTTGTGAAAACTTGTGGTTATAGGTGGCTTTGATCATGTAAGAGTACATCCTAAGTTCCTGCATTCTAATGCAACAAGTCACAAATGGTCCCTTGGAGGTACGTTTTGAATGAAGTACGATGCAATCTATTAAACAATGTTTTTTGCAATGAAAGTGGTGATTAAACAATGTTATCTCTTGCAGCTTTTGCTGAGCTTTTGGACAATGCTTTGGATGAGGTGGGATGCTTTCCTAATTTTTAGAAATATTGCAAAGGTGTGCATTTGTATTTCTGGTTTGATAGTATTTGTTTCTCATATTTGGATTATCAGGTTCGTAGTGGAGCCACATTTGTTAATGTGGACATGCTTCAGAACAGGAAAGATGGAAGCAAGATGATCTTAATTGAGGGTATACAGTTGATTTAGTGTTTTGTTGTATCAAATTTTGAAGATGCAGCGCTTTCTTGATCCTCATTTATGGAGCATCCTTATGTTTAAAAATGCAGACGATGGAGGTGGGATGAATCCTGAAAAGATGCGGCACTGCATGTCTCTAGGATATTCTGTCAAGAGCAAACTTGCAGACACTATTGGACAATGTAACCATTTCTTTCTCCTGCAAGATAAATACATGTCACATGTTTTAGATCAAGACTCTTTAATTCGTATACTTTTTATAGATGGTAATGGATTCAAGACTAGTACAATGAGACTCGGAGCTGATGTCATTGTTTTCTCACGTTGCCTTGGAAAAGATGGAAAGAGGTTTGTTATCTGTTACCACACCGTTTACCCCTTTCAACTATCATGTTTTTTAATGGTTATATTTATATAGTGTCGATTGAAAAATCAGCTATAGTTATATTCATCTGACTATACTTCTATTTACTTGATGCTGCTTTAGCTTGACACAGAGCATTGGCCTTCTATCATATACGTTTCTGAAGAGCACTGGAAAAGAGGACATAGTTGTACCCATGGTAACCTACCTTTATTTAACTGTATGGAACTGTTAGGGGGAAAAATCAACTTGATAATTTTGAATGGTTGTTAGCATGTGATATAATTATGAGCATAAGTTAAGTTACATGTACCGTTCATTGCAGAGCATCTTTGGTGTGAAATACTGTTCTCATTCAGAAATATGTCTACTCAGCTTTCTTTTTCAGATAGCAAAATATATTATGCAGAGAAAGCTAACATTTCTCAGCATATCACTCAAACAATCGAAATTGCTTTATATCCATAACAGATGTTCTTTTTAAAGTTTATCTTTTCTAATCTTCTTCTGATGATGATTTAAATGAAAGCTTGACTATGAAAGAAGCGGTTCTGAATGGTGTCCAATAATGAGGTCTTCGGTTAGTGATTGGGATAAAAATGTGGAAACAGTGGTTCAATGGTCGCCTTTTGCTACCGAAGAAGATCTTCTTCGTCAGGTAAAAGCTTTTTCCTTAGTTCCATATGCTCTACTTATTTACTAATGTGTGAGAATGTTCCACTAATCTATTGCTCTGACTATTGTAGTTTAATCTAGTGAAGAATCATGGCACAAGGATAATCATATATAACCTCTGGGAAGATGACCAAGAAATGCTAGAACTTGATTTTGACACTGATCAATATGTATGTGTTTTTATTGCTGGATATACATAGATTACGTCCTGCAATGAAAGCTTCTGTATACATGTAATTGACATATGGTTTATTGCAGGATATCCAGCTTCGAGGGGTCAATCGGGATGAGAAGAATATTGTTATGGCTTCTCAATTCCCAAATTCTAGACACTTCCTGACATACAAGCACTCACTCAGGGTATAAACTTCCTTTGTTGTGGTTATTTTCGAAGTTAGTTTGGTTCAGTCTCGTGCTAAAGTCACTGTGATAATTCTTAAATGATTGAAACTGAGGAATCTGGTAGTAGGTAGAAGTCAAAACCTTGATTTTTAATGATTATGAATTCCATTATTTGTTGGCTGCATTTTCATTTCTTCTAAAGTTTTTATTTGTCAACATTTTTCATGTTCACAGAGTTATGCATCTATTCTCTACAGAAAGATTCCACATGGGTTCCGTATCATTCTCCGAGGAAAAGATATTGACTATCACAACATAGAAAATGACATGATGTATACAGAAAAAATTACTTATCGGCCAAAAGAAGGGGCTGGTGGATGCACCAAGCACTCAAATGTATGTATTTCAGAACTTTACATAGTTAGAATACGTCCTGTAATTTTTTTATGATACCAAACAGTTTTTTGAATACTGAAAAATTTATCTGCATGTGCGACATCTTTCACAGTTATTTGCTGTCGTGACCATTGGCTTTGTGAAGGATGCAAAACATCATGTGGACGTTCAAGGCTTCAATGTTTACCACAAAAATCGCCTTATTAAGGTTTCTGTTTCTTTTGCTCTATGCCTTAAAATGTGACGAAAATAAGATCAACTTTACACTTTCAGTTCAATATCTTCTCACTTGTTTTTCAGCCATTTTGGAGGATATGGAATGCAGCAGGAAGTGATGGTCGTGGGGTCATCGGTATTGTTTTTAACTGGAAGGACTAATCTTTGATTAGCTTTATTTACGAGAAGTCTAATGTGAATTTATCTTGCTAATAAGGTGTCTTGGAAGCTAATTTTGTGGAGCCTGCCCATGATAAGCAAGGGTTTGAGCGCACAACAGTTTTGTCTAGACTCGAGGCAAAACTACTTCAAATGCAGAAGGATTATTGGTCTGATTTTTCTTCTCTTGGTTTTTAAATCATGCTTCCTTAGCTTGGCTGATTCATTGGAGTATTTGGGTTGGCGTTTTCGTTCTGGTTTTACTCAGGAGATCTAAATGTCATAAAATTGGATATGCGTCGAGGCAAGGCAAAAAGTCTGTTAAGGATACTAAAGACAGAGGTACAATATCTATATTACAGAACATCGGAATTTTAACTTGTGCTGAACAATCTTTTGGAATGTTTCCCACTTTGTAGAATCATCACCAGAATATGATCCTAAAGGATCTGTATCATCCAGGAAAAGGACTACTGCTCCAAGCCTTAAAACTTCAACTACTGCTCCCAGCTTTAATACTCCAACCGCAGCTTCAGCCAAATTCAACAGAAGATCAAATGTGAATGGAGGAGGAAAAGAATCTGTGAAAGATTCTAAAGACATCGGGTATAAATCATCAGAGAAAGAGGGTAAGCTTGGAAACTCTTCTTCCAAAACTGACAAACGAGCAAAGCCTCAAGGAGCTCGTGCTGTGGAGGTCATCAATAGTGATGATGACTATGATTGTGATTCTTCACCAGAAAGAAATGTCACTGGGCTTCCTGAGAAGGTCCCAGCGTCTCCTTTTTTTTCCCTACGTACATTTTCTCCAGTATATAAGATTTGCGAACATAACCTTTTCTACTTCGTCTCTCAGAGTTCTGAATTACCTAAGCCTCAGTCTGGTTCGCGTACCCTCATTCAATTGGAACAAGAGAATAAAGAGTTAAGCAAGAGGTTTGTTACCACCTTAAGTACAATGTTTATTTTGCTTATAAGATTCATGTTTCTTGTTTGTGTGAACATTGGAGCTGTGTTTTTTTGTTTCTCAGGCTTGATGAAAAAGAAAAAGTTTTCTTGGTACTGCAAAAGGACCTGCAACGTGAGAAAGAGCTTCGCAAGGCACTTGAAGCTGAGGTAACTTCTACTTTCTGACATATTCTGTGTCTGCCTACAAACCTATTACAACACTTACCAATGAATTCCTCCTGACATTTCAGGTTCAAACATTAAAGGACAATTTAGAAGCAACGGAGAAAGAGCAAACGGAATTAATCCTCGTTTTCAGAGAGGATAGAGACAGACGCGACAAGGAGGAAGAAGATCTCAGAAAAAAGCTAGAGGTTCTCATCTGTTCAAACCACGTCTCTGTAATAGTCACTTAGATTCAAAGAAAAAATCATGACCTAACTTTGTGGTTGCAGGAGGCGTCAAACACAATCCAAAACTTGTTAGATGGAAAAAACTCGAGGTAGATAAAGCGTTGAGAGGAGGCGTTAGAGCTGCTTTGATGATAATAGTATTGAGGAAGGAGCATCTTACATAATTGACTGATTAGGTTTGTTTGCTTTAACATCTACATTTAGTTGTAGTGTGTGGTCTCTGGCCTAACCATACCAGAGCTAGTAGAGAAGTAGGGTATTGTTGTATTGTGAGGTTATTGGTTTCATGTTTTAAACATTTGAATTTGGTTCGCGGTATTTCAACCCTTCCCTGTACACAACCTCTCCTCAATCCAACTTAACTAACTAATATCGGCATTTGTAATCACTATGATTAGAATCAGTTTTACAAATTTTCATACATGAATATATATTTCCGTCTTTTGCAGTGTACATTATTTGATTTTATTGCAGAGTGACATATTATGTCGCTGAGGGAGGATTTTAAACATAGTTGCAATTGTAAAATCAAAACATTGGATTCACAAGTTGTGAAAAAATATTTGATTAAAATATAAAGTTGGATGAGGACAAACATTGAACATAAGAAAGATACCAATTTATGATTTGGAGATTCTTTTACTCTTGATTGTTAAATATTAATGAAGACAGTGACATTCAAATAGAAGAAGACTCAATAGTTTATAAATTGTATAAGCAAGCAAGCAACCACCTCTGGCGAAGGCGAAGCTCAATCAGAAAAGTCAAGGATATGGCTTTGTTCAACAAGATCCTTAACATCCTTCTTCCTATTGTCACGGTTTGGTTTCTTTTACTGTTTATGCCATTTTCAATATTCGTCAAGCTCATCAGCTTCATAAGGAGATACAAAGAGTCGGAGAAAGTTAGCGGAAAAGTCGTCATCATCACCGGATCTTCCTCAGGAATTGGTGAGGTTAGTTAATCTAGTTATCCCTCGTTTCTACAAAGTTACCTAGAAAAGCCTTAAAGATGCATGTTTACTTAATGGTGTAGCACCTCGCTTATGAGTACGCGAGTAGAGGAGCATACTTGACATTGGTAGCTCGGAGAGAGGATCGTCTACTAGAAGTAGCTGACAGGTGCCGGAGGCTTGGTTCACCTGACGTTGCTGTGGTGCCTAGTGATGTCTCAGTCATTGAAGACTGTAAACATTTCGTTCAAGAAACCATCGCTCGCTTTGGAAGACGTGAGTTAATCGCGATTATTCGTATAACTAATTTTGCTTCTTGCTTAAACAACATAAGAATCTAAACAAAATTCATATCAGTGGATCACTTGGTGAACAATGCGGGAATTGTCGAGGCCAAACTTTTCGAAGACTATTCAGAAATTTCAGATGTTCTTCCCATTGTGGTATCATTTTTTTTAGATGTAATGCATACCAAATTCTTTTTCTACACTTGCACATAATCTACTAAATCTTACTATTTGCAGAATACGAACTTTTGGGGACCGGTCTATGCGACACATTTCGCTATACCGCATCTCAAGAAAGCCAAAGGAAAGATCATAGCGGTTGCTTCGCCTGCTGGATGGTCTGGAGTGCCAAGGATGAGCATATATGCTGTAAATGTTTCTTCATTTTATATCCTCTAAAGTAACTAAACTGTAACATAACTAATGTTAACATTTGATAACAGGCAAGCAAAGCAGCTATGATAAACTTCTATGAGACTCTTAGGATCGAGCTTCATCCACATATTGGTGTGACAATCGTGTTTCCGGGTCTAATCGAAAATGGAAACACCAATCCGGACCTTTTGGCTGAGGTATTTTACTAGCATCATATTACAAAACGTTTGTTTCCACTTTTATCTCCATGTTTGTCACAATTTGATATCTCTGCAGAAACAAGACTGGTCCCAAGTTGTGGCCATCGAGTCAGCAGCTGAATGCGCCAAAGCGGTTGTTAATGGAATATGCAGAGGTAAAACCTTTGTGGCAGAGCCGTCGTGGATTCGTGTTCTTTTCTGGCTTTGTGCTATATGCCCTGAACTTTTGATCTCTAAGCCTAAAAAGAATTGACCAATTTGTTTCGTTTCATATAATTCCACCATGGTGAAATAAATATCTGACATTAGAGACTTGACTTGTTCTACTCGTATGGTATTAGGCAACTTGCTTATTCTTAAAGACACATACAGTGTTATAATATACATAGTCAAAAGTACCATTCACAAAAACAAACCTACATGTTTTGATTATTATTATTCATTGCATGCACACATTTTAAGGATCGTACATCTCATCTACTCGGACTTTATTTCCGGCGTCCTGATGGATTCGGGGTACAGAGCACTACGTACACCAGGAATATCCATGATCCTCTTGTTGAGAGCATTTGCCTCGGACATTTCACTTCCGGTCATATACAATAACCGACAACCCCACTCAATCAACTCCGGACATAGCACTTTCCAAATGTATGTCACCTTAAACCATGATGGCTCTGTCACGTATCTTTGTTTCCGGCACACACCGTTCACTATCGACTTAGCACATCCTGCTGCCGATGCTACTGGAAATGGTCCTATTTGAACCTAGCTTCCGGCAAACGAAAATTATATTACATAAACAATTAATATACAATTCAACCATTCTTTAAGGGGTTAGATATAATTACTTACATCTCTAACGTCTTGATTGACTATTAACTCGCCTTCACCGGAGAAGTACTTGCCTTGTGTGAGCTCCGATTCGATATAACCAGGTGTGACAATTGTAATGTGTACATCACCGCCAAGCTCAATCCTCATCGTCTCAAAGAAGCTCAACAAAGCTGCTTTGCTTGCCTAATGTTATGTATAAATACTCGTCAGTCCCTAGAGAGCGTACTTTACTAAGAAAAAAAAGTGTATATATATAGACTTACATTGTAAAAACTCATCCTTGGAGCAGTTAGCCAGGCTGCAGAGGACGACATAGCCACGATCTTACCATTGGTTTGTCGAAGGTATGGAAGTGCAGCACGAGTAGTATAAACTGATCCCCAAAAGTTAGTATCCTAATAAATCACAAAAGTTTCATTGGAACATTATTAATATATGGTTTAGAGTTGCTTTTCTTGATCTTATATAAATCATTATAGTTATAAAATTACCAAAACTGCTTTTGTCCTAGTTATATCTTCAACGTTCTCAAACATCGAAATCTGCGTTATCCCAGCGTTATTTACAAGATGATCCACTGCAAGACCAAAGAAAGTGTTCCAGACCAAAACTTGTGAATGGTATAACCAAACTATTTATTAATTAGCTAGCTCTATGCGGTTTTGGTGACTTACATCTACCAAAATGGGTGATGGTGTCATCAACGATTCGTCTACAATCATCAGGTTTGGAGACATCAGCATGAACGGTGATAACATTGGGAGATCCAACTTCACGAGCAATCTCTGCCACTTCTTCTAGACGGTTCTTCCTTCGAGCGGTCAGGGCCAAACATGCACCTCTACATGCATACTCATATGCCAATCGCTGATAATATAACATACGGAAAAAAAAAAACTCATATTAAATGAACGTATATTCAAAAATTTTACCCAAAAAAAATTAAAATACATATATTAAAATTGTATTTTAAGTCTATATAAAAATATAAAAGCATTGTTACTAAACCTCGCCTATCCCGGAAGAAGCACCGGTGATGAGAACAACTTTCCCATGAAGATTTTCCGAGAAAATGGTAGAGAAAATAGACTGCAAGAACTTGAAGAAGTAAAAAGGAGGCAAGAAGAAGCAGAGACCAAAGAAAGTGAAGAAAGGAGCAGTCAGGTTGAGGAAATCGTTTATCAATTCCATTTTTTGATCAAAACACAACACACATAAGATGATATTGGCTCCTTATCGAACATGATCTACGTACGTTGTATAAATATATATATCCAAAAATCAAATTGGATTCTAGACAAAAACGGTGATGAGAGCGAAGAGAGACAAGACACGAAAGGTCAGGTTGTAGTGTGGCAACATTGCATGGCAACGAGACGACACGTTGTGTAAAAGATGTTGAAGATGCACGTCGACGACATCTTCTCTTCTCTTTATCCACTTAATATCTTTGGTAGATAAGATCAATTTTTCTTTCCACTTATATGTTATTGTCGTTTCCAAAGTACTACATTAGTTAGTTATATATGTCTTTTGTATTATTGCTATTACGTATTAAATATTTTCATTAAGATAATAATCCTAAATATTAATTAACAAATCAGAGGATTTAATTTCCACAATACTGTAGAAATATAATTATATCAAAATGCTTTTGTTAAAATTTCGAGACTTTTTTCATATTTTATTTTAGGGTACCAATTTGACTTCAAATTTCAGAAATTAAACCGTAAATTCAGATCATAAACAATTGATTCTTAAATTTAGGTGGTCCGGACAACTACCCATCCTCAAAGGTTACATTCACATGGTTTAGTTTCTGTTACATACATGGGATCAATTTCACAGTTAATTTGTATGGGTATGATTAAAAGAACTTATGGACATGGGCTGGGCTTGTAAACCAAAAGACTATGAGAAGCACATCCAAAACTTTTTCTCATTACGTTTATTATTTACCCTACAAGACTATGCAACCCTTTGTTCGAAGGTTCCCATCCTAAAATGAAGTGTAGAGGTCGATTGTCGAAGAAAACATAGTCTTTGAGATACCGTGACCATAGCCAACAAAAAGGTTCTGACTTGGTTTATCTTCTTTTTTTCCTTAATGTTTTTAGTTATTGATATGAATTAACATGAACATAAAGTAAAACCCTTGTTCCTAAAAAAAAATTAAACACAAAGCCTTTGTAAATTCTATTATATAGGGATAGATATATGAAAATAACTAACTTCCTAACATGAAAGAAATTTAAAAGGAAGGACCGGTCATGTCTTTATTTCTATTTAACATATACTTTTAGACTTTCGGTTCCACTGGTATTTATATATTTCTACACATTTGATAGTTGAGAGCAAAAGACAAGCACATCACTTTTACTTTCGACGTGTGCACGTAAAAAAGTATACCATCTTCAGAAATTGGTCCTCAACATGCTTTAATGTGCAGCTTTAAGGATTGGTCCTCTATACATCCAATTTAATTAACCATTCGGAAAATGGATTTGGTGAAAGACAACAAAATATTTAAAGAGTAGCTAATTAAAAAAGGGAATTAATAATTGAAAAGTGTTTGCACGCCCACATGGTTACGAAGAGCTAAACTAAATAAATAAGATGTTCAAGCATGTGATTAATTTAATCTTAACGATGAAGAACCCTTAATCTATGTCATACTTCATGCTGCATGCAAGCACACACGCACGCACTATAAATACCATCGCAAAGTAGTCTAGCTATTTCAAGTTCAGTCATATTCATATCCTTAACTCTAAAGTTTTCTTTGTTGCTAGTTTCTTCAAGATTTCCATTTTTTCACCAAACCTTGGTAACTTATAGTTTTAATGGATACCGCAATCTCCATGCAAGAGACCCAATATAACAACGGATCAAGTACTTACAAGAAGCCATTTCTTAGATATCTCGACCGTCTTTGGTTTTCTATAATCATAGTTATTTTTTTCTTTATTGTAGTTTTTAGCCCTCTTTGGGTTCAAGTTTTTAATAGTTTCTTGTTCATCATCACTAGAATTATTACATACTACATCTTAAACCCTAAGGTTTTATTCGTTCTAACAAATGTCATCGTGATCACCCTCATTGGAGAATCAAGGATGAGTAGTTCAAGATCTTCTTTTCCAGCTAGCGAGTTACGTAAAGAGTTCATTGTGAGAAGCCAATTTTGTGACTCGTCGTCGTCTCATGGAAACGTGAAGGTAGAAATGGGATATCAAAGATACTCAAAAGAGAATATTGATCGACCGAGGCAAGACGAGGGTAAGAGATGCAAGGTTAGTATGTTGCGCGATATGGATCCTTTGAACCAGAGGGCTGATGATCTGATCGCTCGTGTGAACAGGCAGAGGAGGCTTGAAATTGGGATTTTACATAGCCACATAGGCGGTAGCCGTCTATAGGAATAATACATGGCCAAATGTGGAGTTAAAGCGTTTCTTGTTACCAAGAAACCAATTATTATAAAAAGAAAATGCAAATTTTGCAGACAAGGGTTACAAATAAGTAAACGAAGTTATAATTTTCACGATGTACCAATAGGATTCATTGGTATGCGTAGGAATTATTGCATGTGAAATTGTGAATGGATATGATTTGCGAGACATACATTAGTATAATTTTAGGCATATGTACTATTTGTAGTGTGGGTACAAGTACGTGCTCCATCAAATTTTGGAAACTTTTTATTTTTAAATGCAAATTTGAGAACGAATTGGTTTGAACTCGAAGTAGCCATTTTTGCTCACAATGTTCTAAATGCGAACCAATTTTGCATGAGACTAGTTGTGAAATGTATAGGACAAAGGACCACTTTTGTAATCACTCCTCTCTCTTCTTGGACATTATTATGATTTCTCCGTGTTTAAGTTTAGTGTGTTAATGTTAAAGGCGTGAGAACAAGAATTTAATATGACATACCAAAGATTTGTGTGGTTAAAGATTTTGTATAAGAATTCTATTTGATCTCATTAGAATTCTATGAAGTTACTAAAATATTAAGGAAATTGTGGAAACGTAATTTGTTTATGACAATAACACCTCATCCGATCACGGGTGTGATGTTATTATACACCCCATCTGTCAAATAACTTCAGTTCTACGAGATGATAGTACCAATGATTGGTCATGTTTTAGTAGTTAGTGTTGGTGCAATTGAGAATATATCCATTCTGAGTAGAACACCAGGATTTGTTTTTCAAACATAACAGTCAGAAATAAAAATAAATGTTTTCGCAATATATGTATAATTAAACATGGATATGACATTAATTATATTTGTTTAATGTCCTAGATTATTTACTATATAACATATGATGATTCCCAAAAAAAAAAAAATTATGCAGTGTACCGTTATACGATTTTGGTAAATATTCCACCCTTGAAATACTATATATACTTGATGACTTTTAGCTCCAATTTAAAAAGACTTTTAGTATCATTTGGCACAATCAAGATGGTTCTCTGCCTAGAAGTGAAGAAATTTATTTATTCGATGTATTCTTTGCTTGACTCTCAGTGATCGAACTAACCTTTAATTAGGATTAAAAAAAAGTATATAACAACATGTAGATTGCTTAACTTCAGTTGTATTTTTCATCTTCAATATCTTAAATTTGATGCAATTCTTAAATATTTTTTTAACAACTACGTTAATTTCAGAATTGTATATATTATTTTCCCGAAAGCTCAAGAAGTGACAACGCAAGATGCCTACGATACGAGAGTGTATCAGCTATCAAGTTGCGTTACACCAAATGGTAGTGGATTATATTCCTAGTATGTACGAATTTAAGAATAATACATTTTTAAATTGCATTTGCATGGTTTAAAATTCCTTAAGATCTTTTACTTTTAGGTATCTTATTACGGCCGGTGTATGATAAAATTTTTAATTCGATAACTTATTTTTTTCACAATCTCTTAGTATAACATTTTTAACGTGAGATGAAAGGTCTTTTCACGTACATTCAATCAGAAAATAAGCTCATAAGTAATCATATCGTCAGCGTCTGAAGTCTGAACCCATTTTTCCGTAAACCAAAAGAGAAATAAGACAAAAGAAAGAAAGAAAAAAAGCATAAAAGGTTAGAAACATGGAGGCACCAAACGGTGAAGTCGCTTTGTGTCCCTTCCTCTTTTTGACTCACTCAGCCTGATGCCCTACCTGTATTCCAAACACCAAAATATAAAATTCAAAAGACCTTTAATACCTTACTTTAATATATTCACTAGCTATCTTAAGAAACCAACAAGTCCATAGAGATTACAAAACCAGCCAAAGCTTTTAGGACTAAACCAGTCATCCTACGGGGCAACCTGTTAAGGAACAAGGTTTGGCCCGCACAAAGACTAATAATCCCACTATAACAACTTTTAATCTAGTGTTATTTCCTAGAATATTAAGATAATAAACTTAGCTCATAAGAAATTAAAGGAAAAGGTAAAAATGATGAGAATGATATATATGACCTTATGTTTGAGGATGCCATACTTCTTGAACTGTTCCCTGACGACTCTGTTGTAAATGAAAGCAGCCCCTCTAAACTGTGGCAGAACCAACCATGCCACGAACACTAGCTTCGCCGTGTACCATATCGGTATCCTATATATTCAAGATATTTATCACCATTTTAATATCATTGTCATATCCAAAAATATAACAAGAATTAAGACTTAGGTATGATATGATATGATATGAATTTGTTACCACTCAAGGAGAGATTGAAGGATGAGTTCCGTAAGAGTAAGGAAAGAGTAGAGAATCCAATAAGCTAGCCACTGATCGTCATCCACTTTTGATGGGCTCTCTATTGCAATCACCGACGCATATCTTTACCAAATATCATAAACACATAAACAAATCAGATCAAAATCTTTAACATAAATGCATAGAAAACAATGTGAAATTATAATACACTTACAATGGATAAAGCAGCATCACCACGGGTCTGCGTATGATCGTCCCAATAAAACAAAATCACATAACTTGAAGGAAACTTAAATAAGATATATAAGAGAGAAAAATGAAATAGAAGATACGTACCCAGCGAGAGAGTGAAGAGCAGAGAGAGAAGTCCATAGTTTAGTCATTTTAAGAAGAAGAAGAAACAACAACAAGAACAAAAATCCAAATCAAACAAATGGAGAAAGAAGTCTTGAAAAGAAGTTTCGAAATGCTCTTTTTGTTTTTATGAAACAACACAACCAGAGAGATCTTCTTATATATATTTAAGTTATTAACTGTCCTGGTTTGTACAATTTGGTTCACTAAAATCGGTTTTGCACAATTTGGTTCAAGTTTGAACCGGGACAGTTTGGTTTTATAATCTTACATACCAAACCGATGAATTTTGATTTTCTTTCCTTGAGTATAGAACATATAATTTCGGATTTGGCATATGCTAAAACAATAATGACGGTTGATAAGGGTCGAATTAGTTAGTCTGGTTTAGCTACTTTGGTTCGGTTTGGGTGGGTTTAGTATCACTGAGTAAAAAAACCGGACACGTGGCTGAAAGAGACAGAGAGTATCGGATTCTAACTTGAGCGTGTCCGACATGTCACCGGCCAATAGAAGCCAGATGTCGGTTAGATTCTCTTTATTGTGATTTTCCATGCTTTCCTATTCTTTTGATTTTCCTTTAATTACTCATAAAGAAAAAAACATAGTGTAAATGTACCAAGCGCATATATACTGATTCAACTCATAAACATAACAATTAACAAATCATATTGTCTTTAAATCAATTATATCTGATAAACAATAAACTGTTGTTTCTTACGGAAATATTTATAATTGTACATATACAAAGGATATATAAAAATAAAAATCCTCTGTAGGTAATGTCTTAAAAATACTATACATACTCAGTAAAATAAACGAAAATTAAGATGTTTATTTTATGAAAATTTAAATTCCATACTAGTCATTAATAGTTAAAAATATTATATAAATACATATGTGTGTGCGCGTGTGAATATGCAAATATTCTATAAATATTTTGCAAATCTTCCATATATTTTCTAGATAGTACTGATAAAATCATATATATTAATGATATATTGATTCTAACATCATAAAACTAAAAACTTGTAACATATAATTAAGTACTTTACAACTAATTTCATAGTTAAGATTTTGCATTTACGTAATATTTCACATATGTTATTCATATGAAAAAATAAATTATAAAAATGAGCAAAAGAATATGCAAAACATAAGCAAACCAGAAGTAAAATATTTTTATGTATGTATTTTATATTTTAAAAAATAAACTCTCATATGTCATTCTATATCTATCTTTTTTTGGGAAAATTGGAAATAATTTCATGCTAGCATTTTATTAGACCAATAATAATGTCTTTTGTAAAAATTTCATACAAGTTCTTAAGTTTCATGTGATTTTTCAGCTTCCTTTCAAACATTAAATACATTATATAATACTCTATTAATATGAATAAAATATTAACATACTGTGTTTTTTTTGTTGTTGTGGAAGACCGGAGATAGATGTTCTTCTTCCCTGAGAAAATTTCAAATTTGATATTTAATGGGGTTTTTTCCAAATTATTATGTAAATACTTGGAAAAAATACATAAAATCAATTAGTTTTAGAAAAGTATATCCACAACTACAAGAAAGAGCTCCGTTTTTAATAAGCACAACAACAATGCTCCGTTTCTCACGAACAAACCTGCGATAAATTTTAATTAAGTTGAATAATTGTTTTTCGATTAAATATAATCCATATCTTTACCTGGTACTACTCAATATACAAGACAACTAATGTATATATAACAATCTAGTGCTTATATATATATATGAGAATTTCAAAACTACCCCTTTTCATATACCTCTTTTTAAAAATATCTCCTTTTCAAACTTTATCAAAAAACCCACTAAAAATATTGAAATTTATCCAAATATGTGTGTAAGCTTATAAATATATACACAAATTACCTTTATATGTGTATAAAACTTTATATACCTTTCATAAATAGTGTAAAAATAAATTATAAAAACCTTATAAAAATCTTATAAAAACCTTATAAAACCGTATAAACCCTTTTAAAAACCTTATAAAACTTATAAAAACGATTTAAAACTATTTAAAACATTTTAAAATATTTGTATCGAATCTCTCAGTAGTAGTTATTATATAGAAGTACCTTATAAACTATATAAAACTTTATATTTTTTTTAATTTAAAAAGGGATATTTTTGAAAATGGATAAATAAAAGGGGTATTTTTAAAAAGGGGTACACCAAAAGGGGTATTTCTCAAAAATTCTCTATATATAATTGGTAGCCAAATGAAAAGTCTAAAAATTTAAGAAATACGTTCGATCTGTTGAGAATACTTGAGAGTATGATAAATGTGTTTTGTAAAATTTCCTAAATTTCTTAACATCCCCCAATTGTGGAAGCTGAAAATTTCCATAAAGGAAACAAAAAATAGAAGTGCCACGGTTTTTATAACGTACGTACTTGTATAATAAAACTGCTTCATCTGTTGGAACATGTCTGATAATGATCCTAATTAAACCGTAGGATGATATGTTAGATAATTCTTGATTGATTCTTACAAGGTAACACTGATACGCTGACTAAAACACTCCATTAAAGTCTTTGAAACTTCTTTAAAGATAAGGACAAGATGTTGCATGAATGAATATAATGGTTGTATAACATATTCACTGAGAAAATGGAGAATTGTAAGGTTTTAACTAAGTTGAGGAAATATTTTGTTTGAAAAAAAGTTTCTAGTTTGATGCTTTGGAGAGGAGAGTGTCCGATTCAATTATAAAGGGTTCGTGTTTACTTTTAGTTATGTGATAATTTGATTTTTTTTTTTTTGTGTGTGTAAATTTTGTAAGAAACTGGTGTGTTTTGTTTTTCATTCATTTTAAAATAATTATGAATACTACTAGGAGGAATTTTTTTTTTTTTTTAAATACCATCATTTAATTAATTCAGTTGAAACCAAAGATAAATTAACAAAAAAAAAAAATGAGTACGTTCAAATTAAAAATACGGATATAGCTAGATAAAAGTAAAAATAAATAAATCCTACAAACCAACGATATTATTACATAATGGTACAAGCGTTGGGGTTCTCGTCACTGAATATCTGTGGTGGATAAGCAAACATCTCCACGGGATACCTTGGTGGTTGGTACTGATACTCATTCTTCTTCAGGTCTACCACTTTGTTCCCCTCCTCGGCCGCGGCGCCATCGCCTTTGCCACCACCGTCTTCCTTGGCCTCTTTCCCTTCTTTGGTTTGTCCCTCTTCCTTCTTCTTCTCGTCTTTGTCCTTTGTTTCTTTCTCTTTCTCCGGCGGTTTTGGCGGCGGATCTTGCTTGACAACCGCGGCGTGCTTCCCGATCTTCTTGTATACGAACTCAACTAGCTTTTCCGGTGGAAATACACCTTTCACGCTCACTTGTGATGCTTTAAAATCTGGTTCCACAGACTCCACTCCTATTTACATATATAAACATGTTTTGAAATTTACTAATTTCTATATGAAAATGTAAAATAATAACTATATTATAGACAGAACTACATCACTAATCAAGAAAATGAAAATGTAAACTAATGTCAAGTCTCTAGTCCCAATGTACACTTTTGGCCACTGGAGGTTTGATTAATTTTGGAAGCATTCCAATATATTTCTACCTATCATATATTAACCACAAATTCCTAAAACAAAAACTTGTACAACTCATTGGTGGAAGATAATATATAGTATAACTAAGAAAGACAAGAAGAACCTCAGTTTTCTAGAACTTTGGGATTCTTGGGAAATAGGTGAAGTAAAACTAAAGCAGTTGACTTAAGTTAGACTCGATTCAACCCAACTCGGAATTATGTAATCTTGAAATACTCAAATTAAACAAAAAGAAGCAAGAGTAATAGGATATTACCAATAGCTAAGTATGACTATAATAATGTGAATGAGTTTCTTTTTTAATGAAAGATTCACTAAACACATGCACTTTCAAATTGCTATGTTTATTAAACTATGTCCTACATAGTACACACACTTTCAATTAAATAAAAAAGAGATGGAATCAATTTTATGACATACAGAAGAGTCCAAAGCCTGATGTCCCAATTAAGTGTAGTCCCACAAATTCAGAATTAAAACTCAGATTCAATAGGAGTTGTACCCAATTCAAGAATAACTACTTAAATTAAAAAAAAATAAAAAAATAAACAAGAAGAGTGGAAAAAAGAAAAAGAATACAAACCTTTCATTCTCATGATTCTCTTTTGAATCTCCATGGCACATGCTTCACAATGCATGTGAACTCTCAGCACTACTGTCACTACCTGTTTTTATTTTCTCAGTGCCCACAAAACCTTATTGTTAATTTACACAAAACCAACTAAACTTTCTTTAAATTACAAATCAATCCCCCAAATATTCATACCTCTTCTTTTTTCTCCTCAGGTTTAGGTTTCTCCTCCTCCACCTTTTTCTCCGGCTCGTTTGGAACTGGTTTAGGCTCCGGAACCGGCGAGAGAAGCTCCACTTGACGGTGGCTCTTCCTCTGCAACCTTTGCAACACTTTCAATGGATCTGCCTTCTCTCCTTTCACCACAACTTTACTAGTTTTACAATCAGTTGTTACATCCTCCACTCCTATGTATATCACATTATCAATAAGACCATAAATAAGCTTAAAATTTTTCTAAGTACTTAAAGCTAAAGGAGTTTGATGAGTAATGGTACCTTCAAAGCCTTTAAGACATCTATGGATCTTCTTAGCACAACCTTCACAATGCATAAAGATCTTGAGAACAATCTCTTGAGGCTCTTTCTTCTTCTCTTCTTCTTCTTTTTTTGCTTCTTCAGGTTTCTTATCCTCAGATTTCACTTGTGGCTCCTCTTCAGCTTTCTTCTCCTCCATTTTCTTATCTTCCTGGAAATAGCAAAAATAAGGAGAAGTGAATTTGAGAAGTCAAATAGTGTTTGTCTATGTATAATTTTGAAAAAGTTTGAAAAAAAAAAAACACTTACCTCTCCCATTGAATTTAGTGTCAGTGTTTGAGAGTTGAGAGTTCAGACTTGAGAGAGTTTTTTAGTGGCACAGTTATTAAAGCTTTTTTTTTTTTTTTTTTTTTTGCTTTCTATGGACCGTCAGATTTGGTGCTTTTGAACTGTTTATATATTACACACAACTTATTTATTTATTTATTTTGGTTTTCTTTTCTTTTTACCCCACAGAGACAGAGCGCATTTACGACCAATTTCTTATTTACATATACTATTTTTGTCACATTTCAATTCAATTATTCATAGATTTTTGTTGTTGTTGTTGTCATTGCTTTGAATGTTTTGTTGTTTGTTAATGCTAGACTTGAATGTTTTTGCTTCACATATGGTGAGATTTGAAAATTTGTGAACAGTTTTGGTTTGGTTTTTACCTTTGTAACACATAGAGAAAATGTGATGAAGAAAGAGTTTCAAAAATTTCTAGACGTTGTTGTGTCATTTTCGAAACCTCTTATAATTGAAGCACGAAAATCTCGTGAAAGGGGAACTAAATACTTGACTTATTGTGAGAGATCTAGTCAAAATCTACAACTATTTACTTTGACAACGGTTTCTTGATTTCTGCCAAAAACAAAAACAAAAATAATAAACTCCCTTGCTAATAAATTATGTATTATTTGGCCCAACAAGAAAACGTATTATTGCAAATGGCAGTACAAAAAAATAGGTGTATTTGGAAAAAAATGAAAATATAATATTGGTACAAAGACTTGGAATTTTATAAGAAGGCATGCACTGATGCACGTTGTACTCCATGACAAATGATATTCTTTTCGATGTCAGATAAAAGCCTTTTAGTTTCCCGTTGAGATGATTAGAGAAATCTTAATGTGTATATATATTTTATAAGTTCTAATTTAACCTTTTTAATTTAATTGAAAAACCCATGTATTAAGAGTTTTGAAATACACAAAGTACAAATTATCACAAATCTTGAATACATAGCCGACATTTCGAATATTTATGGAGCGCTAACGTTGTGTCGGGGCTAACCGGCTAAAAGGGCTCCCGCCTACGTAGACCAACGACAGGTCATGCATAGATTAGTACTAGTACTATTCTTTTTATCGAGAACTGAAACATCATAACAATAAATTAGTAAATAACTATTGTTATAATTGCATGATGTTTTCTTTAATCTTGAGAGTCTCGTCATGTGTTATGTTTTGGTTCCTTTTAACATAATCAGTAATAATCAGATTGTGTGGCTTCCAAGCAGCCAAATTCATCCATAGACCATATTGTATTTTGTAGTACTATAAATCCATTGCGGATTTGTTTGCAATAACGTATTGTGTAGTAGTAGTACTATCAATTATGTAATAGCCTCTCTCTTTTGTACTAGACATTGAAGAAAATATTCCATCATGATATATTTGTGTGGTAATATATTAAATCATAGTTACCAAACCAATGGATTTAATGGGCTTCCTTATGTCGAGTACTAGTTAGGACGACTATAGATTATCTAATCTCATAAAAAATTTCGGTTTACCTATAGTTTGAAAAAGTTTACCTTTCAATGGATTTATCATAACAAAAAAAATAACTTAGGCCCTCTTATTCTTGTGTTCACAACTAAAAGTTAATATGTTTTACTAAACCAATACACAAGAGGATAGATGTATTCTCTCTAGTGTCAAGAGTAATTTCAAACATATGACATAAAAGGGATTCAACAACCGTTCAACGAATCAAACCATCAAGTCTACAACTCTCTTTTTCAAGCTATGATTGTTCCACTTATTTAAGAAATTCCAAATTAGTGTCTAAATACCTTTATTTAATTTTCATTTCATTGACTAGGAAAGGCACAATAAAGGCAAATTTTTCTTTTGTTGGTTTATCGAAAGAAATGTATTTCGTATGGGTTACTGATAATCAAGTTAGGTAGTGTACGTCTTTTAATTTTTGGTTATTAGTTAACTTGTATACTCAAAAAAATAGAATATGTTATGTATAGAAACATCTATGTTTTTTAGGCAATAGGACAAAAGGTAGAATATTTATATTAAATAGACTATAGTTTAGAGCATTTGAAATGAACGTTCTTTTATTCTCGATAACGAGATTTAACCTATATAATTCCTACTGATCGCAATATTCAAACAACTACGATTATAAAGAAAAATGTTGTTGAATCTATTCATTATTTTAATGAAATTAATGAAGGAGTCTGAGAAAAATTATATAAATCTCAAACCATTCCCTTAAACAGAATCATCTCATCGCACACACATCTACTTTCTAAGTACCAAACAATGACAGGGTACAACCTCGAAGCAATCGAAGCGGCACCTTTGAAAGACGATGTTGATATTGTGATCCCAACCATAAGAAGCCTCGACTTTCTTGAACAATGGAGACCATTTTTGCAGCATTACCACTTGATCATTGTCCAAGATGGAGACCCTTCGATCAAGATCCGAGTTCCTGATGGTTATGACTACGAGCTCTACAACCGTAACGATATCAACAAGATCCTTGGTCCAAGAGCTAGTTGTATCTCCTACAAGGATGGTGGTTGTCGTTGCTTTGGCTTCATGGTGTCCAAGAAGAAGTATATCTACACTATTGATGATGATTGCTTTGTAAGTCTTTTTACCATTTCTTTTCATAATACGTTTTCATTTATAACTAATGCATGCAACTCCATGCATTTTTTAAAAGGTGGCAAAGGATCCAAGTGGGAAAGAGATTAATGTGATAGCTCAGCACATAAAGAACCTTGAAACACCTTCGACACCACACTACTTCAACACTCTCTATGACCCTTTTAGAGATGGAACTGACTTCGTCAGAGGGTATCCTTTCAGTTTAAGGGAAGGTGTCCAAACCGCAATATCTCATGGCCTTTGGCTCAACATCCCTGATTATGATGCTCCAACCCAACTCGTTAAGCCCCGCGAACGTAACGCCAGGTCATAATATAAAATTTTCAATATCCTTTTCCAGCTTTATACTTGTATAAAATTGTACATATTAGTCTTGAACATTCTGACTTTTTGTATTAGTTGGGTGTTTCGGTTTATTTTTTAAAATAAAAATTTCGATTTATAAACAAAACATAACTCTTTTTTGGGTTTGTTGTATTCAGTTTGGTATAAATTAGTATAGGGTGAAATAATATAGAGCTAATAATTTTTATATATAATTAAATCTAGTTTTGTATATTAATTATCAGAGGACGACTTAAGTTTATTTAACTTCTTAAAAGTTAATTAAGTTTGGTTTAATTTTACGGTTGATATTAAAGCAAATTGTATTTTTTAACAGGGATTTTTTAAAAAAAATTCAAGAAACTGTTAGGAGGATATTTTTTTGTTATTTACACTATGCATATAAACGCAACAATAGCCTTTGCAGGTATGTTGATGCAGTGATGACAATCCCAAAAGGAGTATTGTACCCAATGTGTGGCATGAATCTTGCTTTCAACAGAGAGCTTATTGGACCTGCTATGTACTTTGGCCTTATGGGTGAAGGCCAGCCCATTTCTCGGTACGATGACATGTGGGCTGGTTGGGCAGCCAAGGTGGTGTGTGACCACTTGGGCTTTGGGGTCAAGACCGGTTTACCGTATCTGTGGCACAGCAAAGCCAGTAACCCTTTCGTGAACCTGAAGAAAGAGCATAAGGGACTCCACTGGCAAGAAGATATGGTTCCTTTCTTCCAAAACCTTCGTCTCTCGAAAGAATCTGACACCGCGGCTAAATGCTACATGGAGATTTCGAAGATGACAAAGGAGAATCTCACCAAAGTGGATCCTTACTTTGAGAATTTGGCAGATGCAATGGTCACTTGGCTTGAGGCATGGGAGGAGCTTAACCCGCCGGTTAAGAATGAGGCGTGCGATGACAAGCCGGTTAAGAAGGACAATGGCAAAGACGTCAAGGCCAAGTGATAAAGATAATAATGTGTGATGATGCATTGTTGCTACTTGAATAAATATGTTGTGACTTGTGAGTCTTTCTTACTATACAATCTTGTATTTTTACTTTTCTCCGTTTTGGACGTGTGCGTGATTGTGTAATAATAATTTGATAAGTATTAAGCGTGATTTGAAGAATAAGAATAATAATAACTTTGTTTTTAATAACAAGCATGGATAACTTCGTTGATTTTTGACGTTGTCTATATCTTTTTTTTTTGTCGTTTGGTGAGAAATAAATTTGTATCTCAACTATGCTTATTGATAATGCCGCTTATGGGAGTGTCTTTCTCAGGTAGATGTAATATGAGGTAGGTATTTTTACCGCAACAAGTGTTTTTTTCCTCTTGATCTTATCTGTAAAAAAAAACCAAAATTAAAGAATTGAATATGACAATATTGACTTTTTTGGGTGTTTAGAGATGCACTTCGTGACGGCAAAAAGAGATGCATTTCATGTTCCTAACGTACACGTGTGAGGTTTATTGTTTTCTTTTAGCCTTTTAACAATAATAGTTTTTAAAAAGAATATTTGGTAAATGGTTTTAATAGTAGTTTTTGTTGTCTTATGCTATATAATAAGTTATAAGTTGTTTGTATTTTTAGTGCTTAGTCTTGGAATGTTACTTCTCGTAGAGTATATGATAATGAAACTTAAGGGTCGGTTTCTCTTTAATAGGGATTAGCAGACTTTTAAAGGAAAAACTTAACCCGGTTGCGTTAATCTTCTTCTAAAGTTTTAGTTTTATCTAATTATAGGTTGATATGTATGTATATCCCAACTTGATTGTATCTAATTAATAGGTTAGTTTCATTGTACCTATTTTTATTTTAATAAAAAAGGGTTGACCTAAAACAAAAGGAAAATGTGGAAAACATGTCTCCTCCGTCTATTGATTTTTTTTTTTTAATTTGGATTTACAAAGAAAGGTCGAATATTAACCTCCAAAAAAACTGTCACCTGCCAATATAAATTTTTAAAAGAATTAGAGTAAATTCTTTGACCATAATTTTACAGATTTAAAGAAAATTAACGATGTGCTAATCTATTTAAGTCTATATATAAAATTAATATATATAATCATTCAAAAGAAAAAAGAAAAACACAATTGTCTTCGGATTCTTATAGAATCATTCAAAACCATTTAATAATTTCATGGAAAATGCTAAACTGAACAGATCGAGGACGTGTGTTCAGCAGTTCTATAAACAAATTGAAATACGTATGTGCTAAGGAAAAAAATCAGGTTCTATCCGTCTTGCAAGGCGACTTAAACAATCTCCGTTGACCAAATTGAATAAAACAAATATACCAAATTTCCAATAATATGTTTTTGAAAGATATATTTGTTTACAAAAGTGATGTCAAAACCCAAACAAAACAAAAAAACTGTTTATTATAATGTATATATATTGGAGATAACAAAGAATATCAGAACCTCACCAAAAAAAAAAAACAAAGAATATCAGAAAAAAATATTATAAACAAACTCAATTATGAGAGCATGAGTTCTTATATGGTGAAGTATGGGTATATTCAAAAGTTAAGCCTCCCCTCATCATTTTTGTCAATGTCTTTAAAGTAAACCCATCTCTTCTTTCCTAATCAATATCTTCTATATATAAGAGACACTTGTGTAACGCATATACACTTCTTGATTCTGTCGTTGAGAAAAAGATATCAAAAACCAATTTACTCAATAGGGAATGAAGAATCCGATAATGACTACATGGAGAAAAGTGAAGTCTTTTGGGCATACGAGCTCTACAACGACGACGCCCTCGTTGACGAAGAGCAAGTCTTGTTATGGCTCTTTTCGTCTCGAGGATGCTAAGAGCGAAGAACCAAAAGGAAAGACGAAGAAAGAGTCGCCTTCACATGGGTTTTTCACGGTTTACGTTGGTCCGACGAAACAGAGAATTGTGGTGAAGACGAAACTTCTGAACCATCCTTTGTTCAAGAACTTGTTAGAAGACGCAGAGACTGAGTATGGATATAGACACGATGGACCTATTGTTCTTCCTTGTGAGGTTGACTTCTTCTTCAAGGCTTTGGCGGATATGAAGTCTAATGATCATCATGGTCATCATGATGATGGTGATGATGATTATGATGATGATAGTTTCATTAACTCTCCACTTTGCGGTATATGTAGTCCGTATAGATCATACGGTGGTGGTGCGGATCTTATGGCCATGAGACGGAACGGGTCATACAAGCTTCTTCGATCTCCGTCTTTGTTCAAGTTGAATAGATTTTGAAACTTCTACATTATATATCTAAGTTCATGTTCATAACATTACCGTATACTTTTTTTTTTTTTTGGTATGAGTGGAAATGTGAAAGAAAACACTCTCACTTCTCCTTAATCTTAAATAATTAGCTTGAAGTACTTTTCATATATTTTGATGTCGGCTTATATCATATTTGACACATTGTTATTATTGATATATGTATATGGTTTGTATCTTAATATAGTTTGATTTCGGATTTGTACTTTAATATACATAAACATGTTTAGAGACTTAAATGTTTTGTATGAGTGAGACTTTTAATTAGTGAAAGAGATAATTACTAAAAGCGTTAAATTTATCAACACTCTCAGGTACCACCAATCTACAAACTGTTTTCTTGAGTTTACAAATTTTTTTTTTTAAATTATATATAAGATTATATTGTTTTATAATTTCAGTTGAAACGTAAATTAAAAATTGAGACTTATATAAGAACTATGTTTTATAAAGAAGATATAAAATGTTATAATTTATGATATGTGCGACCTTTGTTTTGAAAAGACGCATATAAAACGAAAAGAGTAATTAATTCCCTTAGATGATTCTAAGAGGCACGCATCATTGCCCCGTCTAATAGTACTTGAATTATTCAAATGAGTGAATTGGTAAGCATCCAAATTAGTTATGATAATTTATAGTAGCAAATTAGGAATCATGATATTACATTGTTATATGTATGACGACTTTAATTTTGGTTTGTATCCGACTGAAAATAGTACATATTATTATCTTTTCCGTCAAAGAGGCGGCAGGAATGAATTGTGGCTCATATTGAAAGTTGAAAATAATGTAATCAATTGGTGTGGTTCATACCAAGTGTGTATTTAAGTATGTAATTGTATTGTTTGTTATCTTAATTAATACTCTCCAACTTATGGTGAATCATGCAACGTGGGTGACTCATAATTAAGTTTTTGAAGAAAAAAAAAAACTTACATACTTTCATGCAACCATCCCAAATACAAAAGTGTTATATATTTGGATGTTACTTGTAGAATAAACATTTAGACGCATATATCCGGATAATCTCTATTTTTCGTTTTTTTTTGTCGACTTTTTTTTCGTTTTATTAATCTTCTGATGTTGTACAAAACCTAGTTTCAAATTCTGGATTCAGAAGAATTAACAAACAAATGCAAGTAATCTTAAAATGTCTGAAAACTGAAACTTTAAGATGGTTTAGTTCAGCAGTATGCATATGGTTTAGTTACATTTATCTCACTTATCTTACTGTATCAAGTTTTCTAATAAGAGCTTTGCCCCCGAATGTGTCCATTTAGTAAAAGAGAGAAACAAAAATAATTTTCTAGAAATTTATTTTGTGTTCTATATAACACGAGAAAGCATTTTTTTTGTAAAGACTATATGTTTTTCTTCGATTATAAGAGACCGTTACATCCAAGTACCACGGTTAAACTTGAGAAATACCGGTTAACTAAAATATTTGTTCTCTCTACGAAACAAAATTCAAGATAAAACCGGACGAATCACCTTTAACCGGCGTTGCTCGAGAATAAAATAATTGTTTCAATTTTTTTTTTTTTTTTTTTAAATTGTGGTTTAGGTCTTTTGCTTGCACATCACAATGATGACGTGTACAAAATCTGGGATTTGAAACAGTTAATTTTTGTCTTCGGATTTGCATTTTTTCAAAATTTGAATTCTCGCTATAACGGAATCAAGGCCATTTGAAGAAGAAGAAGAAGAAGAAGGGCCATTTATATAACCCTTTCTCTCATTTTGAAACCCTAAAATTCTTCTTTTCGCAACTTGTCTCTAGAAGTCTCGCATCAATGCTTTTTTCTTTTTCCGGCGATCCAACACTAGAAATGGCGTTGGCTAAGGTTATCGATCTTCGATTGCTCCGTTTACGAATTGTCTTTCTCTGTTGCTTGATTCAACTTTTAACATTTATGGTTTGTTCGATTGATCCTTACAAATTATGTTTCTCTGTTGTTTGATTCGATTTTTTAACATTTAGGGTTCCTTCGATTGATCTCTTTAGGAATTGTATTTCTCTATTGCTTGATTCGATTTTTTAACATTTAGGGTTCCTTCGATTGATCTCTTGATTCGATTATCAAACATTTTGGGTTCCGCCGATTGATCTGTTTACTAATTGTTTTTTTCTTTGTTGCTTGATTCGATTATCAAACATTTAGGGTTTAATCGGATGATATTTTAACAAATTGTGTATCTCTGTGCTTGATTTGATTATCAATTTTTTTTGGTTCCGTCGATTGATTAGATCACTGTGACTGTTCTTTAATTTTTTTTTTCCCAATCGGTGTGTTTAATATTCTTTCTTTTATGAGCCGAGAGATCAATCAGTTTTGTTAATTTTCATCGCTACCATCTCGGTGATAGTTTTGTGATTTGCTTGCTTGGGTTTTGACAGGAAGATAAAGAATGTTCTGATTCGTCATTTTCACTGGTGGGTGATGGTGGTGGCTGGTAATTGAAGGTAAAAAATTGTTTCAAACTCTTCTGTTCTGCGTCAATGTGTCTTCGGTTTGTATCTTGCTCTTGTTCTTTATGCTTTACATTATTTCTTTTTTGATGTGACAGATCGTTTCAGGTCTTCATTGCTTGATGAAAAAGAAACATATATCCGCCTAAACTGTAAATTTGATTTCAAATGTTAGTTTACTCCACCATTTCAATACGGTTCTCAAAATTATCTCTCTAACTTTCATAATTTTTTGTGTTTTCTGGAAATTTCAGAAGCATCTAAAGTTTTTCTATGTTGACGTGGAGTTGTATGGGAAGCTCATTGTGGAGAATATGAATATAGTCAATTTAGTTCTTGCTGAAGAACGTATCAGTGGTGAGTTCTCCTACAAATTATATCCTCTAGTTTTCGTCTTCCTGAAATATGTGTTTTTTTTGTGTGCTGATTATTTAGTTCGTTGATGATAATAATGTATTAGTGTTGTTTTGGTTCATCATAGTTACCCGTTTCAGTATAGAAAACTAACCTTGAAGTACTGCTAATCAAAGGAAGCAGCTCTTAGGTATGTAATGTTAATAAACACAAAGTACGATTGTCTTTGCGTTTTATCTTTTTTTTTTTTGTGTTTGGTCTCTTTTGATTTTACTCTTGGAGCAGCATTTATAATGGATTGTCTGCAATCAATTGCAGAATGCATTCATGTGCATTCATTCATGCATTCATTCATGTGCATTCATTCATGCATTCATTCATGTGCATTCATTCATGTGCATTCATTCATGCATTCATTCATGTGCATTCATTCATGTGCATTCATTCATGCATTCATTCATGTGCATTCATTCATGTGCATTCATTCATGCATTCATTCATGTGCATTCATACATTCATACATTCATTCATGCATTCATACATACATCCATGCATCAATACATACATGTATACTTGTCAACTTGCTTCCCTTGCACATTGATAATTTCTGATGACTTGTGAAATCCTGAGAAGGATCAGCTATGTACGGCAAACCCTATGAATGAAGAGGTAAATGGTAATTTTCACTTCCCCCTATTTTATTGACCTCACTCTTAATATTGTATGTGTCAGTAATCTGCGAAGTTCATATAAGTGTGCCTAGAATCAGATCAGTTCATACTTTGGAAAATGGGGTGTGAAGGCATGCGGGTCTTGACGTAAAAAATCATCATGGCCTGGTATTACAAATCCTTTTTTGAATTTTTCCGTATATGTTTTGTGTTGTGCAAGCTGAATATTTTCTTTAACACTCTTAGTTCTACATTTAAATTCCACTCTATGGTTTCATAGTCAATCAACTGGAATATGATGAATACTGCTCAAGCAGCGGCTTATGGAGTACCATATAGAAAATTTATATGAAGGTATGCATGTGTTGTCCCACTCAAGCTTTTGTAAGTGTCGTTAGTATAGTATCCAAACTAAAATTCATATGTCTGTCAATCTGCAAGCAGGGACGATTCAAGGAAAAAGTTACATATGGAAAGAAGTTGAGATATTGAGAAGTAAACCCTGTTGGTACAAAGCACCTTAGTGCTTCATTCATTTTTTCCCTCTGATTATTAGTGTGTGGTAAGAGGAAAATTCTAAGCCATTTATGCATCCATATTTGATGTAGTAGAACTGTAGAAGTGTTATTTTACATGACATTACTTATTTACAGCGTTCTTATAAAAATGAAAACTTTTGGCAGCCACTAAATATGGAGCACTTTGATAGCGTTTGCAAGATGGCAAAGGATTTGTCTACATAATACTGTGGTATGATTCCCATTTTATGGAATTCACATGTGATAATTGATTCTCTGTTTCTCGCTTTTACTTCCTGTTGAATTGAGTTCCAAAATTTCCGAATGGTTCAACTCTGTTTCATGTTGCCTCTTATTTCTTCAGATCAAAGCTGTATAAGCCCATTTCATATAAACTCTATTTGATCTCAAGTTATTTCAGTTTGATGATTTTTTTTTACATTTATTTCCTTGCAGCAAATTTTTCTTTGGAAGAAGAAATAGAAGTAGACAAGTTAGTGGAAATCTTGGTCTGGTTGTTGTGTGCAGTTCCTGGTTGGATGAGAAAAAAGTGCATGTATGGTTGTTGTCCCATCTAAAAATCTTCTTATATTGTATTTTCAGAATTATTTCTACTATTGTTGTTGTGAAAATAACCGTGGAATTTATTGCTTGGACACGCAGGTTCTGCAACAAGTCACTCACATATCTTCGAATGCCAAAAAGTTTCTTAAGTAATGGGTCATACTTTGCATTATAGGTTAGTGTCATATAAAAAAGCTACCTTCAGTTGATGAATGCAATATCATGACCTTTGTTCTTTTTTTTTCTTTCTCATTTGCCTGAGTTTTTGTGTTAATTTGCAGACACTTGTGATCGAGTTGCTGATATAAAGACTCGAGGCCCTCTGCTATGAAGTGTCCTATTGCTTTCTGCGAAGCAATTGGTTCTGGATTTGTTTTCGAGAGGGTATGTACTGGTTCAGTAATTTTTCTTTGACTTTTATGTTAATCTAATCACAAGGATGATTCATGGCTATTGTTTGTAGCTTTACAAAACATCAAAGAGCAACAGAATTCCAAGGTTCTTAGTGAAGGCTTGGTATTGATGGTTCTGCTGTTGATGACTTTGGTTTCTCATTTTGAATCTTTAGGTTTTGAAATATCTTCCTACTTATATATTTCGGCCCCCTAACTTTCCTGCTTTTTAAGACTATAATATCTAAGTTATTTTTTACAGGATTTGATAGATTCTTGTAAAGATCTTGGGATGCAATCTAGCACAGCTACCACCAGGAATGCTACAATTAAACTTTTGGGTGCTTTTCACAAGTTTGTTGGCTAAGAATGCAAATTTTTACTGTAAGCCGTTTCTGCTTTGTCTAACTGGTGTTTGTTAAGAAAACATAATTTAATCATGAATTAAACTGTGTTATTTTTGTCTGCAGACATCAAAATGGTTTCTTAAGCCTGCACTTATTGTTGAATATGAGAACCCCATTTGAGGTACACTGGTGTGGATTGTCGTAATTTTTGGATTTCTAATTTTTCTTGCTGTATTAATATTTTGTTCCTGCAGCTTCAAAGAGAAGGTATGAGTAGTAAGATTACCCCTGTCATTTTAAGGGATTTAAAACTCCTAACTGGAAGTTGCTTTACAATTTGGAAATCTTCTAGGTTGTCTACTCTAAACCTAACAATACTTTTGTAGTTATGTTGAAATTTTTAATAAGCTTTATAGTTGAAACTTAGTCTTTTCTACTTTTGTAGGTGCGAGTGGAGTCAACTGGAGTTGTAAATAAAATTATAGAAGAGGCTAACAAACATATCAAACCAAAAAGAATCGGTATGAGGTCAGAAGTTTTTCTATAATTCTCTGTTACTATTAGTGTTTTAATTCCAAGTTAGATATACATGTCAAGCAATCAATAAAATTTGGTACATTTTAATATAAAACTGACTGCTTGTTTTACCAAATACTTGAGTGATCTACTTCTAGGAGAAAACAAGAGCACATGAGAATGTACCTTGCATGTTTTTGATTTGTGGCTTGGTGTTGTGTGTACAAATTGACTGTCTTTTTTATTTTGTTAATGCAGATTCCTTACACAGCTCTAGTATACGAGAAAATGGGAGCAGAAGGACGTACAAATCTTTTTGGTTGGTTGAAAGTTACACACTTAAAGTTTATACCTCCCCATCATCTTCAATCAGTGATTAGGTCTGTGTGTAATGACTTCAATTTGTTATACTTCTATGAATCATTCCAGGACAAATCAACAGTTGTGATAAAATCAAGCGAAAGATGCATCTCCAAGATCTTGAGAGTCAGTAGACAAGAACCCAATAGTTGCCTGAAAAATTCAGACCAAATTTGTTCAAGGTACCTCTCCATGATCTGGCTGTTTGATCTCCTCTTCGTTCCTTTTTTTTAATTTTAGTCATTCGACTACTAACGATGTGTTTTTTCAGAATGGTTGGGCTAGTGACAAAAGATGTTTCAAGATTTCAAAATCGACTTCTAGTGGTTCCTATTGAAGCAAGGAAACAGAACAGTGAGATTTTGTTTTTTCACTATATTTTTTTCTCTATTGGCAACAGATTTGGTGTGATTGAGATTTGTTGATGATAAGATATTCCCTTTTGTTTTCAGAGTTAGAACATTTGCATGGATTTAATGCGAAGTAAAGAATCGCATTTTCAAAGAGTTGGGAGAGCCATACTTTTTCTTAATACTTCATACTAAGGTAAACTGTTCATCTTGTTTCTTTATCATAAAAGAGTAAAGTAATTTTCTGTTTCCCTACACTCATATATATATTTTTTTCTTGCTTCATTCATGTGCAGGGTCGTAAAGACAAATATGTGCCTAGTCGAGACAATTGAAGAGTCAGGTATAACCCCTCCAACTCTCCTCCCCACTCAAACGGACAAACCAAACACAAACAACAACAACAAACTTGACTACCACTCAACACAAAATAACACTAAACGTAAATAACAAGCACGAAACACAAGATAAACCGAACAAACTCCACACTCTAACCATAAACTTCACACTCAAACCATAAACTTCACACTCTAACCATAAACTTCACACTCAAACCAAAAACTTCACACTCAAACCAAAAACTTCACATACAACGAAACACAAGATAAACCGAACAAACTTCACACTCAAACCAAAAACTTCACACTCAAACCAAAAACTTCACATACAAACCAAAAACTTCACATACAACGAAACACAATACAAAAATGAACAAAAACTCTACACTCAAACCATAAAACTTCATGCCCAACGAAACACACGACGAAAACTTCACATGCCACTGAACACAATATAAACATCGACAAAAACAAACAAAATTCAACAAAACCATAAACTTCACACTCAAATCATAAACTTCACATGCCATGAAACACAATACAAAAATAAACAAAAACTCTACACTCGGACGATAAAACACAATTCATGCCTAACGAAAAAAAAACTCCACGAACTTCAAATTTCGCATGTCACTAAACACAACATAAAAATCGACAAAAATAAACAAAACTCGACAAATTCATAGTCACCCGAAAAACAAAAATGAACAAAAACTCTACACTCAAACCATAAAACTTCATGCCCAACGAAACACACGACGAAAACTTCACATGCCACTGAACACAATATAAACATCGACAAAAACAAACAAAATTCAACAAAACCATAAACTTCACACTCAAATCATAAACTTCACATGCCATGAAACATAATACAAAAATAAACAAAAACTCTACACTCGGACGATAAAACACAATTCATGCCTAACGAAAAAAAAACTCCACGAACTTCAAATTTCGCATGTCACTAAACACAACATAAAAATCGACAAAAATAAACAAAACTCAACAAATTCATAGTCACCCGAAAAACTAGAGTTTCACGGATAACGACAACTATTTTTAATTTACGAGTGTTAAATGCTGTCTATATATATTATCAATAACAATCCATAGAAATTTATTAACGATTTTAAATGTTACTTACTCGGTGAATTTTTTGTGTTATTTTTCCTATTAAAAATATTTCTTGTTCACTATGCAACATATCTTGTCGCAATTTCATTTTTTCACCTTTCTTAATTTCCCGAACTGTATATACAAGGCTATATCATGTAAATGACATTATTAGTGTGTCTCTTCTGCAATGTATGAAGATAATTTTAGTACACAATATTTCTCCATGTGAGTACTACACATACTGTCACATTATTATTATTATTTTCAGGGATTGTAACTTATTTACTTACTAACCGTAAAGCTCTTTCGACTCTTTTTCAAAAGAAAAAAAAAAAAAAAAAAAAAACCTTGATTGTTTAGAAACTCTGTCAAACAAAGCTCGAGCTAAAATGATTTGACCGTGTTTGAATTGTGAAAATTGGTTTTCATTCAATATACAGTCATACAAATATCGTTTGAAGAGTTAATTTATACGACGAATTAGAATCTTAGGTCAATTATCCAGTGACCAATCACAACCAATATTAAGTGTAACTAAACATGATGTATCATATGCCATTTCAATTTTGCCGATCCATCGAGAGTCCGTAGTCATATAGTGTTTTGGTAAAAAAAGAAAAGAACACAAGAAAAAGAGACTAAAATATCAATATAACTAAATTAATAATGGGGTATGGAGAAGAAGGATCTAAAGGCATTGGCTACATCAAGGATCTTCTTGCTAGGAGCGTCCCTCATTGGCAATGTTGGCCCGGCTATCAGAAACCACCGGGCTATCGACTCTGTTACCTCTGAACAAAACACCTTCCACAGTATTACACTACCGATCCAGCCGGGTTCCAACAAGTACCTATCTCCTCTACACACACTCTTTATTATCGCCTTCGCACACCTCTCTGCTGTTTCCACTGGCAATACACTTACTTGCACCTAGTTAATTCACATATAATTAATCTCTCAATTTTACATAGCAACTAGTACATGGTCACTGGAAGTGGTGAATTTGAATAACACCGTAAATGTGAATAAATAATTGGGTCCTCACTCCTCAATCAAACAAAACTTGGTTAATTAATCTAACTAGAATTTCTCAATTCATTTTCATTTTATATAACTTGAAATAATTATTAATCTTTTAGGCCCATGCATAATTTTAACCATTCAAAAACATTAGAAATTCGACCAGGAATGCTTACATCTCTGAGCTCTTTATTAACAACGATTTTGCCATCCTTTGTCATGAACTTGCCTCTACTCAACTCCGAGTCGACGACCCCAGGTGCTACTATTGTAACACTTATCTCTGATCCAAACTCTGTTCTTAGTGTTTCGTAAAAAGCGATCAGAGCGGCTTTACTTGCCTAAATTCAGTGACAGAAATTTAAGATACCAAATAAATGTTTTAGATTAAGAGGTCCTTAAGTAAATTATAAGAGGCAAATGAATGCAAAAATGTTACACAATAAAAGCTCAATCGGGGTGACGCAATGTAACCACATCCAGAAGCAACCGCGACGATCCTTCCTCTAGACTCCCTTAGGTATGGAGACGCAAAGAAGGTGCAATATACAGATCCCCAGAAGTTTATGTCCTATGCAACAAAGGGAAAAAATGGTTACAAAGGGTTAGTAGAAAACATATTATCTTAGAAAGATCTTTGGTCTTGAGTATATTGACCATAGCCGGTGTAGCCTTAGAGAGATCATCGATGTCCTCAAACAAATACAGAGGAGCAACTCCTGCATTTGTCACTAGATGATCCACTGCTCACATGAAAACATTAAAATAAACCCAACAAAAATTAAGATCAGCAAATATTATTCTCCTTTATTTTTTGGATTGTCGTCCTATATATGTTACGATAATACGATTGATCCAAATCTATGTTTGTGTTTATAAATGCAATATATAATTATATCTTTTCATGTGTTTTTATGTAAGTTGCAAAGTGTCAACGCAAAATATCCTAAAGCAACTATTAAGATACTAGAGAGCCTAGATCATAGTGTTTCAGTTGCATGCAAAACCGAAAAAAAAAAACCGTGGCTACTTATAATAAATTGTAAATGCAAACAAACCATCTAGACATCTAGTACTACTTATATTGACTTACATCGGCCAAAATGAAGAACCGTGGCTCGGATAAAACGTTCACAATCTTGTAGTTTGGAAACATCAGCGACTAAGGGCATGACCTCAGGGGAGCCATAGAGCTCAGCTAGAGCCGCGACATGGAAGAGAGGCTCTCCTCTTATGTCAACAAGTGCTAAATACGCTCCTCTCTTCCCATACTCATACGCTAAAGCCTATACACACACACACTATCATACCCACTTTAACTACCCTATTCATCAACCATTATGTTATTTTTTTGTTGACTAATTACCTCGCCGATGCCAGAAGCTGCTCCGGTGATGACAACGACTTTTCCGGCGACATTCTCCGAGAAAAGATTCCGGCAGATGGAGAAGGCGGATTTGAGTCTTTGGTAAGTTGGGTAGAAGACGACAAGTGCATACAAGGTTAAAAGAGGAAACAAGAAGTTAATGATCTTGTTGATTGAATCCATGCATGGAGTCCCTTAATTTGCTTGCCTCTTTCTATTTGTTTCTTCTTCTTTATTCTGTGCTAGAAGCTCTCATGGCAATGTGGCAATCCTACAAGCTGATACGTCAACACGTGTTTCAGCATCAGCTACACATATTTATAATACTTTTCCTTCTAGATCTTTAAATTTGATTTTATTATAATTTTATTATCCAAAAATACAACATTTTGATTTTAATCTTTATTTTTTTTTACAAATCTAATGACAATAATTTTGTTTTATTTTGTAAATCTATTGAATATAAGATGAAGGATGATCGAGTCTAAATATAGATTATATGCTCTTTGCTTTTTTCTTCATCAAGAAGATTAGTTGTTGCCTGTTGGGAGTCATTTTGAAAAATTTACATTCACGTAGTTGAATTTAAAAGCTTTTAACTTCACTTCTAGCAAAGATTTAGCCCTCGGTAATGCTCTCATACCTAGCGACAACACCTTACCTTCAATGTTTCTAAGAACTCATCCAACTCCACACTTGGACGTTTCAGCGGACCAAGCTCCATTTGTATTACAATTAGCCTAATCGTGAGGAGGAGGCGTCCATTTAATATTTTGATTACGAGATATGCTTTGCTATCCTTTTCTTTTGACATTCCATTCAAAGGATGAGAATTCCTTACCTTTTAAAACACAATCATTGTTTTATTGTCTACTTCAAGGGATGAGAATTTCTTTACTCTTAAAACAAAATCATTCATATTCTTTCACAATCTTCAACAAAATTTAAGGAATTAATGAACTGCTTACACTAAATTGAGGACGAAATTTATTGATATTTAAAACATGGTGCATATTTTGGTAGATAGAGTGTGACCACTCACAAAGTCAAAAGGGTATATTGATGTGTTTAGACTTTTAAAAAAGAAATTTGAAGTCCTAAAAATCACATTTTCAATAGTCTAAATTTATCTTCTTAATGATACTCAAAATGTTTCTAATTTTTTTAATAGTCCAACACCCTCATTTTGATCTTGATGGGCCTTGCTTTTTAAATAAATAAAAATGTGATTTCATTTTCTATTAAGTCAAAGCCTAATATAAAGTCCATAATTTTTACTTTCACTAATTTAGAATAATTTTGACCGTAAAAATCTCAACCGTTCACTCTCTAACAATTTGTTAATGATAAGATCAACTAAATGAACGACTCCTAATCTACATGAAATCTGAATAGATAAGATGAAAATCTTAAAAGATAAGTATTTTATGGCTAGTTTATCTGATATATAAACTGAAGATAACTCTGGATCTAGAGAAAACATTTCGCAGAACTAGAAAAAATCTCTGTACGTATCTTGCAATTAGCTATTCAGAAGAGTCGTCGTTCTCATCAGCAAAGTGAGATTCAAGGTTTCGATAAACTCGATGGTTCGTATTCGTAAATAGTAGCCAAATTTTCAAATTTACTTTATATTAAACGGAAAATAAAGATTTAGATTTGTTAGATCTCAACCATTTAATGTCTGAATCAGAGTACAAAATTTTCTTAGATTGACAAGATTAAATATTTGGTAGATTAGAGAATCATATGTTGTTGTATATGTATCTGCTATAATGATATGCTAGCTAGGCAATAATCCGAAATTCATGATCCGATCCGGAGTCCGCTCTGATCCCTTGTGAATAGAAGCTATTAGATGTGACAGATTTGGTTGGATACAAACACAGATCCGATCTGATACGGATACAAATCCAGATCTGGTCATATACGAATACAAATCCAGATCCGGTCATATACGAATAGGTCATGTACGAATAGTTAGCCATATAATATGCAGATTTAAACCGGATATTTGGATCCGATATATATTTTTGTTTTTCCTTAATTTAAATCTTAATTATTTGAGTTTAAGAAAATAGGGAAAATATTTAGATAGAACAGACTCGGTTGGATACAACACATATCCGGTTAGATACGGGTACAACCAGATCCGGTTATATACGGATAGGTCATATAGGAATAGTGAGCCACATATAATATAGTATGCAAATTTAAACCGGATATTTGGATCCGAGATATTTTTTTGGTTTTTTTTTTTTTTTATTCAAAACTTAGGGGGAGTTATTGGGAGATTGATTTTAAAAGAGTTTGTGGATTTCAAAAGTTTAGAGATTTTAAGATTCTCAAAAAGATTTGTTGATTCTAAAATAATGTTTAACCAGATTTTTAGAGTTTAATAGATTCTTCATATGATAGACTCTACAAATCCTTATGATAATTGCAGTATTTTGAAAGTTGTTTTTAATGACTAAATAGGTAAGGAATCATTAAACCAATAACACTAGAATTTGATAGAATTGGAAAATCAATAAATACTCAACTTTTTGAATAACAAAGGATTTTAAATAGAATTACAAAATACATACACAAATAACAAGAGATTTTAGTAAGAATCTAAGAATCCGTACACCAATAACAATAGAATCTTAAACTCTAAAAATCTTTAAAAGTCATTCTCCCAATAACCCCCCCTTAATTGATTCCATTAACAAAAACTTCTGATTCTTCTTCTTAATTCAAATATTCTTCTTCTTCTCGTGAAGCAGGAGGATCAGGTACCAACTTCTACTACTTTCTCGACTTCGAAACCCACCGCTGGTAACAGAACCATTCCGCCGCGAGATGTTACCGATCTTAGTAGCGTCGACGAAGGAGGATCCGAGTTTGGGGAAATCGGAACTGCTGATGCTGAAAGCGTGGTCCGAAGAACCGGTAGTGATGTCTCCGCAACAAAGAGAGCGAGAAGTGATCCGATAGCGTCTCCGGCGAAGAAGCGAGCAATTGTGTTCCCGGATTGCTTAAAGCCATCGGATTTGGCTCACCCGGCGACGCCCTGTAACGTTGGGGCAACGCCTTCTTCGTAGCCCTGGGCATATAATCCGGATCCGAAAAAACCGATCCGAACCGATCCGAAAAATCCGATTTGGATCGGTTTCGGTTACTATGTAAAAACCGATCGGATTTTATGTTGAACATGATTCGGATTTCGGATTTAAACCGATCCGAACCGAAATCCGATCGGTTATCTGCTAACCCGAATACACATGGTCTAATACATCACATAGTATACATATAATCTCTATGTTTTTGTACTTCAACGCTCAAACCTCTTTTTTACGTCGGATTGTTCGGATTTAGAGTGTAAGTTTCGGATTTATAGTGTAGAATCCGAATCCGAAACCGATCCGAAATATGATTCGGTTTAAACTCGGATTTGTAATAAAATTTGAAAACCGATCCGAATCCGAAAAAATCCGAACCGATCCGATCCGAAAACCAGTCGGATTCAAATCGGATTCTATATATCCCAATCCGAAAATCCGAACGCCCAGGGCTACTTCTTCGTCTGCTTCGGAATGTTGTAGGCAATTCTCGAAAGCTGGGGATTGGGAAGGAATGTCTGGTGGTAATTGGGAAGTTTCTGCAGGTAAAATTTTGCTTTGTGATTGTGTTTGTACTTCTCGGATTCTTGGTTAATGAATCTTAGTTTGGGAATATTAGTGATGGAATTTGAGAGAATTTGTGGTTTTAGGTGGCTTTGATCGTGTAAGGGTACATCCTAAGTATCTGCATACTAATGCAACATGTCACACATGGTCCCTTGGAGGTACGTTTTGAATGAAGTTTGATGCAATCTATTAAACAATGTTTTTATGCTATGAAATTGACATTGTTATCTCTTGCAGCTTTTGCTGAGCTACTGGACAATGCCTATGATGAGGTGGGATGCGTTTCTAATTTTTAGAAATATCTCAAAGGTGTGCATTTTTATTTCTGGTTTGGTAGTATTTGTTTCTCATCTTTTGAATATCAGGTTCGTACTGGAGCCACATTTGTTAATGTAGACGTGCTCCAGAACAGGAAAGATGGACGCAAGATGATCTTAATTGAGGGTATACAGTTGATTTTAGTGTTTTGTTGTATCAAGTTTTGATGATGCATCGCTTTCTTGATCCTAGCATACTTATGTTTGAAAATGCAGACGATGGAGGTGGGATGAATGCTGAAATGATGCGGCACTGCATGTCTCTAGGATATTCTGCCAAGAGCAAAATTGAAGGCACCATTGGAAAATGTAAACATTTCTTTCTCCTGCGAAATAAATATATGTCACATGTTTAGATCAAGACCCTTTAATTCATATACTTCTTACAGATGGTAATGGATTCAAGTCTAGTACAATGAGACTCGGAGCTGATGTCATTGTTTTCTCACGTTGCCTTGGAAAAGATGGAAAGAGGTTCGTTATTTGTTACCACACCATTACCCCTTTCAGCTCTGTGTTTTTTTAATGGTAATATGTATAATGTATCGATTGAAAAACTCAGCTAAAGTTACATACATCTGACCATATTCCTATTTGCTTGATTTTTCTTTAGCTTGACAAAGAGCATTGGCCTTCTATCATATACGTTTCTAAGGAGCACTGGAAGAGAGGAAATAGTTGTACCAATGGTAACCTAACTTTATTTAACTCTATGGAACTGTTGGGAAAAGAAATAAACTTGATAATTTTGAATGGTTGTTAGCATGTGCTTCAGCTGTGAGCAAAATATATTATGCAGAGAAAGCATATCACTCATACAATCGAAATTGCTTCATATCAGTAACAGATGTTTTTTTTCTAAAGTTTGTTAAGATTTTATAGCCAGTTTATCTTTTCTAATCTTCTTCTAATGATGATTTAAATAAAAGCTGGAATATGAAAGAAGTGGTTTTGAATGGTGTCCAATGCGGTCTTCGGCTAGTGATTGGGAGAAAAATGTGGAAACAATGGTTCAATGGTCGCCATTTGCTACTGAAGAAGATCTTCTTCGTCAGGTAAAGCTTTTTCCTTAGTTCCATAAGAGCCTTTATTACAATGAGAGGCCATAGGAAAACAAGGAAGTCGATTCTCAAATGTAACTACTTATTTACTAATATGTGAGAATGCTCCCACTAATCTATTGCTCTGACTATTGTAGCTTAATCTAGTGAAGAATCATGGCACAAGGATAATCATATATAACCTTTGGGAAGATGACCAAGGAATGTTAGAACTTGATTTTGACACTGATCCACATGTATGTATTTTTATTGCTGGATATACATAGATTACGTTTTGCAATGATGCACAAAATTGCTGCTGTATCCATAAAATTGACGTATGGTTTGTTGCAGGATATCCAGCTTCGAGGGGTCAATCGGGATGAGAAAAATATTGATATGGCTTCTAAAAACCCGAACTCTAGACACTTCCTGACATACAAGTACTCACTCAGGGTATAAATATTCTTTCCATCTTTCCTTAGTTGTGGTTATTTTCGAAGTTAGTTTGGTTCAGTCCCCTGTTAAAATCACTGTGATAGTTCTTAAATGATAATAACTGAGGATTCTCATGGTGGATAGAAATCAAAAGCTTGATTTTGAGAGATTATGAATCCCATCATTTGTTGGCTGAACTTTTTTGTCTTTAAGTTTGTCACCATTTGTCATGTTCACAGAGTTACGCATCTATTCTCTACAAAAAGGTTACTGGTGGTTTCCGTATCATTCTCCGAGGAAAATATATTGAGTATCACGACATAGTAAATGACATGATGCTTACAAAAAAAGATACTTATCACCCACAAAATAGGGATGGTGAATGCGCTAATAACTCAAGTGTATGTTTTTCCTAATTTAACATAATTTTAGAACTTTTCATGTAATTTTATTCATGCAAGCAGCTTTTTGATTACTAAAAAAATTATCTCCTGTGCGATATTCACAGTTGTCTGCTGAGGTGACCATTGGATTTGTGAAGGATGCAAAACATCATTTGGATGTTCAAGGCTTCAATGTTTACCACCAACATCGCCTTATTATGGTTTCTGTTTCTTTTTGCTAAATTTTTTACACTCGATGCCTTAAATGCTGCGTAAATAAGATCAACTTCACACTTTCATTTTTATAACTTCTCATATGTTTTTCAGCCATTTTGGAGGGTATGGAATGCAGCAGGAAGTGATGGTCGTGGGGTCATCGGTATTTTTTTTAACTAGAAGGACTAATATTTGATTAGCTGTATTAACGAGAAGTCTAATGTTAAGTTTATTCTACTAATAAGGTGTCTTGAACGCTAATTTCATTGAGCCTTCCCATGATAAGCAAGGTTTTGTGACCGGAAAAGTTTTGTCTAGACTCCAGGCAAAGCTACTTAAAATGCAGAAGGATTATTGGTTTGATTCTCTTCTCGTGCTTTTTAAATCATGCTTCCTTAGCTTGGCTGATGCATTGAACCATTTGGGTTGATGTTTTCTTTCTGGTTTTACTCAGGAGAGCTAATTGTGGGAAAATTGGATATGCTCCGAGGCAAGGCAAAAATTCTGCTAAGGATACTAACGACAGAGGTACACTATCTTTTTTTACTTAACATCGGAATTTTTACTTGTACTGAGCAATCTCTGGGAACATGTTCCACTTTGTAGAATCGTCACCAGAACATGATCCTAAGCTTGAAAACTCCTCTTCCGAATCTAACAAACGAGCAACGCCTCCAGGAGCTTGTGATGTGGAGGTCATCAATAGTGATAATGACTATGATTGTGATTCTTTACCAGAAATAAATCTCAATGAGCTTCCTGAGGTTCCTGTCACTGACCTCACTGAGGCTCCTGTCACTGACCTCACTGAGGCTCCTGTCACTGACCTCACTGAGGTTCCTGTCACTGACCTCACTGAGGCTCCTGTCACTGACCTCACTGAGGCTCCTGTCACTGACCTCACTGAGGCTCCTGTCACTGACCTCACTGAGGTTCCTGTCACTGACCTCACTGAGGCTCCTGTCACTGAGCTCACCGAGGTTCCTGTCACTGAGCTCACTGAGATTCCAGTCACTGAGCTCACTGAGCTTCCTGAGAAGGTCACATCCTCTCTCTTTTATGTCCTTATGGGACACTTTCTCCAATATATATATAGGATTTGAGGACATAACCTTTTCTATTTCTTCTATCAGAGTTCTGAACTACTCAAGCCTCAGTCTAGTTCGCTTACCCTCAGTCAATTGGAAGAAGAGAATAAAACCTTAAAAGAAAGGTTTGTTACCACCTTACATACCATATTAATTTGCCTATAAGATTCATATTTTTTGTTTGCGTTAACACTGGACAATGAAAGCTGTGTTTTATGTTTTTTTCAGGCTCGCTAGAAAAGAAGAACTTTTCATCTTACTGCAAATGGACTTGCAAAGTGAGAGAGAGTTTCGCAAAACACTTGAAGCTGAGTTAACAACACTTACCAATGACTTCTTCCCGTCGTTAAGAGCAGATCTAGAAAAGGTGGGGAAAGAGCTAAATCCAACTCATAACTCATAATTTTGTAGTCATTATGATTTTATCACCAAATGAACTTTTACAAATTTTCTTACATGATATTTAATTTGATATGGTATTGCATGTATACATTATATGTTTATTCAATATCCCAAATTAATATAAGTTTGCTTTTTCTTTCTTTATATTTTTGTATCGACTATATTTGTTTTTTTTTATCTTTTTGGTAAAAATATCATTTTCTTTGTTACAAAAGGAAACACATACATAATAGACAAACAACATATTCATTTATTTTAATTTAACAAGACATATCTTACAATCGAGATGAGAGAGGGAGAGATGCACGATGAGACTGACCAGACCCAAATTAAACATTGAACCCTAACTTAACATCCAAGCAAACTGAGACATAAAACAACACACATCGACCACTTGATAGTGTAAAAGAGCTATTTTAATTTTTGGAAATGAGAAATGCTTCTTTGTTATTATCCTTATTCTTCTCAATGTCTCCTTTCATCTTCTCCTCTATGTCAATGGTATCTTCCATGTCTGCGCTGTCTTGTGGCACCAACGTTCTCATCTGTGAGTTGCAAACCATCGAGCTTAGCCTCACAACGTCGACGACATGCTCAGATATGTCTTGAAGCTTAATCACTGACGGCTCCAAAACTTTCGTCCCAGGTTTCTTGTAGATCACGAAAAGAACCATTTGAAGCACTCCAAAGATGAAACCCAAAACATTTGGCAGCTGCAAAAATATGTCAAGATTATTAGCTCACAACAAAAACATTTACGTTTTAGCGATAATACAAACATAATTACTTTGAAATACAAATATGAAACTACTAAAAACTTACGGCAATGTTCTTGTCTTTAAGGAGAAGCCCGTAGAAGAACCACATGACGGCCGATAACGTGAGGAAGAAGGAGAGACCAAAAGGCATAAACTCGGCGCTCTTTGTTTTGATCACTTTCCTCTGCGTTAATGAATGTTTGTTATATATACATAACGATAATTAAATTTTAAAAAAATTGTATATCATAAATAAGAAAGAGAGACTTACAATGATGCCAAGAGGAGCAACGAAAACAGATAGAGCAAAGACCATACAAATGTATCCAAGAACTTGAACACGTTTATTGCCATGAATCGGAAAGTACGTAGAGAAGAAGATTAGGCCGAACGCGAAAACGTCCACAAAGAGAACGAACTTCACCGTCAGAATCTGCCATAATGAAACAAGACGATTCCATTAAAGACTTATGATTCTTGTTTGTGTAAAAACTAAACACAATACAATAATTAAGCTATATTCATATAGAATAAGGACCTTATCCTTCTTAGGAGCGTAGAAGAAGAATAAGGAGATGTAGACGATCTGTATGACAAAGGCAAAGGAGTTGATCGTGATCAACATCACTGCATCTTTCTTGATCATTGCGTAGTACAGCCATAGCATCGCACTGAACAGCGAAATCACGTAAGGGACTGACTGATACCCTTCAGACGATTTCCTCTTGTATATACGAATGAACGTCGGTCTATTATATTTTAAAACAAAACGTATAAATGCTTGAGCTAAAACGTTATCTATATACGAGGAGAGTGTAAAAAGATTTATAGAACTACTTACATTGGGGCAAGGCAGACGAAGAAGGAGATGACATTCCCTACAATATAGTTTTCGTTACGTTAGAATTCATGATGCATGTCTTCATGTAAATGCATGCATTTGGAATGTAAACGTAAACGTGGAAAAAGATATACACTAAGTAACTATTTAACGTATTAAGATTTGAGAATAGGATACCTAGGATTCCAAAGACAGTAGCCAAGACAGCTTGTGAAATTGCCATTATCTCTCTCAAAGTAGTGAAATGCTTCTTTAGAAAAATAAAGTAAATGAAAAACTTAATTCTAATTAGAAACTCTCTCCCTCTCTCTTCCTCTATGAAAGTGAACAGACGGAACTCTACAGGATCATACTGAGAATATGTTCAAGTGTATGATGCAATTCCGGATTGAGAAGTGTGGTGGTTTATATAGGGATGGAGAAAAGAGTATCAACTTGCAAAATGCTTCTCTGAGTGAGAGAGATAAAGATGAGTTTGAACTCAATGGAGTTGTATAGTGGGAAAAAAGAATCAAAGAGCATTATCTGTGCTTTACAGTTGTATACCTTCATGCCCCATTGCCTTGGAAGGTTCCCCTTTTTTTTTTTTTTTCACCTAAGCCTAATCTTTCCCATCTATGATTTTATGATTCATGTACTTAGTCCCTATACGACCCAATATGTTACTTAGTGTCTTCGTTTAATTTTATGCAAATGGTTAAACAGTTTCTTCGTTTCATTTTATGCAAAATGTTAAACAGTTTCTTTGACCTTTTAGATCTACATATCTTTTAGTTTTACTCGTTTCATCAAGAATAATATATTGGTCAATATAGCATAATATGGTTCATATATTAATATTCTGTTTAGCATGAATCGTGTATAAATTTCTAACCAAAAAAAATGTAATTGTGTATGAATTGGATGACCAATGAAGCGGTATAAGTCTCTTGTAATTTTTTTTTTTTTTTTTTTGGTCTCTTGTAAATTTGCTATGAAATATATAATCTATATATAAACATGTGCGGAATAGAATATTAGAATCCTCTCAGTTCCAAAAAAAAAACACACTTGTAGTTTTCAGTTTTTCACTTTATGTATCCTCTTCATATAATATCTTTGATGAGTAGGGTAATTACACCATCTATTTTTTTATCCATCTAATGAAAAAAACAGAGATACGAATGATGTTGTGCGCACATTGATGTCGGCATGCGAACTAAACCTAAATCTTATCTCATAAACTCTGTGGGGAAATAATGAAACCCTAAAACCTAAAATGGTTGGGTATCTATCCAAGTCAGCAACTTAGGAGCACTAAAACCTTAAAGATCTTGCAAGTACCATTCTGGTACATTCTAGTGGACCAATGTTTTGGCCTTTCTGACGTGTCGCCAACCAAGTAGGTGTTGAGACGTTTACTGTTTGCAACTCTCTTTGCTTAGGGTTTAACTAGTGCAATGAGAGCAAGTTGGTCTTTTACCTAAACCGAATTGTCATGCTCGTAGTTCGTTTTCCAAATTGAAAGGACTCGTTTAGGGAAATACACTTTTGAAATCTTTCCGCCAACATATTTACAAAAAGAAAACAACAGAGAAAAAAACAACACCAAACATTTTATTGAAGTTTGAAATTTCTTTGAAACTAATGATGAAAGCTGCAATAATGAATGTAGTTCTAATAGGTGGATCCATAATGTGTAGAGTAGAGATATTATTTTGCTTTATCAGTTTTTGTGATGTGAACCATTTTTTTTTTGTGTGTGTGTGTGTGTATGTGTTGTATATATTGTATAGTTTGATATACATGAAGTAGTGTATGTTGATTTGGTCAACCGTTTTAATTATATGATCTGCGTGAACCTTCAAACCAGTTTAAGAGAGTGACAGCTACAATCAAAGTAAATGATCCTTAGACTAAGAATCAATCCTACAATTGAGCTAGCGGGGAATCAAAGAAAGATAATAACCAAAAATTGATTTTAAAATTTTTTTTTTTTTTTTGCCCGCACCGCAGTGGTCCAGTGGTAAAGGAGAATTGGAGAAAAGTTGAAAGGAACTAACCCAGGTTCGATACACCCTGAAAACAAAAATCATTGTTGTGTGGGAAGTCTGTCAGTTGGACCTTGGCCCAATTGGTTTACCTGGTAGTCAGAAATGCAGGCGGCCTGACTATCCCCTGCCATTACTCGGAAAGCATTTAAAACTCGGGATACACAGTGTAGTGGTCCTTTGGGGAGAAGTTCACTCTGAAACAATTCGGTGCGTTTCTACCGGGGCTGACCGGATCAGCCGATAGGGTTTATAAATAAAAAAAATTGATTTTTACGTATATAAATCAATACATACATTTATTAACAAGATTAATAAAGAGAATATATATACTTGAACGTTTTTCTATCTGGTACAATATGGTTTTAAAGTGAAAAAATACCTAAAATTGATTCCACTTTTTAAAAATAGTGTCGAAAATCTCCTATTTTCTTGATTATACTGCTACTAATTACATCGCAAAGAATCATGTTTGTAATATAATAGACATACTAAACGTACTTTTTGGATCGGCAAAATTCAATCTACTGTATAATCAAATTTCTACTATATATACAAAGATAAAGAAGACCACATAAGTGCACCGTTAACCAAAATCACTTCCCCAAAACATACTAAACATATCAAGTAAATTGTCATAGTGTTAAGAAGTTGGTTCAAGTCGATTTTGATGCTCGTTTGAACATATCTTGATTTGATTACCAAGAGTCAAAGAAGATATTACATTTTGGGGAATTTTTTGAGGGAAACTTTTGTAATACAACACTTGTTTTTTTCCAAGAATGTTTAGGCTGGTTTATTTTTCGTTTCATGTGTATAGAAGTTGAACCATGTACAAATTCATTAAACTAGTGTAAGAAAATTAACTCATCTAATCGGTTTGCTTTAGTAAGTCACTTATATTTTAATAGCATCCTATTCCTTGTTCTTGTGGTTTACTTTTGTTTTTCTGTTTGCTTTTTTGGTTGACTTTTGGATGAGTCCACATATAAATTGATTTAACCATGTACAACTTTACAAACGAATAAGATGAAATTTCATTGATATATTTTCTCGAATATAAATATATAATATACTTATACTAAAATTTATACGTATGAGTTTGCACTAACTGGTTTAGATACTCTCTCGGAATAAAATCCACTTGCCAATGTCTGTTGTTTTTTTTTTTTTTAAATAAATTTAAAGTTTTGAACCGAAACTCATACATCTCTTCAAATCCGAGACCAGTACATGTTATATGGTCTCGTCTCAAACGTAATATGAATGATTTTTAAATTTTTGCCAAAAATTTTTACTAGTTGAGCTATTAGCACTTGATTGTGACAATTGTTCTTTGTCTTTTCGCATAGCTCGTAGTTGTGACAATTAGCTCCAAAATTTTCGAACCATTATTATTATTATTATTTGAACCATTATACGATTCTCTTACAGTATTTAATTTGCCTAATACTAATACATATGCTCAAGTGCTCAACCAGGGTATAAGAAAAAAAGATATTACAGAGAGTCACGTTGGACAGTCGTTATCTAAAAAGAAACCAACATTTTAGCGTGGTAGTCATATACCTTTTGGCTTTAGATCTTTATATGTTCTTAGGGTTTATGACTAGCTAGTGTCCTTTTAGGATATTTTCTCATTTCACAAATTGATTTTTCTATTAATATATATTTTCAATGCATAATTTAAACATACTTCTAAAAAACTGTGTGAAACAACATAATGTCAAAATATATATTTTTTTTTTGAATATATGTATATTTTTGCATTTTCTTGCCGTATAGATAAAGCACTTTGAACTTCAATGCTAATGCAACAACATATATATATTAAACACATTTACAAAAAAAAATTCTTAATTAGATATACCGACCTTGAAAATTACTGATGTAAGTAGCAAGTGTTAGACCACTAATAAAGGGTGACTTAAATTTAAATAACAATTGGTATAATATAAAGTTAATTAGCCTAAAGGAATCAGAACAAAATTACGAACACCTTAATATATATAAAAAAATTTGTGTCAACCACCTTAATATTAATTGTTGGACGTAAAATGGTATTAGTTTGGCGATTGCCACTTAATTCGAGGTGGCCTTTATGATGTGTATGACATTGATGGCAGTGAAAGATACTAAGAATCTTTACAAATCTAAGTTGCAAAAGAGAACAGATCAAGTGTCTTAGAGCCGATCTGTTTTTATTTTCCTATTGTAAGAGAATGTTCTATTTTACGTTTACATAAAGATTCCCTTATTCTTTTTTTTCCTAGTCAGAGTAAATGGTACCGCCCTCACATAAGATCTTTGCATTCTTAAAAAGTGGTTTACCAAAAACCCAAAAAAAAAAAGAAAAAAAAAATTCTTGAATATTCGGTCATCATTGGCATCTACGCACGATGGACATATTAAGGAATATACTTGACTCTCTTTTTTCCATGAATGCTCTTTTGGTTCAGTTTTAGTGAAGTTTAATATCTTGGTGTGGTTTCTTATTCATAAAGGGATTTGCAGCAATTTCACTTCTTCTTTTTTAACATTGATTAGTTGTTAGGAACATTTGCTCTTGCGCTAAGTACGTGAAACAATCACTTAGCGCATATGAGCTTACGTATGTCGAAGCTTCAACCAAATACTAATGTACGTACTTACATAAGCTAAATAGAGAGTTCAATGATAAATATTAGTGAGACAAATTACATATTTACATAAATGGTAGTCACGTACTGGTCAAGCAAAAATTACATTATTAAAGTCAAATGAGTTACGTATAAATTTTTCAATTGGGCTTTGTGAAAACAAAAGGGCTTAATTTGAGGCTGCATGTATTTTAGTAGTACCTGGGACTTCTGTTCAAACGGTAAGTTCGGTTTTGTTCTTTGGGTTTTTGGAATTTTATGATTTTTGCCGAAACTAATTGAATTAGGTTTTAGTTCAGTTCTTTGGTTAATTTTGGTTTTGCTTTTTCTTATCCAAAACTAACCAAATTTTTGTTTGGAAACAAAATTCGGATTTTTTGGTATGGTTTAGTTATTAAGAAAAATTGGTTGTTTTTTTGTTTAACCGTCTAATTGTGGTATAATCTGGTTATTTAAACAAAAAAAAAAAAATACACTTTGATTAACCTAGACCCAAGGTCCCAAACTGAACTAACCGAAGTTCTTGGTTAATGAATTAAATTTCAAAGATTAGCGTCAGTTAATGCCCAATAACCGAAACTGAACCAAACAACCAAATTCTTTGTTCGATTTGGTTATTTATTCAGCTATTTCACTGTGGGTATCTAAACAATGTAAACATGTGGTGGTTAAGACAAGCAATTTGATGCTATTGCTGTTGTCGGTTTTGTCCGATATCACATTGTCTTCAACCAGTCAAGTCAACATCCATCGTTTCCTAGAGAACTTGATCATCAGTTTTCTCGAGTCGAGTCTATGGCTATGAATGTAGACATATGTTTTTGTCATCGTTTTTGTGAACCGCTTTTTATTACACCACTCAACTAGAATTATTATCTACATGGCGTGTTTGAACCAAAAAAAAAAACTATGAAAAAATAGAAGAAGAGTGGTTCTCTAGAATGCTTTTTTCAATCATAAAAGATTAATAGTTAGGCTGAAAAAATAATAAAAAGAGGTTATGTACTTTTCATCAGGTGACTAATTCAGTTGGACACATTGCAACCTTAAAGAACTGACAATGTTTTAAATATTATTAGCTAGCAACAAAAACTCATATGTGGAATCCATTTCCTAAGATGCATGCATAATGCATTAAGATGTATATGATCATATTGATTTATATTTCAGTGTCGTTTTTATGATAACCACTCAATTTTAGAGGTTCGAGAAGTTTCAGACCCGAGGACCCTAAGTCTCTTCAGGGACCATTACGAATATAGTGAGTGTTTTGGTTCCCTCCCCAGTACGTACCAGCATGCATTCACATTCATGACCATAAAAACACTCAACCTTTGATTTATTATTTTCTTATAGTTGTTAGATCAGCCATTCTGAGCTATACATATATATATAGTGAATTCACATTCCATCATTCTTCTTTTATAACTACAAAAACGTTTTTTTTTATATCCCAGTTATCCCAACGCTTGCGTTTAGACTAGTCACGTAGGCGGCCTTAAAGCACTGGAACGATGCAGCCCGTATGTGAAATCTGCAGTGGCCAGAGCTCGAACTCATGATGGCGGGTACCTCAGCTGAGGGTCCTTTACCACTATAGCTAGAGGCACCGGTTACAAAATCGTACTTGATATGCAAAAAATAGATATATAGTTTTGTTCTAATTAACCGGTTGACAAACTAATAACTGGTTCTAATTTATGTATCATATACTTGAGCTAACATAGTGCATGCATAGATGTAAAATACATGAGAAATATTATGTGTAAGTTTCGAAGAATTGTAAGTAAACAACAATGGACGTGGAATCTCGACAGGACGACCGTTGTGAAAGTGTAAATAGATACAAAAGACTTTTAGTGTGTGTGGTAGACACTTTGCTCCTCCCCTTTTGGGTTCCCATGTGAAACTCATATGGTCTTACGTACGTGTGTCTTTTCTTCATTTTGGACTGCAGTAAGGATATGTATATGTTTTTTTCGTCTTATATATGCTAATTCAAATCTATCCCTGTTTTTTTACACAATACAATGTCAAAGTATTGTAAGGAAACAGAACAAGAAAAAATAATAATTTGTAATCTTCCATCGACTAGAAAGTAAAAGAGGTGAAAATTACTTGATGTTTGCAAATTTTTCTCTGATTGAACAAAACTCTTATAAGAATATGTTTTTTTTTTGTTCTTTCTAGTATTGTATTATTATGGTATAACATTTTGTAGTTCAACTTTGTAGCTTATAGAACTCTGGTTTAACTTTAATCAGATTGTGTTAGAGGATGCTAATGGGACTACACGCTCACGGGGTGTTGGAGTGTAATTGTACATTTCCTTATCAATAAATTCAAGGCCTCCCTCTTCCTGCCAAAAATGATTATACCTAATTTAACTTATAAAACCTCTTATTTATTCAATGATATGACGCTAAAACCAAACAAAACTTGTTTAGTTTTATAATGTTTTTGTTTTGTAAATTTGTGTAGCAAAGTCAAGGAAACAAAATCTTAGGTGGAACCAGAACGATTCTGAAATTTTGATTCTGATTTTAGGTCCTTACAAATATTCTGTTTGTTCTTTACATAGTTACGAAAATATAACCTGAAATTTAATATTTATGTTCGGATTTGATTAACGTATCTATGTTTGCATATTACAATCATTACTTAATTATATTGTGATGGGCTAGTAGTGACTCCTATTCAAAGTGTGAAGTCTCTATGTGGGTTTAGGTTATAGACTGTTTTTCTTATTTGTTTCTGAAAAACTTTACGTACCACCTTACAACTTGACCATCCGACCGTCTTTAGTTAGTAGTAAGAAAACTTATAATTTTGTATGATCCATGGTGATTATTCTAGAGATTTCGATATGGAATTTTCTGGTAAACAAAAAAAAAAGTTAAGAAGTTATAATCATTAATTGAATGATAATTAATTAAGCTTTCTAGCCAATTAAGTCTTGTAAATTATCTCCTAATGTTCCACTTTCACACCGATCATAAAAAAAAGGTATTTCAAGGTCGCTATGAGGTGGGCCTGTCCCGTTCAAGAGGCCAACATGCATGCACCAAATTTTTTTAAGGATTACCCATTTTACAATTGAGGTTGATAGTAAAAACCACATAAGTGTTACAAAAATAGCATGAGTTGGAAAATAGCAGAGACAGTTTATATTTTAGAAAACTAACTTATTTATTGATAATAATAGCACAATTTCCAGAGACTGGAAATAAAATGATGAGAAAAAACAGAAGTGGTACATGAGAGAACTAATTAAAAGAGACGATGACCACAAAAATCCGGAAAAAACAAAGAAAGAGAAGGAAAGTTAGCTAAAGAGTGCACAACTCAAACAATGCATTATTAATGAGTCCCTAAATAAAAGAGTCACTACTTAAACTTGGTTTTGGTTCTGGACATCCTTGCTAGTAGTCTGGTCATTCGGTTCGGTCATGTTCTGGCTCTTGACTTCGGTCACTTGAATCTGAGTCTCGGGAACATTATGAACAGCTGGCGGTTCATGAACCGTGGAACCGGGTATAACGGTGGTTAGCTTCGCTATGTCGATGGAATGATCGGACGAAACCGCTTTGGATTTGTCTGTCTTCTCAGCCACAGGAGTCATGTAGTACTTGAAAACTATGTATAGAATCATTTGAACAGCTCCTAAGAACGCGCCCAATACATTTGGAAGCTTCAATAGTGAACAAAATATGTGTAAAAGACATTATTATTCCATGTAGTAATAACAAAATAGAATTTACCGACATCACAACAGAACAAATTAGATTTTTTTTGTTTCTAGTAATATTATCTTATTGTACTCTCAATTTCTTTGCACATTTTAGTGGGGGTCCAATTATTTTTATATAATGCAAATAATAATAAAGCGAAATGTGTAGTGTACGGTTCAAGTTCATATATTCGTTGCCACGACATTCATATATAGACTAAAAGACATTTAAATATATATAGTTTGAAATGAGGAAAAAAGACAAAGGTTAACTACTGTTTCTTTTTTTTTTTACTTTATTAAAGAGCCACCCACAATAATAATCTAATCATTTAGTGTTGTGCTGTCCTTTACTATATGTTTAGAAATGATCGAAACAGAATAGAATATTTGAGAATTATAAACTCACCGCAACGTAGAAGTCTTTAATAGCAAGACCGTAGAAGAGCCACGTGACAGCGCTTAGTGTAAGAAACAACGATAAAGAGAATGGCATAAACTCCACACTTCTTGTACGTACCACCAATCTCTGCACCAAATTTTAGTAGTTGTAACTATTTTAGTATTCCCAAAAAGAAAGACAAAGATATTACCTATATTAATATGAATATTTATTATAGTCTTCATAGGTCAAATCACGTAAAAAACATCAAACATGGCTCGTTCGCATTTATACAGGTTCCTACATATATGCATGTCTAGAAATATACACATAAAACGTACCATGATACTTAAAGGAGCTGCGAATACACTGACAGAAAATCCAACGCAAATCCCTCCGAGCACTTTGGCACGTGTCGAACCTTTGGTTAAGAGCTCGCAGACAAGAACAATGGCAGCAAAACCCAAAAAGTTCAAGAGGCCAAGAACTTTCAGAGTAGATATCTGCAGCATCGTTTCAAGCATTAGGCAACCGGACACTAGAGCATTTACGTATATGTGCATATTATGATCAACGTGAAAACTAAAATAAAATTATATATAGGTATAGATGTAGAAAATGGTGTTTCAACACATACTCTTGTTTTCTTGTTAGCATAGGTTACAAAGAGGACGATGTAGATGGTTTCAATGACGCATCCAACAGCGTTGATGGTGATGAGAAGGAAGCCTGAGCCATCTTTTTGCATAGCGTAGTAAATCCAAAGCATCGCGCTGAAAATCGCGGAAAGATAGGGAAGAGACTGGAATCCTTCAGTGGACTTCTTCTTGCATATCCGTATAAAAGTTGGCCTAAATAATATGTTCAGAAAAAGTTTGGATTATTTCGAAACATCGAAAAATATAAAAGAGAGAGTTTGTAAGAACATGTTGATGCTTACACTGGGGCCAAGAACACGACGAATGATATGATGTTACCTGCAAATTTATTGTGCAATAAACATTTTGAGTGTTAAAACGTAATTCAAAGTGTTGGTAGAGTTTTCTATTATTAATGTTAAATCGTTCTGTGAATGCTAATATTTGCATACGTACCCATGATTCCGAACACAAACGCCCATACATTGTGAGTTAGAGCCATTTCTTGATTGTTTTGGTCGAAGTACTTTAGAAAGAAGTTATAAAATGAGAAAAGAAGTATTGAAAGACAAAGAGAAAGAGAGAGAAAGAGCTCTTGAGAAGCCTCTTCTAACACTTGAAAGCTAAGCTCTAGTTTGTGAGTTTTAGCTATGAATTTACAATGGCAATGTTAGAAGATATATATAGAGGGTTCACATGTGAAAGGGTGCATATGTTAGTACGTTTTAGACGACATCGTTTGCAGAGCGGTGTGAGAGAAGGACATGTCACATTATTGGTCTCAGATATTTCTTATTGATGTTTTCTTTTAAATGGAAAATTAAATGTATGACATTTTCATGTGGTATGCACTCTTTGCGTCTATTTTATTAGTATCAAACTTTTTTTTTCTATATGCCAAACTTAAGATTTATATTTTATTATCGTACTCATACGAATGGAGGTAGCTTCAACACTATTTATTTATTTTTTCTTTTAAACCAAAAAGAAAAATTCAAAGAATGGTCGATAGAGGTTTCTTTGTAAAAGCCATTTAACGAGTGGTTACTTATTGTTTAGGGGTAACCAATAAGCCCCTGATCGGCTGTTAGCTTTCTAGTGAACTATTAATAAAGAAATATATATCACTATAATAGGCCTTTTCATTCAATTTAATCACCTTTTAAAGTATATTGATTCTCTAATTAACACTTAAAAGGGAGTACCAAGCCTAATGATTCTCTTAATACCTTTTAATTTTACTTATAGTCCTTGACTGATACTAAGTCAAGGATCCTTGTGCGTTGGATTTGTTTATACGACTTGCAACAAAAATATATACTTTTATCATTAGCCGTATGAATTGTTTAGTAGAGAATATGAATTATGTTGTAACAACATAACAAAAGAAGGTTTATAGTATCAAAGCATATATAGAAAGAAAAAGTCACATCGAAGTAGCAATCGGACGGTCCAAGAGTAGGTACAACCATTAAGAATCCTAAACCGTGATCGCTGCTTTTGTGTTCATCGTACCAGTCAACATGAACCATATTTTATGTTGCTCCCATTGAGTCTGTGCCACGTACGTGTACCATAATTTTTATGTTGCTTATGAACACTCCATGATTTTGGCAGCCAAAATTAGGTCCGTAACTAATATATTACTAAAATACTCTTAATAGTCTCATTGTGTTTATCTCTTTAACTTATTTTTATCAAACTTGTGTGACCAAAAAATACCCCCTAAGTTTTTCTATATTTTGCATTAGTAAGTGGGTAATGGTTAAACATATTTCATCCAAACAGAAGCGATCTCATAGTTAACTAGTCACTTTAAATAAAATTAAGTATAATTTTTTTTTTAATGATTAAAATCAAAAAAGTAATTGGTATTCTTTCTTCACTTTATATATGTTTTTTCTCTACCATATAAAAAATCAAGAATTAAAATAAGAATAGAGTTGTATTGCGTTTTATCTTAACGTGACTGTCGTGTGGGTATAGGTAGGATTCAACATCATACTTCTCGATGTTCCACTTGGCTACTTTCCGTGTTTATCTAAATTTATCTACATTTACTCAAATGATATTATCATATCAAAGCAAATTGTCTCACTAACCTTTTCTTTTCTATATAATAAAAATTTATAATTAATATATCTATTCATCCACCTTCCACAAAACTTTATCGACTAGTTTGTGACAAATGAAAACGTAAAGCTACATTTTTATTAAACATCACACTGGAATGTTATATCTTTATGAGCTTACTAAATTTAAATTGGTCACTATTTAATTGTTGCAATTTAATTAGAAGGAAAAAATTTGTGGAAATATCAATATATATCTAGTAAAAATACATGTAATATACTAATATGTATATAATATTTAAAAGTAATCTTTAGTTTATTTATTTTTGGTGGATTTCTTTTTCTAGAATTATGACAGCGAACACTTCTTAAAACACATAACTTTCACACTTATTTTTACCAGTTACCAATTCTTACAATTTTTACTTCCAAATTTTATGACCGTTTCAACCAATTTCGCCTCTTCAAATATTTTGATTGATTTGTGACATTCTGAAAAAACTTTCCAAAATTGGTTTTAAATCGTTGAAATATTTTTCATAAAACTGTTGGTAAAAAATTGGTCGGAAATTTTAAGTGATCATATTGCTTTATCTGTTGACACGTTAGTTGATATTGGAGTATAGTTAAATTAGTACATATCATATATTTAAGATTAGCCTAAGTTTCCTTTAGCTTAGACTATCTTACTCATATAAATACTTGTAATACACATTCATTTTACACTTAATGAGAAAGTTTACAATTCATAACAAACACTCTTGATATGGTATCAGAGCCTTGAGCTCGATCTTTCTTCCGCACTCGATCTTTCTCATTCATCTTCAAGCATCCATGGCGAGTTAAGCTTCGATCTATTGCGATGAGCTGCTCGATTTCTTCAATGCTTGATTCACTTCACCTTTTCTTCTTCTTTCTCTGTTTCATCGCCACTTATACCTTCGCGATTATTTTCTTTTTCTTTCTTTTCTCTTCGATTCTTCTTTGATTTGGTTCTTTGATCTTCAATTGCTTCATCTCGTGTTTAACCCAGCCAATTTCGTGATCTCTCATGGCTCCGGTTGCTCCGATTTCGGCGAATTCCACCACCAATCAAGATACTGTTCGTCAATCTTCCGATCAATATGACAATCCGTACTTCCATCATGCTTCAGATCATTCCGGGATGGTTTTCGTCTCCGATCGTCTTGCTTCTGGCTCAGATTTCCATGCGTGGCGCCGATCGATGCGTATGGCCTTGAATGTGCGTAACAAACTCGGTTTTATCGATGGAACGATTCCAAAACCACCAGATGATCACCGAGATGCAGGTTCTTGGTCTCGTTGTAACGATATGGTTTCTACTTGGTTAATGAATTCAGTTTCTAAGAAAATAGGCCAGAGTTTATTGTTTGTGTCTACTGCTGAGGGAATTTGGAAGAGTCTGTTATCTCGATTCAAGCAGGATGATGCTCCAAGAGTGTTTCAAATTGAACAACGATTGAACTCTATTCAACAAGGCTCTATGGATGTCACTGCTTATTACACTGAATTAGTCACCCTTTGGGAGGAATATAAGAATTTCGTGGATTTGCCATTGTGTACATGTGGTAGATGTGAGTGTAATGCTGCTAACTTGTGGGAACAGTTACAGCAACGAGGACGTGTTACTAAGTTTCTCATAGGACTTAATGAAGTTTATGAACCTACAAGACGACACATTTTGATGCTCAAGTCGATTCCTACAATTGAGGATGTGTATAATATGGTGACACAAGATGAACGTCAGAAATCCATCACACCATCTTCCAAGCTTGAGAATGTGGCTTTCCAAAGCACTGGTCCAGAGAATACTTATGCTCCTATATCTTCTGAGGTTTCTGAGTCTGGTTATTATTCAGGACAAGTGGAGAATGCAGCTTATGCAGCTTTTAGACCGATTCAACGTCCATATTGTACTCACTGTGGTCGCTCAGGCCATACTATTCAAAAGTGTTACAAGCTTAATGGATATCCTCCAGGTCACAAGCTTGGTCCACGGCCTTCTGCACAATCTGCTGTTGTTCCTTATCAACCTCGTATTCAAGCTCCACAAGGAACCAGACCATCTCAGTCCCAGTATCCTCAGCAGAATCAGTATTCTTAACATAATTCATATCAGTTTCCTAGGCCTGGTGTTGTTGCCAATGCAGTCACCTCTACTGCACCTTACATGCCACCACCAGCCTTGACTGCTACTAGTCTTGACTTGAGTCATTTTTCAAATGATCAAGTGCAGTCGCTAATACAACAACTTCATACTCACCTTCAAGTTCCAGTTCAGTCTTGTTCATATCCATCAGCTACCATCACTGATCATGGAGCCATGGCTAATACTTCAACAGCGGGTACTGTTTCAATTGAATTTCCATCTTCTAACTTGCGTTTTGAAAATCATTCTTTCACCTTTCAACATCATTGTCTCTCTTCTCTATATTCTGTTCTACCTAATGGCAGTTGGATAATTGACACAGGAGCCACAAGTCATGTATGTTCTGACTTAGCTCTGTTTAGTGAAACCTTTCCTGTCACAGGTGTAACAGTCTCACTCCCTAATGGCACTAGAGTACCTATCACACACACAGGCACAGTGCATATTTCTAGACATTTAGTTTTATACAATGTGCTCTATGTTTCAACTTTCAAGTTTAATCTCTTGAGTGTCAGTTCTCTGCTGCATAAAAATCATAGTTCTGCTCATTTCTATTCTGATCATTGCTTTATACAGGACCATACTCAGGCCTTGACGATTGGTAGAGGATCTCTTATACATGGTCTTTATATTTTGGAGACTCATGGTCCTCCACTTATCAGTCTTCAAGCTTCTTTCTGTGGATCCTTGCTAGTGGATGGAGAACTATGGCATCAACGCCTAGGGCATCCATCTCCTGCCAAGTTACAGCATATTACTGGTATTTTACCTATGTCTAAGCATGTCTCTCATCACTGTGATATATGTCCATTAGCTAAACAGAAAAGGTTACCTTTTGTATCAAATAATCACTTGTCAGAATCACCATTTGATCTTTTACATCTAGATATTTGGGGTCCTTTTAAGATAGAATATGTAGAAGGTTATAAGTATTTCTTGACAATAGTTGATGATTGTACTAGGGTAACTTGGATTTATATGTTACGGAATAAAAGTGATGTTTCTACTGTTTTTCCAGCCTTTATAAAGCATATACAGACTCAGTTTCATGCTGTTATTAAAGCAATTCGTAGTGATAATGCACCTGAATTAGCATTTACAAAACTTGTTCAAGATCATGGTATGATTCATTACTTCTCTTGTGCATACACACCACAACAAAATTATGTTGTTGAAAGGAAACATCAGCATTTACTCAATGTTGCTCGTGCTTTGTTTTTCCAATCTAATATTCCTTTGGTTTATTGGAGTGATTGCATTTATACAGCTGTCTTCTTGATAAATAGAACTCCTTCTTTAGTTTTAAACAAGATGAGTACTTATGAAAAATTGTATAAAAAAGAAACCTGATTACAGTTTTATTGAGAAATTTTGGTTGTTTATGCT